ACGTGATTCTTATTTTACCTTTATTAATTTTAATTTTTTACCTACGTGGCTACCGAAAACACCTAAGAATATGAATCCTTGCAGTCACGAAAGCTTCAAATCTAGAACCACGACCACCTGTTTACGAGGCCAGATAATTATCATCTTGCCACCTTGGTGCCCTCAATGAGAGCTGCTACCTCGTTGCTGCGACAATCTCAGCATGAGAACGGTTTGAGTGGCTTGTCAGTATGAGGCTGTCGGGTACATTTAATATTCGCACCGAATGGTCCTTTGGGAGTTGAGCACAACAAAAACCTTTAAATATTCGTCAACACTGCCATAAATAATATATTTAGGTGACAATTTGGGCAATGACCCTTCGTGGAGAGAAGGGCTATGCCCGAACATCGCCTAACATGTATATTTTTTCGAGCAGTTATTCACACATGTTTGTTATTTGGGCACCACTGCCAAAGCAGTATCTACATTTTTTTGTATTGCTACCATTTGTTAGAAGAAGTACTAGGGGTAAGTTGCATAAAATGTGCGTGGTGGGTCGATGATGATGAATATTAGTCTGTGGACCATTAAAAACAGCAGTGCCAAAATCTTTATCAATTTTCATAGCAAACTTAATTAAATGGTGACCACTTTTGCTTTGCATATGCTCTGTAATCCATACACAAGGCAACATTTTAGTTTTACTTCATATTGGCGTCGTGTTTCGAGACACCGTATTGACTTATGAAAATTAGTCTTGGACATGACTTATGTTTGGTGGAGAATGGAGTCGCAGCAAAAGGAGGGATCGCGCCCAAGACTGTCCACTGTGGAGACGAACCGATGTCAACACCTCGTGTGCAGGAGTTGGAGGGATTAGATCTTGATGAAAGTTTTGCCACTTCAGGTAATAGAGACGAGTGAAATATCTGATGTTGATCATCATACTCGTAATGTGGGGGGGGGGGGGGGGGGTGTAACTGGGCTCGAGCACCACGCGACCCCGCGGGTTGCCTAATTGAACAGTTTATTTAGAATTGCCCCGTGAGCTGAGAAGCTCTTGAATCGGGTTTCATCAACAAAACAGAAACAACGTTTGCAAGAGGTCGCATACAAATTATAAATACAATAAATGCAGCAATGAAAAAAGACAATAAATGTTTTATGATTTAATTATAAATTAAATATGTAATAAACTTAACATTAAGATTAGAGAATAATTGAAAAATAGAGCATTTAGAGTGAGGAATAAGATAAAATATGGCAAAACGAGAAATAGAAACGCCTTTGGTAAAAGGTTTCCTGTGCAAACAAATTCGAAATAACACTAGTAATCGTAACAATAACCATGAAATTGCTACACATTTAAACAGAATAGGACTCATATACAGAATTATAATGGGGTCGCTAATTTGATGTCACGTGAAGTGGGAACGTGGTTATTGTCCTGCGCTCTGGACGCCCATTATCTAACGAAAGCCTAAGCCCTGGCCCTATCCCTGACCATAACTTTTTTTATTTTTTTATTTTTCTTTGGAGGAATCCAATGAGCTAAGAGGCGCTTTTCACAGATGTCCAGGAGGGGAAGCTCAGAAAGTATCAACAACAAACAATAGAATGCACACTGCAGGGCATCCGGAGTTGTGCTCCTGAAAAAAATACCGGTGTGAAAAACATTCCATGAAAATGTCATTCCTGAGTTTGACCTTGTTTAAAGAGTATGGGTGGGGGGGGGCATATAAAAACAGCGGGGGGCACAACGCAGTGTAAAAAAAAACACATTTAAACCAATGAGAAACGCTCAACATAATTAGAAACGGTACAATATTTACCGTTTGCCTATCGTGCATTCTAATCTAGCCCTCACCCGTCGTCTGTAAATATTGTTCCATCACTCGTTGATTTGACCAAGAGTTTCGTTGAGAGCCGGGCCCCCACTTCCCTCCAGCCCCCCAATGCTACTATGTTGTGGCCAGTTGCATGCGATTTGCGTGAAAAATTCCATTGGAGCACACAGATCTACGTTGCAAACGAAGGGAAATGTCACTCGAGATGTATACAACTGACCCTAAACTTTAGTATGAATGGAAAATAAAACCTCGTCCGAATGCGAGCCTTTTTACCACAAATAATCCCCACTAGGCAACCCTTTAGCCAACAGACTATATCACGGAGAATTAGCACAAGGCGCACGCTGCTCAACAGCCAGCAACAAACAGGACTATCGAAGTTGTAATACTGCAAATAAATAGTTCCTTGAATTGCGGAAAGTTGCACGAACTTGGGGGAAAAGGACGTTGGAATGGAATTCCAAAGTGGAACTACTATCAAAACTGTTCCAGGTTATTGTAATAAAGTTCAACGCAATACCGTTACTAGATCTCGGTACAGGACAAATTACTTCCTGCCACCCGAAACACAAAGGGACCGTCCATAAATGACGTCACGCGATTTTGGGCGATGTTTTACCCCCCCCCCCCCTCGTCACACGACGTCATAAAGTCAGACCTCCTTCAAATATGACGTCACAAAGCTCTGCCCCCCCCCAAAATAAAACATGCTTCAAATCCCTTTCAACTATTGTCATTATAGTGCGTATTTAATGTGGCACTACACTCTGACGTTGTAGGAGAAAACATTTATTAAAAAGTCTATTTAATTAAATAGAACGTGTTGTCTACATTTATTTAAAGTTGCGCATTTTGACGTGACGTCACATTTCTCACTGTTACAATTATCCGACCCCCCCCCCCTCGCTAGGTGCGTGACGTCATTTATGGACGGCCCCTAACCCAAAAAACCTGTATTATGGACTGCAGCATAATGTTGTTAATTCTGACGCGTAAGTAATTGCGTGACGTCACGCTATTATTCACCAGCATGGCGTCATCACCTCGGCACAACATTTGTAGACATTTGAGACTGACGTCATCCGCTATACCCGCTGCGGAATGACCCAGTTCCAGATTGGGCACTTGAGAATGACGCAATCTGCAGACAATCTTAATTACAATGACGCAATCAACCTGTCCTCTTCGGTATGACGTCACCGTACAGGTGCTTTGAGCGAGACATCACAACATTTTTTTCCCGCCGACGTAACCTTCTGGACGCCTCAGCCCGACGTCATCCCGTGTGGTTTGGGTATGACGTCATGTCACCGCCCTTTGCCTGCTTATAACGGTCGCGTTTTGTTTAGACATCGTACGCGCGACGCCAAAACAATTCAAGTGTCCGCGTGGTTTTTAAAGTGGAAGCCCCAGCATTGCCCAGCAATACATCACTGTCGTTTTCACTGCCCTACTCTATTGTGATATATTGGTTTACTATACCGAGTACTGTCGAGTACTGTACTGTATAATCATGTATAGGGACAGAGCAGCCCGTCTCGGTGACGTCACAGAGGGTAGAGGGATTGAGGCTCCTCCCACAAGTCCCCTTCCTCCCCTATTATTCACGTCACCCCAATTAACTATGCCAGACACCCAAACAACCAGTGGCGCTCCTGTGCCATTGAGGGCCCAAAGCAAAACATTTGTTGAGGGTGCCAGCCCATCCCCACCCCCATTATAATTTGTGAACTCCAAGCGAAGATGACGGAAGAGGCGTTCGGCAAGAGATAGAGATGTAGTGAGGCCAGATGTAATAGAGTAAGAGATAGAGTCAGACGAGAGAAGAGAGATGCAGACAATATTGGAATGAGAGAGATACTGTATTCATAGGCGTAATTATCGTGTTGTTTGTTCTGGTTTCAATTCGAGATAATTATTGATTCACCCATATTTTCCATGAATCCAGGGCCCCTTGCGTTGATTGAGGCCCTAAACGTTAGTTTTATTATGCTTAGAGCCACCCCTGCCAATGAACCCCTCCGAGATCCCCTAATTAAACATCCACTTCCCGGAAACTAAACTCCCCAATAGCCTCTCTTCACTTGCACCCCCCCCCCACTCCAAGGCCAATCCCCCATGACCGCTATAACTGCTGGATATCCCCATCACCTCAAGTCACCCTGACATGCATTCCTACTTGGGGGAGGGGGGCGGTGAGGAGGAGGGAAGGGTCCAGAAAACAAGGGGGGTTGGGGGGCGGGGGCCCGAGACGAGGGCGGGGCCCTCTGTAAGACAGGTGCGGGAGGGGCGGGGTTTATTAGGGGGCGAGAGCGTGGTGCGAGGAGGTGGGGGGGGGAGAGATTTGTAGGGGGTGGGCTCTATTAAAGGGGGCGGTGCGCGAGACGGGGGGCGGGGCCTATAAAGTGGGTGTGCAAGACGGTAGGCGGGGGAGGGGGTGCGCGAGACGAGGGGCGGGTTTATGAGGGGGGGGGGGGCTAGGGGGGTGGCTGGGGGGGGGGGGTGCTAATTGAGGGGCGGGTTTATGGGGGAGGCGGGTTTATGGGGGAGGCGGGGGGGTGCGCGAGATGAGTAACGGGTCTATGGGCGAGGGGGTGCGAGAGACGAGGGGCGGGTTTATGGGTTGGGGGGAGGGGTCTATGGGAGGAGGGGGGCGTGGGGAGGGGGGCGTGGGGAGGGTGCGCGAGACGAGGGGCGGGCCCATGGGGGGGGGAGGTCTATGGTAGGGGGGGGGGCGTGGGGAGGGTGCGCGAGACGAGGGGCGGGCCCATGGGGGGGGGGGGGGGAGGTCTATGGGAGAGGGAGGGGTGCGCGAGACGAGGAGCGGGCCCATGGGGGGGAGGGGAGGGGTCTATGGTAGGGGGGGGGCGTGGGGAGGGTGCGCGAGACGAGGGGCGGGCCCATGGGGGGGGGGGGAGGGGTCTATGGGAGGGGGGGGCGTGGGGAGGGTGCGCGAGACGAGGGGCGGGCCCATGGGGGGGGGGGGTCTGTGGTAGGGGGAGGGGCGTGGGGAGGGTGCGCGAGACGAGGGGCGGGCCCATGGGGGGGGGGGTCTATGGTAGGGGGAGGGGCGTGGGGAGGGTGCGCGAGACGAGGGGCGGGCCCATGGGGGGGGGGGGGTCTGTGGTAGGGGGAGGGGCGTGGGGAGGGTGCGCGAGACGAGGGGCGGGGCACGCGGCGGGCCTGAGCGCGCTCATTCCGTCGCTGCTGCTGCTGCTGCAGGGCGCGCGCCGCTCTGCGCTGCTGCTGCCGCTGCTCTCGCATGAGCTCGCGGGGACCCCGAGGTGAGAGGCAAAGCCGGGGGGGGGGGGGGGGGTCCGGGTCGGGGGTTTACGGTCAGGGGTCCCGGTTGGCGTTTTGGTTCGAGCAGCTTGTGTGGGTTGTGTCCGGCTCAGAGTCCGGCTCCGCGAGGTGTGAGCCGCGTCCCTTCGGGCGGGAGAGCTCAACATGGCGCGGCCGGGTACCCGTTATTCGGGCCCGGACAGTTGTGGCTGTGGTTGTTTGCTGTGGTTGTGTTTCATTCGTGGTGGTGGTGTGTGCTTGCTGAAATGGTTGAGCTGTGGTGGGGCCGTAGCGTGGTTGTGGGTTTGGCTGTGGCAACGCTGTGGCTTTGGCTGTTGATGTGGTTGGGTTGCGGTTATGTGTTGTCAGTGGCGGGGTGTGGCCGCTGTTGTGGTTGAGCCGTGGTTGTGCTGTGGTTGTCATTGTGGTTGAGTGGTGGACAGGTTGTGATTGTGGTTGAGAAATGGCTGAGGTTGTGGTTGAGGTTGTGGAAGGGTTGCGGTTGGGTCGAGGATCGGTGGTGGTTTGGTTCTGGTAGGGCCGGAGTTGCATTTGGACTGTGGTTGTGATGTGGCGGTGGGTGCGGTTGGGTTTTCGTTGCTAGGTTCTAAATGTGGTTAGGTTCTAAATGTGGTTAGGTTCTAAATGTGGTTAGGTTCTAAATGTAGTTAGGTTGCAAATGTGGTTGAGTGTGTGGTTGTTGAGAGTGTTTGGGTTTTGATGGTGGCCGGCTTTTTGGTTGCTATGACCATTAAGTTATATTACCGATACGTTCTCCGTGGTTATCGTTGAGTTGATAATGTGCCTATGATGGTTACAATTGCCATTGTGGCTGTCACTGTGATTGTCGTCACGATTATGCCTGTGGCTGCCGATTTTAAATGACGGTGGGTTGTGTCCAGTGATTGTGGTAATTGGTGGGGGTGCCGTGTTTTAATATGTTATTGCTTTTTTCGCCGCGTGGTTCGTGGTCTTTGTTTTGTCACGAACTGGGCCTGGCTTTGGAGTCGGGTTCAGGGTGTTCTGGCCAGTTTGGAAGAGGCTCATCAGGGCAGTATCGTCCAAAACCATCTTGCCTTCCTCCCTCCCTTCCCCATCCCCTACTTCCCTCCTCGTCCTCCTGCTGCCTCTCATCCTCTCTTTGTGACCCCTTCTTCATCCACCCATCTACCCCCAACCCTCCAATTCCCATGCCATGACTTATTAATTATTTAATCCCAGGTCTCCCTTAACAGAGAGATTCCTATTGTCAAGGGGCTCTTGGGTTACAGCCCTTTGTTAGTCCATTGCTGGACGAAGGCCTCGCAATATCTTGCCGGTCCGTAGAGATTGTTTGACCATACTTCACCACGCTGGTCAATGCGCGTTGGTTGGAGGCCAGGACCGATTTAGGTACAGTGTCACTTGCCACAATGGTAATCAAACTCGTGTCTTTGGAGTTTTTCGTGCAGTGCGTTTAACCCACAGCGCCACCAGCCAGTCTGCTTTGAAAGGGCTCATATCTGGTTATTAAAACGTTCACTTTCTACCAAACTGATTGTGGCCTCATTGTTCCCGCCAGTCGGAATCTCTCCCCATCTCCCCCCTGTTAGCCTACTGTCCCTCTCCCGCTTGCCCCCCCCCCTGTTCCCTTCCCATGCCCCTCCACCCCTTGCCAAGGGCAGCCGCTGCCCCTCCTGCTGCCCCTCCTGCTGCTGCAACTGCTGTCGACTGCCCCAGCAGCACCCAGACGTGTGCCGCAAAAGAGAAACCCCTGGAGGCTTCGCGCGCCGAAAAATTGTGCCATCGTCATAATGGGGGCCGCGCAGGCCACGGGTGTATTTTGTGCGGACGAATATAGACGGTCCGCACGGTGGCTACTCTGTTACCCCCCCCCCCCCCCCCCTTGGCTAAAATTAAACCCGTATTCGCAGCATGAGTCACGTAACGTAACAAATGTTCCTTTAAAAGCAGCGAAGCCGCCGCCTGTTCTTGGATTCCCAATTGGAGCCGGTGCTGCGGAGCCTCCGCTCGTTTGTCACCAAGGTGTACGGTAGCGCTTGACAGGTTCCGCAGTGATGGGGGGGGGGGTCCCAGCTCTCTTGCTGTCTGACTCGGTAAATGCGTCTTCATGAGCTTGAATAATCCACGACGTGATTGTGGCGACCGTTAAGACCTTAACCGCACAGCAGGGAGGTTATTTTATGAGTTGCCACTGAGGCCAAAAATAAAGGGTTTATGGTGTACGGTATTGGCACGAAATTTATTAACCACATCATCTCGATATCCGCATTAGGAGGAGCCTGCTGGTGGTGATGGCTTTGCTGGTGCTGCTGGTGATGGTGGTGGTGTCGTGAATGCTTATAATGGTGTGTCTGGCGATCGATGTGTGATATTTGGCTGGTGGTGCTGATCGGATGTCTGGAGAAATAGTCATGCATGGGGATATATGTGGTTATTTAGCGCTGCGAGGTGGTGTACGTGGGCCTGGTGAAAATCCATTAATCTGGTAGTGGTGTCTGGTATTCATTGTGTGCCTGGTGATCAAGGCATGCATGGTACCATAATGGTGTGTCTATTGTTTAGAGGTCCTGTGCGGTGGAGTGTATGGTACTTGGTGTGCTTTATAGTGGTGTGTGTGGTGATGGAGGTGTGTGTGTGGCGACGGAGATGTGTGTGGGGTGCAATGGAAAAGGTGTGTAACGCCTCCACGGTGTGACGTGCGCGCTTACGGAGGTGTGCGTGGCGATGGAGCGGTGGTGCATGGTGTGTAATGGAAGAGGTTTGCTCTGTAGCGACTGGGCCTCTTGGCGTGCGGCGCGCAGAGTGACGGCAGCTGTGCCACCCCTGCATCTGCGGGCCAACTCGGAGGGCCTAATCCGAGCTTACTGTGCTCACAGGGCCGGCAGGGCTATTGTCGCCTTTTGTAGGTGTGTGATTGGATTGCTGTGTACAGTCACAGCATTGCCTAATGGCGATACAAAAATGAGTTGTTTCTGCATTTCGATGTCGTAATCCAAGCCGTGGTCAATTATGTCACGGCCGTGGCAGTTGAGCGATGATATTTTCGTTCGGCATCGAGCGCCAAGATTCTGGGGCGCGTTGCGTCCCCGTGTCACGCTTTATATTTACACGCAAAAGTCATCGGCCGTGAACTGTTCGTTAGTGTAGCAATCTTAGCCGGACCGCTTTTGGCTCCCGCCAATGGAAAGCATTCATGTGACCATGTCGCCTAAAATCGCACGCATGATGTTTTTGCGCGTGGCCCTCCGTCCCCACAGCAAAGGCCACAGGGAGCATCATCATGTCCGCCCAGCAGGCCCCCACAGGGAGCGTCATGGCGCACCGGAGCAGCATCAGCGCCAGCTTTTCGGAGGACCCAGACAAGTATCTGTATGTGGACAAGGGCGTCGTCTACAACATGGCTACACAGGTACGCTGGAAGCCACGCGGCGTCTATCCCTGCATGCCCGCTCCTTCGAGCCGTGATGACGTCGTGGGACTTGGCTGTGCCTGGCCGTTGCTCGCTGTGCGGTCACTGAGAATCGCCGCCGATGTGTGACCACGGCTTCCCCCCTCACGACCACCCACCACCACCAGCAGAGCTGAGAAGAAAATGTAGAGGCCACAAGTGCAAGAGCGGCGTGCAAAGAAACGGAATAAAGTTGACTTTAGTGCACGTCATTAACGCTGTGCTGAATTATACCTTAACATCAGTATAATATCAATAAATATCGAACAATCGAAATGCAATCCTGCGTCAGTGAATGACGTTGCATTGGTACATAGACTAAAACTAAGATTTACACCATTGGTACCTCATTTGCCTATAAAAAATATGTGAGACTAGGCTCTAAGGAAAGCTGTTTCAGGTGTGGACCAATCAACTTCAAGGACAGTGCATACATTATCAGAGTTATGTTTTTTGTTTGCATTATGACTGCAGGTATTGTGGTCTATGCAAACATGACTCCTCGTAAAAAAAAGTGTCAGTTTTGTTGCCAGATAAAAGGGTAAAAAAACTATTATAAAACTAAGATGCTAATGTTTTGCGAACCCCCATTCCAGAAGAGGCAGTGACAGGGTCGAATGTCGAACCCTGATAACGATGTTGATGTTTTCTTTTTATTTCGTGGATATGAATGGTGTTTCTGCACTTGAACGCAGCACAGATACATTACCACACCAATGCTGGTTCGAGATAAGACTTCGCATTTTAAATCCAGAGAAGTAAGTTGATTTATCGGGGATGCAATGTCATTCCCCGTAATTGGAATATCAAAATATCATTACATTTTACTACGCAGCAAAGCATAGATAAAACCAAACTATGTTGGAACAGTTTGTGCTTCACTGAATATTGCTGATGGTGTCATTTCACGATCATCATCATCACAATTCGCTTGATAATGTAAAACTAAGAATGGTGATAATATTCGGCCATGTGGTGCAGACAATCGGAAGGTCACGAGTTGAATCTTGAGGCCTCCCTGGTGTCAATGAAATGAATACCACTTTGTTGAAAAGACACCATTCGGCTGTCCAGAGCAAAATTGTGATTATATAGATGATTTGGCAGCTGCTATAAATTTCCACGTGATAAGCCACTTGGTTGAGCTATCAATTGTTGCCAGGTCGCTTCTGAAAAATAAGCTAATAGCTCCATGGGCTTTACCTGGTAAAATAAAAAAAAAATCGTGATTAATTTTCCTATACTTTGCACTCCTCTCGTGTTTTTGTAATGTTTGTTGTTGTAACTTTCTGACCCGCCTCTACTGGACATCTGTGAAAAAGCACTTTATAGCTCTTCGGATTCCTCCAGTATAAATATTATGATCCTGGATTGTGGAATTTCGATCTCTGGCTCAGATGTGCGTGCCACCAAAAGCCTGTGTGAGCAGGAAGACTTTTGTTGATTCTTTATATTAACTTTGTGGGTGCACTGTAATAATCACACGTGACATTCATGTAACGTTGCATCGATTCGTCTATTTAAAAAGGAAAATTTTACGCAGCTTATGGGCATTCGGGAGTGCATTTACAAGTCAATTATCTACACGTTTTGGAAATAGTTTATTTACCTTGCATGTAGGGTAGGCTAAGATAGCGAACAAAACTGTCAAACAAAACGTAAAAAAACCCACAGAAACAATATAAACAAGACGGTGAGAGCGACCACCAGTCTCGCAACCAAGGGGAATACCCTAAGATCATGTGGTGGTATTCTACGAGGACAGATCTTGGAGGTCGCTTATCTTCTGTACTTTTATTATGTTGTTCGTTGTGTGCGGCTGCATTTTATTTTGCGTGCGGTTGCAATTAATTTTACTTAGTCGGTGTTAGCTACTGAGGGTACTGACAGGGTTTGGTTTTTTATTCTTGTTGTTGCATGCCCGCTGTACCATTCCAATTCTGTCGTAATGTGCACTGACCGCCTACTTTATTGAGGGGGATATTGGCTCGTAGAATATCACGATGAGATGCGGTGATGGTGGCATTACGATGAGATGCAGTGATGGTGACATCACGATGAGATGCGCTGTGGTGGCTGCACGATGAGATGCGCTGTGGCGGCTACACGATGAGATGCAGTGATGGTGACATCGCGATGAGATGCGCTGTGGCGGCTACACGATGAGATGCAGTGATGGTGACATCGCGATGAGATGCGCTGTGGTGGAATTACGATGAGATGCAGTGATGGTGACATCGCGATGAGATGCGCTGTGGTGGCATTACAATGAGATGCAGTGATGGTGACATCACGATGAGATGCGCTGTGGTGGCATTACGATGAGATGCAGTGATGGTGACATCACGATGAGATGCGCTGTGGTGGCTACACGATGAGATGCGGTGATGGTGACATCACGATGAGATGCGCTGTGGTGGCATCAGGATGAGATGCAGTGATGGTGACATCACGATGAGATGCGCGGTGGCGGCTACACGATGAGATGCAGTGATGGTGACATCGCGATGACATGCGGCAGTAGTGGCATCACGATGAGATGCAGTGATGGTGGCATCACGATGATGGCATTTTTGATCTTGATCCTTGGGTTAACAAATGCCTGTGGGGGCTCGTGGTGGCGGTGGGGTAGGGTGCTATGTTGAGAGTCATGCCGCTACGGTGCGGACGGGGCCGGCGTGGCCGGCCGGTAAGTTGACGATTGCGGCGCATTGTGTGCCCGGGCAGCAGGCGGACTGGACCGCCAAGCGTCTGGTGTGGGTGCCGTCGGAACGCCACGGCTTCGAGTCGGCCAGCGTGCAGGAGGAGCGCGGTGACGACGTCGTGGTGGAGCTGGCGGAGAACGGCAAGAAGGCGGTGGTGAACAAGGATGACATTCAGAAGATGAACCCGCCCAAGTTCTGCAAGGTGGAGGACATGGCAGAGCTCACATGCCTCAATGAGGCATCCGTGCTGCACAACCTCAAGGACCGATACTACTCGGGACTCATCTACGTGAGTTCACACCCGTGCACGCGTACGTGAGTGTGTGTGTGGCCTGGCACAAGCACCGTGGTGACGTCACCGTCACTTAGTGGCGAATGGCGGTTATTGGTGTGTGTGAGCGAGCACCATTTGTGTGTATACAGGCAGGCAGTGTAGTGGTTCATGCACTCCACTGCTACGAACCCGGCGACTCAAATTAAATTTCTGCTCATGACTGATAAAAATGGCAAATGTTTGAACCGGTCTTGTGGTTCCTCTCGATTGACTCAGCCTTAAATGAGTACCTGGAGCGGTGTGTAAACATTAGTACTGAGGAGACAAAGGCCGGGTGTGGTGTTAGTCACCCAGCGTCTCGTGTGCAATGGTGGCCTTCGTAGGTGCTTGCTAACAGCACTCTCCCCAATAGTCTGTTAAGGCTATATGGGGGATCTTTATCTTTGTATAGGTGTGCATGCTTGGGTGAGAGTGGGCGACCGTATCCGATGTTTTTGTGCGTACCTCCGCCCAATCGTCCCACTTCTATTCCTCTTCCCGTGACCATCCGTTCAAACTTCCAAGGCCTTCTGTCAAAGCCTTCCGAGAACCTCCACTTGATGGGAGGATTACTCTTTGCTGCCGCTGCTGCTCTCAATGTCTAGAATTCCCTTCTTCTGGAACTCTGAACTGCTGAGACTCTCTTCCCTGCTTTAAACCTCAAATTAGTGCTGTTGGCTGCATATACGTCGGCTCAAGACTTGCCTCTTTCCTTATGCGCATGACTGACCGACCGTCTCCGCTCGATGAAGTGTCTTCACACCTCTTGTGCATAATGTCGTCTCAATTCCTCCATTGGCCCTGTCACATTCTACCGCTCGTTCCCGGCTCCTCCCGCGCTGTCTACATCCAGTTCGTGCTTTATCGTATTGTGTGTGTGGGAGAGTGGAGAGTGCACGCATGTGTGCGTGTTCGCGCCGAATTCGATTCCCGCTCACAAATAATAACATTGAATATTTGACCCGGTCCTGGGCCTCCACCAGGTCGACTCAGCCTTAAAAGGAATACCTCTTGCAGTGTGTAATCAGCAGCAATGGGGAGACAAAGGCGGCTGGGCGGGGTGCTGGCCACCCACGCCCGTGGTGTGCAGTGCCGGCCTTAATTGGTGCTCGCTAACAGCACTTGCCTCAATCGTTTGTGATATGGCTACATGAGGGATCGTAGTCTTCGCTCGGACACTGCACTGCTGCCTACCACAATCCATTTTTTTTACCATGTTCACCAGTGGATCCTAAACTAGGCCTGGGCCACCCCACAAGGTGGACTCAACCATTTTCGATTAATGTTATCATCGGTCAGGATCCTTTGAAAATGCAGCTACACTCATCACCATTTGCAGTTCGGACCACGTTCCCTTATCTTGTCTCTGCCTGAAATGAAAACCGCGGTGCAGCTTGCGAATATCGGCGTCTGGGAGGCAATGGTGTGCTCCCACGCTGGCCTTAGTACATGCTCGTTAACAGCATTTTCCGCAACAGTGTCTGACGCTAGATGGAGGATATTTGTCTTTATCTTTGCATGTGTGCTTTTGAGTGGGTTTGCATGAGAGAGCAGAGTTTTTCTGGAGTTAGGCTGAGTGGGAGGATCGTTTATGTGATGGGGACGGTAGTAGTGTGTGGAGGGGTGGAGGGGAGTGTTGTGGATTAGGGGTGTATTTTTGTATGGGTAGTGTGTTTTGGGAATGGGGGTTAACTCGCCTGTGGGAGTGGAATTTGGTCTGCTCTGGGAGGGAGGGAGGGAGTGTGGCGGGCGTTTGTGGGAGAGGGGGAAGGTGCGCGTTTGTGTTTGCGTGTGTTTGCGTGTGTTTGCGTGCGTTTGCGTGTGTGCTTGAGGGGAGCGGTAGTGCAACGGTTAATGCGCTGTGCTACGAGCTCGGCTACCCGAGTTCGATTCCCACGCACGGCCAACACCAGTGACGATTATCTGAACCGATCTTGGGCTTCCCCGAGGTCGAGTCGTCCTCAAATGAGTACCTGGTGCGGTGTGTAAATATCGCCACTGGGGAGACAATGGCGGTCGGGTGTGGTGATGGTCACCCACCCCCTCGTATGCCGTGCCAGCCTTTTTTGGTGCTTGCTAACAGCACTTGCCTCAACAGTCTGTTAAGGCTACACGGGGGATCTCTTTCTTTGTTTGTGGGTGTATGCAGGAAGTGTGTGCAGGAGTGTGGCGTATCGAAGCTGTGTGCATGGATTGAGCATTTCGACCTCCTAATGCAACGTGAACAAATGAATACGTACTTTCTAAGCATATTCAGCGGTCCGGTCCTAATCTGGCCTTGTGCATCCTAACAAATCATTAGCGATCTTAATGAGCATGTTGTGGGATCTGCTCTTCAATGGCCATCTGACAAGTTCGTCATTGTGCCAGCATTCCACAGTAGTCCCTCACCGCCCGCGCTGCCCGCACCGCCCTGAGTTTACACGTCTGTGGGTGAATGTGGCAACTGTTACGAAAATCACAAAATTTATACCGGTTCCTGCGTCCGTGAACCAAAAAAAGTCAGTCTAGGTCACATAGTCGAGAGAGTCTGCTCCGTGTCTGCACTTGGTGCAATGTTTCAGCCCGATCTATGATTGATACTAAACATTGGATGATGGATTTCACGAGCAGTTAACCACATTCTGTAACTCATTCCTTGAAAAAAAACGAAGCATGCTGGCAAGGGTGCCTTGAAAGAACGCAAATTTATTCACCAAGTTGGACAAAAAAAAAATACGCAGGTGATTACATTCACGGGTTTAGACATTTGTGACATAGTTAAGACGATACGTGATTTGAGTGCAAAATTTTGTAGGTGCGTGGAAATTATCTTCAGGGATGTCGGTGGAAATAAACACGAATCAAAACCTAATTTTGGATACTTAATTAATAGTGCGCTGGAGGTGCTATGAGCTTTAAGCCTGGGTGTTTAAAATAGCAGTTTACAGCCATGAGGTGAGCGTTAATTTCACAAATCCGCGCCGAGACTGTTCCTGCTCCACCCCCAACCGCCCTGGGGCGATGGCGTTCGTTGGCGACACTCGGCCACGTCGTCTCGAAGCGCCTCCCCGAGCGGAACGTTGATGATCGCGGGCAATATCTGGACGCAGTGGCGGTGCAAAGTCACTTAATCGGTGCGGCATTACGGCACAAGCACGAGATGGGGGTCATGCAAGCGGCACCGGCACAAGAGTCCCCCCCCTTCCAGATGGCCTGCGCTTGTAGGACCATGTCCCACCACGCGTGCAGCGCCAGCGTTTTTTCTGTCTGTCGCTCGGTGGCTTCCTACCGCCTGCGAAAGACGAGCAGCAGCAGCAGCAGGAAGGAGAGTGAGACTGCGCTGATGCCGCAGCCTCGGGCAGGCGAGAGCTGGCTGATTGAATTCATTTCTGGTTAACATGCCTAAAAACAACTATACTCATCGAGCAACCGTACATTATGCTTAGAGACTCGAAGTGTAGGTATAATCACACATTTATGCAACAACAAAAACATAGTGGGGGAGTTTTTCTCTCCAATGTTTCAACGCTGCCCCGATTACCAGCGTGCAACGAAGCTGTGCTCTTGGGTCGCCGTGTCCGTCGCTGCTTATCCGCCAGAAGGAGGGTCAACCTCCCGTGACATTCCAGAGGCCAGTGAACCCTGCTAGGCCTCGCGCGCTGAGCGTAGTTGGGGGGCGGGGGGAGATCGGAGTGCACGGCTCAAAGCTCTTTCTCACTGCATGTGAGAAGAAGACCGCCATCCCGCAGACAGTTTGTGGTGTGTTTCTGCTTTCAGGCGCATCAGCGGAATTGTTTGTGCTTTTTTTTTAACGTCAAGAGGATTTTCACTTCCTATAGTCTCCTACAGTCCTGAATGTAATATATATATTTAGTTGCTTCATCCTTGCAGGGTCCATAACATGAGAATATGTTTTGCGGGAAGTAAAGTGGTCATCTTTTGCATAAATTGGAGTACCTGCCATGAGAATGTGGAATTTCCACCATTACGTTTTCAGGGCCACCCAATGCAGATGAGCACTGTCCCCCGCATGCTCATTGCAGCATGCGGACACGCGGCACGGTATTATATTTACATAGTTGTGTGGAGCGATATGTACAGTTACCCTATGTGTATTGTTTTGTTTAAGCATGCCTACCATCATTTAATGAAATTGGTCAATTATCCCAATGCAATTACCCTCTAAATAAAGAGTATTGTCACTTGGTGAGGCTTTCCTAGATAAAGAGCATTATAAATACCATTATTATAACAGCAGTACCACCCGGCCAAATGCAGGGGACAGAAAATAAACACTAGCAAATATGACATAACCACATACAGTGTTCAAAATTCATAAATAAGCTTCATGGGGCCAATTATAATTATGTAACTATCTACTCTGATGTTTTGCTCATTTCTCCCACTTTACCCATCAACGGGCTACCCCAGTAACATCCTCGTCTTCTTGTGACTCGTGTGTTTTGCTTGCAATCAGCAATGTTGCTCTTTGGAAAGCCGGGTCACAGTTGCACGGTGCAGTGCTGCCCCGTGGGAGTGATGTGGAGGAGGTCCGGGGGAGGGGTCCCTTGACGTGTTCCGTGAATGAGACGGTCGCTCGGGCCTTGTACACTGGACTGCCAAAGCAGCACTCCGTATAATGCCTCCTGTCACACCGGTAATGCAGAGTGCACTGACCTCAGAGAAGGTTAACTGACGCTCGTTATTACAGTACATATTGACGTACCTGCTGTCTATTTTCTGATACCCAGCAAAATGCAGAATCTCACTCCTCTTAAAAGCATTGCCCGGTGCACCGCTGTTAATAATTCAACGTGGTTTTTTTTTGTGGCACGGTCGTTTGCGTTCGTGAATTCATATCGCGAACGGCTATTTTGACATAATAGTTTTTTTCTGTCGATGCGCGAACGTGGCTGAGTCGAGCGTTGTCGTTGTCCACGCAGACCTACTCGGGACTCTTCTGCGTGGTGGTGAACCCCTACAAGAACCTGCCGATCTACACGGACCAGATAATCGAGATGTACCGGGGCAAGAAGCGCCACGAGATGCCGCCCCACATCTACGCCATCACGGACTCGGCCTACCGCAGCATGCTGCAGGGTGAGCCGCTCTCCCGCCACATGCGCCGTTGCGGCGCCGTTAGCCAACCATGCCGTCCCACGCCATCCCGTGCCGTCCTGCACCCTAATAAATGGCAGTAAACCGCCGTCCCCACCTCCCCATAATCATCATCATCATCAGCAGCCACGATCTATCCACTGTTGGATCAAGGCCAACTCCAAGCGGTAATCATTTCTCGTGGTCATGCAATACAATAACCCTGCATCTCCTGCACACGAGCGGCATCTCATTGCTCCATCTCCTTGGCGTACGTGCAATTGGGAGCACGTTCTCTCCTTTGGCTGCCAGTCGACTGTTAATCTCGACCACCTGCCATAATTCCACATGTAATGATTATTGTCATCAACATCATCATAAAAATATATATGAAGATGAAGCTATTGATTTTTAGGCACATTATTCAGTGTTGTGTGTGTGGGTGCTGGAAGTGTAAGAGTCAATTTTGAATGTTTATAATTATTGTACATTACATCCTCATTTTTTGAGAACAGTTTTTTGTGTATTAGTTTGTTGTTCTTCTTCCGCACCTCCGATTAGCACAGTTGGGTATGTACGGTGGGAAATAAGTTCTACATACATACATACATTCTTGGAATGGCTGGGAAGGCCATTCAAGTTGAAGTTATAGAGGTCATCAAGGCCAATGCTGTTGATGCCGTCACCACCACCACCACCACCAACAGACAACATCACCATAACTTCATCTGCCAGATCCCAGAGCAATTGCATAGTTAACACCAGGCCTAAAAGGTCTGCTCTTTCATTCTTTCACTTTGTGTGTCCACTCCTTCTGGTTGGCCCCGGTTTACTGTAGTTTAAAATCACCATCAGCAAGCTGGCTCGTGTAGCATATTGATCTTATCGTCACGTGAACCACAAATTTAACTCGGGTGCCGTTGGGCTGCCGCATCATTGTGGGCAAGTTCCCACAATGCCGTGCGAGCCTCGGCAGAATGAATAAGTGTAGGCGGCAGCCTGGTTCACTCGCTGCTTTAACACTGTCAACTTGGGGCTGTTTTAGGTAACTGTGGTAGTGTGGAAAATTTTGTCCTTATTCGGAGTCATCGTTCTCACCCTGCTCCCCGGTGTTAAGCAGGGCAGCTGTCCTCAGCCAGCTAAGTTGTTTGGAGTCCATCTGGAGGTAGTTTTTAATCGGCTGGGGAGGAAGCTGTGTTTGAAATTGACCGCACTACTGTGTACTCTTCATATACGGTAGTGTTCACCTCAGCTCTGGTCAGGCAATGGAGTCACCCCCGCCACCCCCCCACTCCTACCTTACGACCCCCCTCCCCCGCCACACTCTGAGTGTGAGTCAGACCTGCAAGCCGGTTGCGGGAAGATGATGTCAGAATTTGTACATTGGGTATTCGTGCCATTGTTGTCGCGCGAGGCTGTCACACACCGCCAGCTATATGTGTCGCTGAGGCCTGCGCACCCGAGGGGTTTTCCTCATCGCGGCGCTCCCCAAGGCGAACGGGGGGTGGGGGCGACACGCAGTGCCACGTTGCTTGGCCGTGGGCAGCGGTGGGAATGCTTGGAATCGCGAGCGTTTGGTTGCACGAGCGCCACAGCTTACTCTCCCCCCCCCCCCCCGCACGTGGCCACCTGACGTGGCTTAAGTTTCCCGGGAAGAGGGTCGCGGCTTTTGAAACGGATCACACGGGACAGAAAGTGGTGCGCGCAGAATCTGGGCAGAGGTGTGTCGCCTGGCAACGGCTCTCCCGGCCAACCCGCCGCCACCGTGCCGCGTTTCAACCTCAATGCCGCGGATCGAAAGCTCTTCTGCTTCTCCTCTCCCCCTTCTCCTCCGCTCGACTTTGGAATTGTCCCCCTTACCCTCGCCTCTTTTCACAAGTTCTTGTAACCTTGCTCGATTCAAGAAATGCATTGATCTTATTGGGCAGTGCCGTTTTATTTTGCTGGTTTGCTTGCCGATTTGGTCCTTTGGGGGGGGCAGTGATTGGCAACCCATTATAAAAAGTGTACAATTAAAATGGTTGACATACGTCACACCGTGGCAGCAGCGTATGCTCTTGTAAATACGGTCAAAAACTGCCTTTAGTGTGAAATTGGTGATATAGCACCTCAAACGTATCCTCTGTACGAATACCGTTTCCTGCAGATAATGTTTGTACGGCAGCAGATCGTTTTACACGCGGTTTTACATTTCTAACGGGAAAATATGCTCGATTTTGTTGTTGTCAGCTTCGACAGCTTGCCACAGCAAAATGACGTGACACGTGTGGATGGGTGCGATATGCCCCGTTTCCCTCCATCCACGGTAGGCCGTGCATGGCCGTTACGGTACTTCCCTTCCCGTCGCAGTACCCTTTTGGTTCCTCTTGGAACCACGGGGGTCTGCGCGCGGCTCGCCGAGTTGACTGCTGCTCTGTGGTGCTGCTGCTGCTGCCGCCGCGGCGGCACACATTGTACCGCGAGACGTGAACTCGTCGTATAAACACTTTTGACATTTTAACGCATTGGCGGTAAACCGGTGGTGCGCGGTGTAAAAACAGCAACATTTCTGTAATAATTATTTATTTTCCTGCGATTCACAACCCCGGTCATAAAATCTTGCGGGGTGCATCAAAATCAGTTTTTTAATGTCGATGCAGTCGGAAGATGAACGTTATGAGCAGCTGAACACGTGTAGTGACATCGTTGGATGTCACTGTGTATGTCACTGTGTGAAGTGACATACACAGTGGCTAGGGGCGGAGCGAGCCCTGCCACACAGGTTATAAGCCGGAGCCCTGAGCGGCACCGGCTGCTGTTATTATCCTCAAGACTCTGCGCCTACATCCGAAGACAAGTCGCCAACACGCGGACCGGGACCCAAGCTGGGGTCCCGTCCGTCGTAGCTACTCCCAGTGTAGTTAGTGTAGTTACATGATGGACCATCATTATAGGTTGTTATCTGGTGAAGGGGCAGTTACCCCTTTGTGTTAGTGTGTTGGTATTAATAAATGTGTTGCCTCCAAGAATACGACTTGAGTCTTGGTTTGAGCCCACTACACACGTAGCTATTTAGCACCCAGCCTGATAACAATTGGCTCCAGGTTCCAAAGGCAGATTTTATGAGGACCGGTGTATTATGATGTACCAATATACCGCCAATACGTCCCTTCCCCCCCCTCCTCGTCAGAATCAGAATCTTTATTCGACTGGAGAAATCCGATGAGTGGTGAAGCTCTTTTTCTTTTACAGATGTCCAGTAAGGGGGGCGGGTCAGAAAGTTACAACAACAAACAATGCAAACAAAAACGATAGGACTGCAAAGTTTAGGAAAGGTAAACAAATCACTAAAAATAAATAACCAACCTAAAACTATATTATTTTTATTTTACCAGGTAAAACCCACTGAGCTATTCGTTACTTTTTCGGACGCAACCTGGCCACAAATGATAGCTCAACGAAGTGGCTTATCAGGTCCAAATTTATAGCAGCCAAGTAAACCCACCCACCCCCACCTTGTTCTTTTTAAAGTTCACTCAATTAATCGCCTCGATTTTGTACGTATTGGCAACAGAAATACAAATGGCTTGTGTCTTTTTGAATTAGATTGAACAGGAAGTTGGCAGTTGGAGCAGCATCTGTGGCAGTGAGAGCAGCGTTAGTGGATGAATTTTTTTTGGCTTCACTCGCCATGGCCGTAACCTCAAGGGCTGGGCTGCCTCTGTTGGCCACAGATGCTTACGCTTAATTACTTATACCATGCAGTCAGGCCGAGGGCTTCGTAAGGCAATCGGAGCGTGCATTAGCACCGTGGGATTTAGCCATGAAATCTTGAAAAAAAAATTTTTGGGTTTCCATACGATTCCTGTGCGACTTCTGTTTGGCAAGAGGGAGGGGTAATGGATGATGTGGTGGTTTCGCTGGACGCAGAAATAACGCGTCGTGTGGTCTTGGCTGTTTTTAAATTTAGGAGCATAGGTCAGTAACGTGTGTTTGCCTTCCTAGTTGTGCAATTGCATTAAGAAGTATGCCGTTGCTATGATCAGGTTACATTCCTTCATCACTGCAAATAGCCGTCTCGCACCCTCGCGTTAAACTAGGCCACCCTGTTTTTGCCTGGTCCGCTCCCTCGTCAGCGTTGCGCTTTTCCGATGTCACATTTGCCGTCGGGACGACTCGGTGGTAAGGCACAGTTACGTCTCTTTCCGCCTACCGCGGCCCATCCAGGGCTAAGCATTAGTGTCACATGCCGGGTCTGACCACCGGTGCTAGAAGAGGCCAGGCCCAACGGACTCCGCTGACGGAGGCTTGCCGAGTGCCATGGCAGAGCCCTTCGGCTCCGTGGCGCGAGTTTTCCTCCGCGTGCCACTCGGATCGTCAATGTTTTTTTTTATTCCTGAGATGTTTGCTGCACCAGCACTCGCTGGAGCTCCACAGCGTCCGTGCGCCCCCAAAGCTGGGCACTTGGCGGGATCTGCCCCGCGGCATCGTCGCCACATGTGTTTCCTGACACCTCGCGCGGTCCCACGCAGCTGCAAGGGCACTTCCTCCCTCTGCCTTGGGCCCCCTGGTTCCGCCAGAGCCCCTGGTTCCCCCCTGCCCCCCCGCACCCCACAAACCCCCACGTTCCCCCCCCTCTCCCCCCCAACCCTCGGAGTGCCCCCACGTGCCGCCTTATATGGGCACCGCGACTCCTAAACATTCCAATAAAACTGCACGAAAGACCCAAGATGTATTCGTTTAGTGCGCGTGATGTAGTACAAACATGCTTTGCAGGAGGTCGCGTTCGTGCGATCGGTGAACGTTCACATCTGCGATCCCACCAACCCCAAGCCGGGTTTTCTTGTTGACGGTGGCAGTCTTTGTGGTTTCTCGCTTGAAGCCAAAATCGCGCACCGGTCTATAGATCTGGCTCCTGATATTCACGTTCCTGTGGATTTGTTCCATGCATGTTTTTTTACAGACTGCAATACAAAGAGTTTGAATAATTGTAAGAAGAGTATTTACATTTTAGGAGTGTTTGGTTTTGGAATAGAATGGCTAATGTGGCCTTCACGCGCACAATGTAAATGGCCATTTTTTGTTTTTGCCCTATAAAGCACTTGGGAATTGTGTGTATGGAAATGACCGATCCTACAAAATACATATCGTGCATTCAAAAATGAATTGCATGAAGGACGCGGGAGAGGCGGGGGGGGCAACGACGGCTTTTGTCGATGTAAACGAGCACATGCATGGACATCGAAAAGTAACCACGCGAACACTTTGCTCTTAGAGTGAGGAGGCTAATGGACGAGCTTCTTTGCGTCAATTTTGCGGGTTCCTGCTGCAGCGGAAATTTTTTTGCCGCTTTTGTAGCAGCGATGGTGTCTCTTCTTCTCCGGCTACCGTAAGCGATGGGGGGTATTGCATAAAATGTAACAAATCCTCTTTGCTTCGTTTGGCCGGATTCAACTGTTCTGCAGCCCGGGGAATGCCGCTCAGCGTCATGTGTGGTGCTGATGTAACTGGCAGTGTTCGTGAACCTTGCCTTTTGACTGACGCCTGTGCCTCGCCCTGTCTCGTTTCAGATCGCGAGGACCAGTCTATCCTTTGCACGTGAGTCCCATCCATCTGCTCCACTCGATCCCGTTACAAACCCTCTTGGAGGGGGAGGGGGGTCTCCTTTGCGCAAACCCCTGTCTTTTGTTCCGGCTATAGGCGCATGCAACGCAAAAAGATTGCCGCGCTTTCGACTCTGTGGGTACGGGCACCCGTTTAATGAAAACGAGCCCCTGGAAAGGGGGGGGGGTGGGAAATTAACTTCATCAGTGGTGTTATTTTTTTGTAGCCCATGTGGAAAACATTGGTGAAGAAAAAAAGCATTTCAGAAAGTTGATGCAGGGAGTATTTTGTGGTTCTTCTGGCCCTCAAGGGGCTGCTGTTGTTTATGTGTCCTGGGTAGTTTTTTTATGGTTCTGCGTTGGGCAGAGCTGCTGTTTGGTTATGAATTCCATCACTGCAGGCACTAAAACAAACTGCAGTTTTTTTGTCGTGATGGTGGAGTCAGGAAGCTTGTTTCCTTGATGCCCTGAGACTCCCTCTGGGTCAGAAGTTTGCTCGGCAATAAGCTCACATTCCTGTGCATAAAAATAAAAGGAGAAAAATCTTGACATCTTCGCGCAATACAATTTGCGGCATGGACTGAGGTGACCTGGTTCTTTTTATCTTTTTTCCCCGACGGCTATCTGCTCGCGTAAATTTTTCGCGACGCACGGTTTAGAATTTGCGGCGTGAAACGCCAGGAGCTGGGATGAAAATTTCCGTGCAGCGGTTTGGGTCGGGTGGCGGCGGTTGCATCGCGCAGATTGTTGCTGGGACGATAATCTGGCGATTAAGCAAGCCGAAAGGCGACTTTAAACGTACCGTGATCTTGTAACTTTGCCAGCGTTTGGGAAATCGTACGCAGCAAAGCACTGCTTGGGAGGCTGCGTGTGGTGAGCGCGTGGTCAGTCGCAGCCTGGTTCTCACTCGGATTCCGATTTTAATGTTTTCGACCGTTGCAGCGCCCCACTGGGAATTCCTGCGGCCCGATTTGCCGTGGCGATAAGCTGAAAGCTCGTCGAGTGAACCGGCCTGCTCGCCTGCCCGCCTGTTTGCCGGAGCTCGCAGGACGGCGAGCGTGCACAGGCGTTGATAGCCGATATCGGTGACGTCTTCACCTTGGCGTGCGGGTCCCGCATATCTGGAGTGGCTGGACATGGCTGGAATTTTTCTGTCCCAGAAAGATTGATGTTTGCTTTGGTATTTACGTGATAATCTTTGCTTGCGTCCAGCTCTGAGACCAGTGCGGCGCGTTGACGGATTTTAAGCGTTGGTCCGCATGGCGCTTTCGCCGAAAAAGAGCCGTACGTGGTGAGCGTTTGCGGTTTGAGACTCTCGTTTTGGTTTAAAAGCAACCGGTGTTGGCCTCTGTGAAGGGGCGTGGGGTGGCAAGGATACACGGGGCTCATTGCCGGGCTGCCAGGGGGGGTTCCAAGCCATTGCCACCACTTTCACTGTTGTCAAAAGCCAATCTCAACAGTTATCTGTTTCAACACTTAACTCGCAGAGTGCGGGTGACACGCGTTGCATTGCGTCAGCGGCTGATTGCTGTGATCCCAGAGTGGCGACTTGTGCTGCTGGCATTCTGGAGTAGCACAGTTATGTTCTTTGGCCTTTGATTTGCTGAGAGTAGAATGTCGCTGTGCACTGATGTCAAAGTGAAAATCCCGTGCGTGGCCTGTGAACTGTATTACTCGCTCACGTTTCTGAGTTACCCTGATAAAAGGCCGGTGTTATAAATCAGACGCAGTTAAATATTTTGTCAGTTTGGGGACCGTGTGGAATTTAAACTTTTCTCATCCTGACCGATGTGAAACTCTGAGAATAACGTTGAACAGGTTTGCTTGTGTTAAACGTAACCACACCACCGTTAAATTACATTTCACGGAGCCCTGTGTTCCGTCGTGGGCATTGTGACCTGCGCTCGTTGTCGACTTAACGAACCGTTTGTGCCCCTCCCCCGTAACTCTACGATTGTGGGTCACGATTCAACCGTATCCTGTTCCCTTTCCTCTCTGGCGCATGCCACAAAATATGCTAAACTATAAACTATCGTTTATTGTTACCGGGTAAGCCTCACTGAGTTGAATGTGCTCTTTTTCAGAAGCGATCAGGCCCCAAATGATCTCTCAACGAAGTTGCTCATGTGGACATTTATAGCAGCCAAATAATCTAAATGCATGTTTCTAAATGTGGTGGGAAAACCGGAGGACCCGGATAAAAATCCACGCGACCATGGGAGAGAGAGAGAGACATGTCAACTCCATATGTACAGGCGTTGGGGTTTGGATTGAACCCATACCGAGGGAATTAACATCTCGCCACTGCGGATAATTTTTACAGCGGTATTATTTTTCTAAACACATCATAATCATTATCAGCAGCCATGATATATCCACTGTTGGATGAAGGTCAACCTGTCATAGTTTTTCATGGTCATGCAATACAACCCTGCAGCTCCTGCACACGAGCTGCGTCTCATTGCTCCATCTCCTTTGTGGACGTACAATCGGGGGCACGTTCTCTTCTTTGGCTGCCAATCGACCGTTAATCTCGACTGTCGGCGGCCATCATTCCAAATCTGATTATTATCATCATCATGATAAAAAATATATATGAAGAGGAATTTATTTATTTTTAGGCACATTATTCAGTTGTGTGTGTGTGTGCATGCCGGAAGGGTAAGAATCCATTTTAAATTACCGTATCGTACGTCGTATCCTGCACCTCCTAATTAGCACGGTTAACTACGTACGGTGCGAAAGAAGTTCAACATACATACACAACCGCATTCATGCATTCTGCAGCGAGCATGGCTGTGCCAGTCCTTGAATAGCGTAGGGCGAGAAGCGTTTAAACCCAACGTCCCTCTCCCCTTCAGATTGGCAGAGTAGTCCTTGTGCCAGGGGCGAGTTGCCCGACTGAGGAGAGCAGTCGTTCACGCCTGGCTCCTATCTCTCTCTCTCCGATTGGCTGGGGGCTCTGCGCGTGCAGGGGCGAGTCGGGCGCCGGCAAGACGGAAAACACGAAGAAGGTGATCCAGTACCTGGCGCATGTCGCGTCGTCCCCCCGGGGACGCAAGGACCACACCGCTCCGGTCAGTATCTCTCCCTCACCCTGCCCCCCCCCCCCCCCCTTTACGGATCCACCTGCCGGATCCGATACCAGCACCCGTGCCCCACGCGCTCCCGGTAGGTGAACGCTTGCAGTGAATGCTGGGCGCTTCCCCTTTGAATGTCTGGGGCAGGGCTGCGCTTTGTTTATATTCACTTATTGTTGGTGACTTGCTGACCTTTTCTCTATCTTGCTCCTATATTGTTTTTGCATTGTTCGTTGATGTAACTCGCTGACCCACGTGTCCCTACTGGACATCTCTGAAAATGAACTTCATAGCTCGGATTCTTCCAGTCTGAATAAAGATTCTGATTCTGATTGTTGGGAGCTGGTGGCGGGGGGGGGGGCCGGGGGTGAGTTGGTGGGTCATGCGCAGGTCATCGTGCGAGAGACCCCTAGCCCGCTGGGCTTTTTTAAGTGACCGTGAAACGGCAGTACAGCAAGTTGGTTACCGACCTGCATATGGGGATATTGAATGTTATCCTTTGGTGTGGGTGGGTATTCTCCGGGTACTCAGGTGACTTCCCACGTGCAGAGAACGCCCCATAGCGAACTGGACAAACGTCCTGAAAAGGGAGTCTAGAGGCTCGTGTTGTTGTGCGTTGAGACTCGATGTTGGAATCCCTGGTTCCTACCCAAAATGCAATCCGATTTTCGTGTGTAACGTTTGATGGCCTCAGCACGATCACTAGAGGTTAAGCAAAACATTTTAGTTACGTCAACGTTTTTAGTTTTATGCCTCGGGCAATCGCTGTTGTGAGACTTTAACCATCGGATAGGTGCAGACATGACCTCGGAATCGTCTGCAGGATATAAGGTTGCGTAATGGAGAGGGCCAATGAAGGATGCCTGGTAAATGGCCTTAATGTCACCTTTGGGTTCATATTCTTGGTTCTTTCAGTAAAGTCACGTAACTTTACCGAAAGAACCAAGAATATGAATTCCTGCTGTCACGACAGTTTTGAGTCATAAATTTCACCTTTGGGTTGTTTTACAAATGCACGTGCTCAGCTGTCATGGCAGCTCACTCCGAGTGGATAAATAAATCGGCCTTCGGGTGGCGCCACATTAGGAAAAGCGCAGATAAAAATTGACGAAAAAATTGCCGGGGCGTAAATTTTCTTCGCGGAGACGGGAAATAATAGCGCTGACGCGGCGGCCGAGAAACATCTCCGCGAAGGTTGGGCCGCTGCTGACTGCTACCGTTTTGTACGCACGGCACGGAGCGGTCGCGCACTAATGGTGTGAAATACAGCAGGCAGGCCTAATCGGTGTCAATATCCCCCCGACAGTAAAATCCGAAGCGGAGTTTTAAGCGCGCTGCAATTTCTCCGACGGCGTGTGAGCGAGTCGCGGCGCAGCCGCCGGCGTAAACCCACGACGGTCGTCTCCCGCGTCTCGTACAGAGAAGGCTCTCACTCGCGCACGAACCATTGTTGATTTTTACACGGGACAGATCGCGCGGGTTGCAATGCCGAACGCGCGTCGTAGACCCTCCTCCCGCCCGACACCGTCCTCCAACAAATAAAGTTGTCACGTAAACAAACGTGCCAATTATTCGATGACTTCAGCCCAACGGTATGCATACCCCGGTGTTGAACATACCGATGTGCTGGAGCAAGAACAATTGTTGAATGTTGCAGATCGCTCTCTTCGGCATACCGGTGCGCTGAAGCAAAACAACCACGTTTGTCAACAGCGCATGGTTATTTATTTGGCATCCGGTATCCTTCTGTCGGCCATGGCTGTGGCTACTGATCAAGTGCCTCAACCCAGTCTGTTGCAAGTGACTCGGAAAATATTTAGTGGGGAATTAAGACTTGCGTAATGAATTAAGAATGTGTTGCCTGGCTAACTTTTCCCTTTACAGGAAAAAGCCTCCCCCCCCCTCCCCTGCTCCGTTGTTTCATCGGGCTCCGACCTTGGTTATCTTCGTTATATTGCGGTGCTAGAGGCGATGCCATTCCCCATTCTCGTGGCTTCTGCCATAGCGCACGCGGGGCGTGAACTAAACTCCCAACGGTTCCCGCGGATGGTAACCAGCTGAGTCCCGAGCCTTGGAGGAATTCACGGCGGGATCTGTTTGTGATGACGTTTTAAGTGCTCGTGAAGAAACGGCGACAAGGCGAATGGGATAAACGGCACGCAATTGTGGGTCACGATAAAAATAAAAATCGTAACTTTGTCCTTCGTGGGTGGCCATCTCAGCACTCCGCAGCATAATTCCAAGTAAACTACAAGAAGAGTCAAGATGCGGATGGGATTGAACGAGAAAAGATATGATTAAAATTTGACAATTAAGCAAGGACTATTACTCGGCGGTGGGGGGGTGGAGAACATTCAAAGTATTTTTGAATTGCTTTGTAATTGTACAGCCACGTTAAATTCTGTCAAGAGTGGCTGCAGTTTGGAACATCGGCATTTTACGCTGCATAATAGTCATTTGATTTCACACAATGGCAGGGTGGAACGGTAGCATAGTGATTTGCACACAGTAGAGAACAGAGTTCGATTTCCAGCCGTGGCTAATTGCACCGCTCACCAACCCGCACTGCCCAGCTTAGCGAAGTACGGGAAAGCGACCTCCACAGCATACAGACCCCCTCGTGCAGCAGTGCGTGTGTGGCCCAGGAGTAAACACGCGCGCGCGGCCTCCGATACTACCGGCGCTGCTGCCTACTACGCCCGAGGAGCGCAAGTGAGCGGCTTCGCGTGACAGCTGTTGTCGGATAGAAAAGCAAGAGGAGTGAAAGCCAAGCTGGCTGCGGCTGGTTTGGCGTGGAACAGGCTGTGCCGGGAAGGGCGAGGGCACAGAGGGCGTTCACGCGGCATGAAGGACAGTCCCTGAGCTGTGCTGGACGGTCCGGCGCTCCGGCTCGCTCTGATATCTAACCCCCCCTCCCCTCTCCTTTTCTCCCCTCCTTCCCTCCCTGTCTCGGCAACGCGTGTTTTGGAATTGCCGCAGCCGGAGTCCCCGAGGCCTCTCAAGTCTCAGGCAAGTGTTTCTTTGTTGCTAATTGCTGCGAAGGCTCATGGTGCACCCCGCTGGCGGTGCTCGTGATCAAAGCGGTTGGTGGTGCCACCCCCCTCCCCCACCCCTCACCCCGCCATGCTCCTGGCCGATGCTCGACTCCAACGATCATTCCGGGCCGGGCTCGAACTTTCCTCATTTGACGTCTGACAAAGAAGTGGTTCTCGTTTTCCCCGTGTCCATTCCGCCCTCCACTCGAAGCACAGCTCTTGGTTAATCTTAATACAATTAGCAATTCCCGTTAGGGTCGTGGAACGTGATGCAGAGAGAGAGTTCTTGGCCTTGCCACCTTACTTCGGCCGCTCACTCCTGATGAGCCTCACTGCTTTCTCTGCAGCTTGGCGCGAATGGTGCCCCGTTTTCTTGATCGTGGTGCAACGAGGGGTGGGGTGTGTTGGCCTACCTGACCAGGATTTGAACTCGTAGCCCTCCAGCTGCGAGTCGTGTGATTCGCTACCACGTCACCGGGCCAGTATATCGTGGAGACATGACAAACAATTCGGAAAAAAATTGGCAAATTTCCCAGGCATAACGCTTCTGAAAAGAGATCGTTTAGGCTGTTCTGAGTAAATAAAGTATTAGTAATATTTATGAATCGTAAAAGTTTGGAGAGCGTTCAAAGTTATCGACCTGTGTTTTTTTTTTCACATTGGCTCTGGAACATGGTTTTCCTTGCGGCGCACAATGTCCTAGCTTGGGCGATTGTGAAACGCGACCGTGATTTACGGCGTTCGTCTCGCCAGATCACCACGGCCGCCTCTACCTCCCCGCGTGTTCGCCGCTCGCTTCGCCGACTCGGGCGCCGTTTCAAGGCCGCACGACCCCAATCTCTTCGTTAGAAATCCCTTTGAAACACCCATCCGATTTTCTCCTCGAGTGGACGTGACCCCTATCACCAGTGCAATTTATACGTGGCCTCATCCACCTCGTCCTCCTCCCGGTTTGCGCCTGCCGAATCGCTGGTTGGGCAGCCACACCGGAAGCGTGCATGGTGTATTTTTAACGGCGAAACTTCCTCCCGTGGTGCCGCGGAGATGCGAGGCGAGGAGGAAGCGCGCAGCCCGGCGTGTGTGTTTGTGAGCGCACGTCCACTGCTTGACGGACGTGGGACAGCTGCCCACCCCGCCAAACAGCTGCGTAGGCGGAGCGTGGTGGCGCTGTCCTCCGCGGGCATTCCTGCATGGCACGCAGGCGCACCACACAGAAGCGCATTGATTCACTTTGAAAACGTTGGTCCCGCTTTTTGGCTGTTTTTTTCTTACTCAAACCGTTAATCGCGGGCCCCCAGTTTTATCCCAATGGTGCTATTGGTGTCAAATGACTCGGTTGGTATGAAACGTAACAATTATACGTAACACTCGTCGCCCCCCAACTGTGAAAAACTTAGCAGTACCCTCGTCACAGGCGGTTCCTGAGACTCGGTGAGGCTTTCCCGAGTAAGCGATGTAGTAATAAATAATTAACGGCCATGAGACAAAGTCTGCATTCAAATCTCTCGCGGAGCGGTGCAATCCTTCGTGTTGGAGAGAATGGCTCGCCGAGGCGGTTATCGCAGAACGAGTGACGGTCTTCGCCCTGTCATCAATGGCTGCACGTAAAAAAAACCCAAAGCATTAAATTTGCTCGTCAAATAAATTCGCTAAATTCTGAGAGTGGACATTATCGGTTTGACTGCGATGTGAAGAACATTTCCGTGGCAGGGTTCTGGGAAGGTACGGCCCCTACCTCACGGGGTGATCCACGGCTCACTGCAAGAGTTCAAAAATAGCTACCTCTTCACATGACCTAACACTGATAACACAAGTGGATTTAAATTGGGGAAAGGAAAAACGTTAAATCGTAATTCGGTCAGGAAAAATATATAGCAAATAGGAAATCGCTCAATCGCAACTCCGAGTAGTTGGCCGCTCGATTCAAAATGCGGCAAGGGGTTGAATCGCTCGCCACCTATTTTGCATTGATAAAATTAGTACATTCTAGTTGGAAGTTTACAATGGGTGTCTACACGAGAGACTGGTCCCCAGCATAGGAAGGTGGAATTTCACCACTGGATGAGAGCCGCCAACAGGGGTGAGAGCCAGTCGGTGCTTTTTTGAGCATGAATCAGTTTCGAAGGAAGACGCTCACTGTACATCCCATGCGGTTGGATGATCTGCACAGATTAGAGAGCTACATTCGTCATCCAAGGCTTTATTTGCCGGTTTCTCCTCTGGTATACCCACATTTCCCTCCCCGTCCCCCTGTGTTTCTGCGGCCGTAAGTGCCCTATCTACAAATCAGCAGAAGTTGGTTTGTTTTAATAAAACTAATGGACGGAAAAGTGGGCTTTTACTCATGATACACATCAACGTACAGCTCGCGAATGATGCTGCACAGCGCATTCCTTACAGCTCTCTTATTTCGGTCGGGCTAGTAGGCGGGCATTCCTGCCTAAAGGATGTCACTTTGAAAATAATCTCTGCTGAAAAGCAATGATGAATTAATGTTGGTCTTTTTGTCGTGTGGCACGGAGAGACCACTTTTTATGGCTTGCTAAGAAAAGCAGGCGGTTTCCGCTGCTTCAGAAACGTTCCAGATTGCGGGGACGGGTTGCGTCGAAGAAAATCTCCGTGCCCCCCCCCCCGACCTACCCCACCCACCCGCTGCTCCCCCACCGTGCTGCCTCGTAAGCCTGTTTGCTGCCGACGCGAGAGTCATGCAGTTCCTTCCGTAGTCATCTCGCTGTTTTTTTCGCACATTCACTTTTGCCCAAATTTGGGCAAACTCTGAGACAACGATGGCCATTCTTAGATCTTCAATCATTGTTCACCTGAGCTTCGGGTTGAATAAAAGGCCCCAATTTAAACATGCATGAACTGAAACGTCTAATGATATAGTTTATTATATAGTTTATCCATTTGTCACCCATGAAAGCCGTAGTTTAGCAGATATATTACACTCTCCACCATAGACTCGAGCCATCGTGTTTAATTGTAATTGTGATTTGACCCCATTCGATTTGAAGCTTTCGTGACTGCAGGAATCCATACTCTTTGGTTCTTTCGGTAAAGTCACGTAGGTATATTATCAGAGCACGTTTATTTGCATGTTTTGCCACAAGTACGTGTGGTTAATGTAGACTGGATGCCTTGCATAAGGTATCGATTTGGTGTTCGAACATCTTAACGCAACTGTTTTATTGCCAAAACGGGTAAAACCCCATCCTTATATTTTCATCGTCTCAACGTGACTTTACCGAAATAACCAAAGAGTATTTGACCCCTTGTTCAAAGTTTCGACAGACGAACAACTTTCATCGCAGCTGATATCAGTGTATTTATACTCGCACAATTGCTGAATCAGAATGATTAGAGCAACATCTTCCCGTACTCACCAACTAATGTCCACTCGCAGGGCAGTGCCGCATCACCACCTTGGGCAGCACGGGGGAACAGCTGTGATCAGCGGGTTCCCTTGGCTAACAAAAAAAATACATAAATCTATAGCAGGCCATTGGGATGACCGAGTTGAGATATGACGTAAGGCGCTCTGAGATGCTTCTGGGCCATTTAAGTGTTAAGCTGATACAAATAATGATTTCTCATTTTCACCCCCCTCGAATATTTTCCGGAGTTATCCATTTGAACCTTATGGCGGGAGTCCGGGGTCCCGAATAAACGCAAGTCAAAATCGTAATTAATTTATTTACTTTGGGCGACTTTGTCCCACCGCGCACATAAACGCCACGACCCACCTGGCGCGGATCATTCTGTTGTCGTGTCGTCCAAGCGCAGCAGTGAGGACGAATGCGCACAAGAGCTGAACAAGCGAATGCTGCACTCCATGCTCGAGTATGGGCAGGATCATAAGTCTTATCCAAAGCTGCTGAAACTGCCTACACGACTTAAGTCCTTTATTTGTCATAACGGTATCCATAATACAGTGAAACTGCTCCTCTTATCTTCATTATTATTTGTGACCTACCAATGTCTGCAGCCAGGATCAATCGATGACAATTCTATTACCTGCAGATATTTAACAGATGAGATGCGTTGCACCATTAATTCCTCCTGTTTGATAATACTTCTCTTGTCCGTATGCATCTGTGCAGATAGGTATTTTTTTGCGGTTAAGCCGCAGTCCCCACATACCGCTCGTATCAATGCGGATAAGAGGAGCGGTGACCCACTGCTCTGTAGAGTAACATTGATATAAACGCTTGTTACAATATGAACAGCGCATTGAAAACGCGTACTATTTTATGTACTGTTTACAAAGTGTGTTCACAAATCCACACTGAGAAACACGATGATTGACAGAGGGGTGTAAATGATTTTTTCGATAGTGTATTTAAATAGAGGTACTGCAGGTAATTAATTTTCAGTTCTAAAGGCATAGTTTAACAAGATAACACTTGCCACCATCCTTCAAACCCATTGGTGAAAAAGATCAAAGTGTGTGTTTCCATTCTAATATAATGTTTATGCGAGAGCCAGCCGGGTGCTTATGGGACCCCGGGGTCCCGCCATGAGGTTCATTTAACAAAAGAAAATAATATTCTCGGGGGGTTGGGGGTGGTGGCGAGAGGGTGGGGTAATAAAATTAATGAAAATAAATTCCCAGGATCTTTTTTTTTGTTGACAGCAACCGGTGGCACAGATTCCTGTTAATTCCCGAGAGTGACTCCCGTGCCCCTCTGGGCCCGGTGAGGTTTATGCAGTCGATCGGTGGGTTTTGGGTGAGAATCGCCGCCACTGCGACTGCTCGTGGAGTCGCACCGCGGCTCTCTCCGTTCACGGCTGCCGCACGCGGCCCTGCACAGGAAGTCTCGTCGTTGTCGTCGCACTGAGAGACGCCTAAAAATAGCGGCGTATTAATGACGGCGCGGATCGCCATGACCCCCTGCCTCTCACTTTGCCTTCGCAGGGGGAGCTCGAGAGACAGCTGCTGCAAGCAAACCCCATCCTCGAGTCCTTCGGCAATGCCAAGACGGTCAAGAATGACAACTCCTCCCGATTTGTGAGTGCACCGCTGACGTGTGTCGCTGCACGTAGGAGACCAGGCGATGATCACTCCGTGCGTGCGTGCGTGCATGTGCGCGATGAACCCGATGACCCGAGTTCCATTCCCGCTCATGGCAAACACCGGTGACGATTATCTGAACTGGTCCTGGACCTCCCCTAGGTCAACTCGGCCTCAAATGAGTGCCTGGTGCGATTTGTAAACATCGCCACTGGGGAGACAGAGGTGGTCGGGCGTGGTGCTGGCCCCCCACTCCCTCATGGGCCGTGCGAGCCTTCATAGGTGCTCGCTAACAGCACTTACCCATAGAGTCTGTGAAGGCTATACGGAGGATCTTTGTCACGTATACAAATAGGCAGAGTGGTTACACAGTGCTTTGTCTGTTTCGCTACAAGTCCCAGCAACCTCGGTTCCATTCCCAGTGACGTCCATCGTCAGTGGCAAGTGTCATCTGAAAATGTTCAGAGTGGCCTGCACAAGACTGACTAGGCCTCAAATCATTAACTTGTTCACTGTGTGAATTCCAGCAGCGGGGAGACAAAGCTTTGCTAAGAGCACTTACTCCACTCCAATCTATCAAGGCTAAATGGGGCGGGGGGAGGGGATCTTTGTCTTGTCTTTCAAGAAAACTTTCCTTTACGAGCCTGGCGAGTGAACTTTGCGTGAGGGCTGTGACACGGTTCTCTATGGGACAAGTGGCATTTACGCCACGGTGGCGAAATGTTAACTACCTCACTTGGTCACACTTGTATATTAGGGAGTTTGCGCGTTCTCCCAGTAGTCGCGTGGATTGTTCTCCAGGTCCTCCGGTTTTTCCGTCCACATTTAGAAACATGCGTTTAGATTATTTGGCTGCTATAAATTCCCACATAAGCCACTTCGTCGAGCTATCATTGGTGGCTAGGTCACTTCCGAAAAAGAGCTATATATCTCAGCGGACCTTATGGTAAAAAAATAAAATAGTTGCACGTGTGTCTGTAGTGCTGTCATGTTCGTGCTGGCTGCCTCAGAACGCACTGAATTCGAATTGAAGGGGAAAACACGACTCAACTCGGTTAACACAACAACCCCGGACGCTCGTAAGCAGGCCGAGTCTGTCTGTTGGGAAGCCAAATAGACAAACGATCATTGGCAGTGCACAGCAGGACTGGAGCCCGGGCTGCCGCCGTTGATCGCTGCGTTGCCATGCCCCCCCCCCCTCCTCATGTGGCGTCGGAGGGAAGCGTCGACCTCTCGTGACCTGGCGCGCCTCGCGCCTCATCGCCACCTTGCTCTGACCTGCTTGGCGGTGGCGTGTGAGATTTGCGAGGCAGCAAAGCAGGGATCGTGTGCCGCGCGGCCGTAGAGATTGCATTTTAGCTGGACGGCGCACGCAGAATGGTCGGATGAACAGGCAGCCAATAAATCATCGCTCACCCCCCGTGACCTCTGCATCCACCCACCCACCGTCACCCCTAACCAGCAACAGCAGCAGCAGCAGTGGGGTTGCTAAATGAAGCCACCGCAAGACAATGGCTCTGCCCGGGGGGAGCACTTCCCGCGCGAACCCGGAGCATCGTCAGAATTCCTAACGATGCTTCTTCCCCACCACTGGCACCCCCATCCCCCACTTCCCCACCCCACCCCACAAATTGCTTGGTCCAATTTATGACACGTGATTAAATGTTAACGTATCTGACGTACTATAAATCTTTGTTATATAGTTACGGTTTGTATGCAATCCAGATGTTACAAGTGGCGGCGTGAAATTTCGATTTAAAGCTTTCGTGACTGCAGGGTGGTGGTGGTTACGGATGACTCGAAGAGGTGAAAAATACTCACTCTTCCCCCCCTCCCCCCAATCCCCTATCCACCTCCTCTTCCCCCAGGGGAAATTCATCAGGATCAACTTTGACGTGGCTGGCTACATTGTCGGGGCAAACATTGAGACGTGTATCCTTTCTTGCGAGCCGTGTTTGTTTTAAAGAGTGACGGGGCCTCGCCAGGACTGCGGCGAGCGTGATTTGTGTGCGCCCGTCCCTGTTACAGGAGTTTATTTTCTTCGCATGCCTCGCCACGACCAAAAAAGCACACGCGATTTTTCTCCCACAGACGCAGCAACACAGAGTGTTTCGCACTCGTAACGGAATGGCTCGCACCCCGAGCCCCTTAGATGAAAACCAAATAAACAACTCCGCCATTTGTGGTGGCGCGAGCGGCTGCCTCGCTGAAACGTGACGGCGGCCGCTGGCCCCCTCACAGAGAGATTCAATCGGAATCTCTGTTTAGACTGGTGGAGGAGGCAGGGAGGGAGGGAAGAAAGAGGCAGAAGGAGGAGAGGGAGGAGGAAGGAAGAGGTGGAATCCGATGAGGCTTTGCGCAGCCTTTATTTACAGATGTCCAGCAGGGACTAGGTCGGTGAGTTACATCGACGGACAATACGAAAAAGATATGAGAGCAAGGTGGAGAAAAGGTAAGAAAGTTGAACTTCCCGACCGTACCAGCCAATCGTGCTAATCGGAGGTGCGGGGTAAGAACAACAAACTAGACACAAAAAGCAGTTCTAAATTAATACGTTTTCGATCGAGATTTAAAATTGCATAGCTCCAGTGGCTTCCTAATTTCGGAAGGAAGAGCGTTTCTAACGGCCGCAGGAGCGCATCTGAAAGCGTGCGAGCGATGCGGTGGCCGTCTTTGTTCGATGGCCAGCCAAAAAAGCCGCTGCTGCTGCAAGGACGACGACCGGAATTCACGCGACGGTTTTCGCCGCCATCTGTGTAGGTCTGTTTCGCACAAACGAGCGAGGCGTTTGTGCGACACGCGCCATTCTTGCGCGTGTGCCGTTTATGTAGGCATCCACATTAAAGACGCGCCCAGTAGCTGTGATTATTTCCCAAACCGCTGCAAGTGGAGCTGTTGTAGTGGGGGTGTGGGCACGCAGCCTCATTTACATGAGCTACGAGAGGCACCCCCCCGCTCCTTAATTCTATAGCGCCCGCTACTCCCCCTTCCCCCCCCCTTGTGTTAGATGCGGGTGCACGGTACGGGCGCTACGCACATCCAGCGTTTGGGCTCGCGGCCAGAAATGTGCGACTCGAACCGGGGTCTTGGCAAGGCCCGGCGCGTTAATGAGCGGCTTACGTGGGAGCGAGGGAGCGAGCAGTGTTCATCTCAGGCGGCGAATTAGTAATGAGTGTGAGAGTGAGTGAGCGAGAAGGTGGATGAAACGGTGTTCTTGAGTGTAGGGTTTGAGCCGTGTGTCTGAGAGTTGACGGTTTGCATGACAGGTGCGGCGAGGAAGATGACGTTGATGTGCCCTGACGATCTTATCTTGTCGCGATATATAGAGCTCCTTATCCCAAGGCGCTTTACAACAATTACGAAATCGTACATGAGATGAAAGTGGTTGAGATCAAGAGTGAGGTTATTAAAAGTGGTCGTGTAGTTGCGATGACTGTTCGGAGACCACGCGGGGAGTAGTTAAGGAGAGATTGGGGTAGGCCTGATCGTCGCTGGGGGAAGTAGCAGCAGGAGTAGTAATCGGGGTAATGATAGGGGTTTGGGTAGGCCTGGTCGTAGCTGGGGAGCGGGGACGGGGAGTAGGATGGGCGAGGGCAGGGGTCTGCAACCAAAATAACAAGGAGCATGTGGTTTATACGAGATGGTGGTCCTAAATGAATTGCGTTACGAAGCAGTTCTTAGAGCTGCATTCGGCTTCCGAGCCGCAGGTTTAAGATGTGCCTTAAAGGAAGGGACACGGAGCAAGTCGTGGTGGAGGTGACGATGGCGCGATCTAAATCTCACGACAACGATGTTGCGCCGAGTGACGTTGAGAAGCGTCGTTTACTTCCCCTTGACGGAGCGTTGGCCCTCAAGACCTGCTGGAGAAGTCGCGCGCGATCCGTCAGGCCAAGGACGAGCGGGCCTTCCACATTTTCTACCAGCTGCTCACCGGCGCCACCGAGCACCTGCGCAGTAAGCGACATCCCCCCCCCTCCCCCGGTTGAAACTCCGTCACCCACCATCTCTTTCTCTCCTCTCTCACCCTCACCGTCGCGCATGCACGAGCATCATTGCCGGGGTGAGAGCCCCCTGAAGGGAATAATGGACGATGGTCAAGAATAACGCATGAGCGGGGGATGGGGGTGGGGGGCGCTCCTTAAAGAGCTTGCGTTCAACCCCCAGAGCAAGGTGCGGTTGCTGTAATCCGATTGTTGCTGTCGTGTGCGTGTATGCGACGCAGCCGAGCTGCTGTTGGAGAGCTTCACCAACTACCGCTTCCTGTCCAATGGCTACGTGCCCATCCCTGGGCAGCAGGACAAGGACAACTTCCAGGAGACCATGGAGTCCTTGCGCATCATGGGCTTCGCTCACGAGGAGCAGATGGGTGGGTGCCGGGTGCCGTGGCCTGCGTCGCGTTGCGCTGCCGGTTAACCGTTTCTGTGGCACTCGTGTCATGGTTCGTAAAACGATCCAAAAGAATGTTTAAACGGGAAGCCGAAGGAAAATTCCCACGACCTCAGTTTTGCAATGGTTGTGAGGGTTGTTTTTCAGCTCACCGGTGAGGTGGTGATACAATCATAATTGGGACGTTAAACTCTTGTACACCTACACCACGTGACCGATTTAATTCGTTTGGCAAATTTGTCGGGTGGTAGAGAGACTGTTCTGAACGACTCCGATTTGGTCGGATCGCTACATAGTGGCCGAACACGATAACTTAATGTGATCAAATTGGCGGCGACAACCTAGGAAAGCTTGCCTGACTCTCAATACTTTTTTTTCTGGATGCTTCTTCATGGGTCTTTTTGACCTCTTGCATTAATTCTTCCATTTCCCAGAGGAAACCCACCACACACACGAGGGATAACAGTCAATGCTCTGCCGTGCACCCACTTGCTGTACTGCTATCTCCTCTGCATAGTTACCTTGGCAATCCCAGCCGGTTTTGGAGTCCTAAAACTATTCTCCGTGTGAATCGCCAATCCTTGCCTGCAAAGTACCTGATACCAGGTGTACATTGCCGCTGCTGACGCCAAAGTACATTGTGTACTGTATCAGTAAATTTGTACAATCCGACTGATTAGGGTTCATTAAATAAATATAAGAGCGTCATTTTAAACGTTTATTCGCTCTCAAGTTATATTTTTACTGCGTAACGTACGAGAGCATCCGGAAGAAATTCCCACGTACGAAAAGGGAGGAGGGTGGGATAACTCTGAAAAGTCCGCACAGATGGGTTCGCAAGCCCCTTTTACATACCGCCACCTCCTGGTTGCCTCTGCAGGCCTATGGCGTTGGGAGTTTCACAGGTCTCTCACCCACAATGCCTTGCCTCCAAAGCGCTGAGTTACAGGTGTGTACACACTGTGAGCGTGATGCTGCCATTTCTGCAATGGTGATCGCGCTCGACTCGGCGTTCAAAAGTCGCTGGATTCTATCTCCTGGCGTGGCAGTTGAAACAATGGGGTACTGGTCCTAAATCCTGCCCCAGCTGTCCTCTCGCCTCTTTCCGTCCGGCAGTGCAAATGGGTGGCGCACCGCGGTCAGCTGATCGGCACGTCGCGTGCAGTGCGTCAAATCTGCGGGTACGCCCAGCCCTTAAAAAAAATGTTCTGGCAAGCATGGAAAAGTTAAGGACAAAGTGATCCTGTAAAGGAGCTAGCTTGAAGACACATCCGCCAGCAGCGGTGTAAAGCAAGGCATCGCCTTTACCGTTCGGCACCGCACGCAGCAGCAAAGTGGGAAACCCAAGAAGTGGTCAGCTTCTCACCTTCAAAGGGGGTCTTTGTCCTGTGGAGGGTATCCTGTGACAAGCCGTGAATAATCCGTACGGTCACCGATCTCGATGACGATTTCGCAGCAACCGCATGGACTTGTATCGCAGTGTCCGAATGCAACCGCGCACAGGAACAGTGGTGAAGGAAATATTCGCGAATGTACATAACAAACGTTTCCGCTCACCGATTGGGCGTCTTGTTCTTCAACTGCCGTCGCTCAAATCTGAAATGCATTGCATCGATGTTCCCCGCTGGCACGACGATTTGTTCAAGTCAGCCGTTGCCGCCCTGCTTGCCTCGCCAGTCGCTCGCCCCACGACACATTCGTCGTGAAAGACGGGGAGCAGAGGAGACGTTAGGACGCTCGTTGTTGAAACGATGAAGCGCCGCCAAACGGCACGCACGGGGGTTGGTTATGAATGTCAACCGCCGATGCGGGACCGCCTGCCCTGAAGTGTGGATCGGACGTGTGGACAGCAACGAAGAAAATGGAGCAACAAAAACTGAAAAGCGCACCGAGACGAACGGAGAGAATCCATGCATCTAATTACGTCGAGGTATAGGAAGAGCAGAGGATGGATTATGAGAATCAGAATAATTATACTGGAGAAATCCGATAAGCGATGAAGCTCTTTTTCACAGATGTCCAGTAGAGGCGGATCAGAAAGTTACAACAACAAACAACACAAAAATACAGTAGGAGTGCAAAGTATAGGAAAGGTAAACAAATCACAATTTTTTTTTTATAAACAACTTTTATTTTTGACCAGGTAACGCCCACTGGGCTTTTTGCTTCTTTTTCAGAAGCGAACTGCCCGCAAATGATAGCTCAACGAAGTGCCTTATCATGTGGAAATTTACAGCAGCCAAATAATCTAAGCAATCTAAACGCATATTTAGATTCACAGATTAAAGGCACTGACGAGTATCAATAGTGAGAGGGCTTGGGCGGGACGTGTCACGTCGAGAAGGGACGAAGACCGACGGGAGTGGCAGAACAAACGGGCGGGACGCGCCTGAGTGGATGTCTCCCGTGTGAGGACGGGGCGATGGCATCGGCTCTCGCGCGGAGGTGCTGGCCGGAGCGTTAGTTCGCACGATTGTGATGGTACGGCGAGAGCGTGGGCAACGCCTTCATCCAGCAGTGGATTGATCGCGGATGATTATGATGACGACGATGATGAAGACGTCCTTTAAGCGAGCGGTAATGGACTTGTCGTGTATCAGCTGGGAGGAGACGGCCGCACGTATTTGGAACTGGTGCTGGAAGGGCGCAGCTGTCTGGGGGGTGGGGGGGGGTGAGGGGGGGCTGGGCAGTGGATGTCCCGTGCTGCTGTGTAACCGTGCCGCCATAGTTATTTTAAAGCGTGAGCGACACCATGACTTGCACTACGGCCTGAAACTAAGTCCACCTGCCGCGGCAGCAGCTGGGCGCAGCCCGCGATGCCTCTGCCTGCTGGCCCATGAGTTACAATAATAGTGATACTAGATTACGGCCCTGTGTCAATCTATCGCTGGGCAAAGGCCTCCCCCACACGATGCTGGTCGTGTGTGGTTGTTTGATCATACGTCACCAACATTGGTTCACGTAATGTTTGGGGGGAGGGGGGGGTGGTGCCCAGAACCGGTTCTAGTTTCCGCTAATGTTGGCCACGGGCGGGAATCGAACTCTTACTGCCTGGGTTTTATGGTTTTTCAGATCTTTTAAAGGTATTTGTTTCAATATATGCGTGTATGTATGTTGAACTTCTTTCGCACTATACTTAGCCAACCGTGATGATTGGAGGTGTGGGGGAAGGACAACAAACTAAACACAAAAAGCAGTTTTAAAGAAATTAGTTTTCAAATAAGCACAGCCGTAATTGTATTCATAGATATATGTATATCGGCCAATCAACGAATTTCCTCCTTTTCTGGGCGAGCGGGTCATGATGGCGGCCAAACGGTATGCGCTGCGGGCGGGTGAATGTCGTTCAACGTGACGTCGTTGGCAAAGGCCCCTAGGACGGTCGCGGCTCTATGGATTGGACTTGCGTACGAAGTGCTGCGATCAATCATTGAAATGTATTTGCAGCTCGCGACGTTCGGCCGATTTTGAGTGGGTGGGGGGGGGGGTGCGGGTTGGAGTGGCGGCGACGGTGGCTCATCGGTGAGCGCGCTTGCGTTACGAACCAAGCGGTACCCGGCTTGCTGCTCTCGCCTGCCCCCCCCCGCCCCGTTTCGCGAACCCACTCCCCCATGACCACCGACATTGCACGGCGGAGGCGCTCATGCAGCGGCGGATGGAGCCGTGCCATGGGAAGGTCTTCACCTGGCAGTGAATAAAAAAGAGGCCTGTAAAATGGAGCTCGTTGAGATGAAAGGGAATGTACTGGAGTAAAATCACTTTCGGGGAGGCAAAGTTCACGTTCAGAAAATTCAGCGCAGGAAACAAAACAGTACGTACGGTATTCCCTCATTATTCACGAACTTGCTGTCCGCGATTTTGACTATCTGCGGATCGTATCTGGAACTCTACACGACTGCATCGAGAGAGAAAAAAAAAATGATGAGACAAAGTGATGATAGAGAAAGTGATGTGATTTATTATTTACTAGCTTTACTAGCCGGCTTCGCACGAGACTTGGATTCTTGTCTTGGATTAATACACGGCCTACGCGGAGGGTGGGGGGGGGGGGATGCGTGACGTCAGCAGGCACGCTGCATGACGCTGCCGCATGCGGGTGACATCATAGAATTGACGTCACCGCTCACTTATATCCATTATTGCGCCCCCCCTCTCCCCCCCCCCCCCCCCCCAAATACAATAATCTATTTTTATACTTTTGCATTGTGTCCAGTCTGGAAGCTACCCACATGCCAAATTTCAAGTTTGTTGCATGTCGGAAAGTATGCTAAACATTTCGAACAGACACACATTCACAAATTTCCCTTTTTTATATATATGTATTTAATAAGGTAATTAATTTTCATAGGCCAACATCATTAACTGCATAATTTGCTACTCACGGACATCTCCGGAACATACGTATCCCTCGCGAATAACGAGGGAATAGTGTAAACAAAACCAAAGGGTGACCAAGCGCACGCGATAAGACTTGAGAGAGCGTAGGCTGACGGACGTGAAGTCTTCGCTGTGTTGAACACCATTGCGGTTTCCAGGTGCTTGAGCTTCTGCTTCGCGTTGGTGCCACGCACGGCGGAGTTGCTACCGAGATGCGACCTATGCCACGACGATGCGACCGATGATGCCGGAGACCGCCAGCGATGCGACGCGGGTAACGCCGCGATGTGGCCGACGCGGTCCACGCTGTCACTGACGCTCACCATGCCCGTGTCTTCCTGTCCGCCGCAGCCTTGCTCCGGGTCGTGTCGTCCGTGCTGCAGTTTGGAAACGTGGTGTTCAAGAAGGAGAGGAACACCGATCAGGCCTCCATGCCCGACAACACAGGTGCAGTACAGTACGCCACAAGTGCGATTTTCAACTACAGCCCAAGTGACGATAAGTTAATTTGGCGCGTGTAGGCTCCCCCCTACCTTTAATCATAATAACAACCTCTATTTCATAAAGCGCCTTTCATATTGAAGTATTTCAAAGTGGCACGTAAAATAAAACTACATTCCCAAATATAGATACAATCTAGGTGAAATAGAAAGCTGATAATAACAAAATCAATGTCTGCTCTCGAATAATAATAAGTGCACAGTAATCCAAAAGAACAACAGCATTGTTTTTTTAAAATATTAAGTTACATGGAAAACCTGCAGTATAAATAGGTGAGTTTAAGACTGTGATTTAAAAAGTGAAACAGACTCGGAGTCCCTAATGGGCTGAGCAAGAGGATTCCACAATCTCGGAGCCTGGCTGCAGAAGGCTCCATCTCCCAGAGAACATCACCACCACAGTCTTGTCTTACCCCCCCCCCGCCCCCCATATAACAACAGACGCTCCCACTCATAGTCCCCGACATTGTGTGTGTGGGGCAGTAAGTCCAATCTCCTCCACATCTTTAGATCCAGGAGTGCTGAGTTGGGGCTTGTTTAGTCCACGGAGTTTGTAACTTCTCCCCTTGTTGCGGTCTGTACCTTGTACCGGGATCTTCGTTGCATTGCAATCAAAATAAAAACAAAAATTTAACAGCAGCCCATGCGGGACGACACGAGCACGACGCCGTGCGCTGAGACGCGAGCGTTACGTCGCGTGGTCATGGGAAAAAGGAGGGATTTTTATTTCTTTCATAGGCAGAGGAGAACGACTTGTGAAGGTCCCCTAAGCCTGAACTAGAACTGGGAGATTGAGCATCATTGTGAGATGCAGCCAGCTGCATTTCATGTACGTTGAACTTCTTTCGCACCATACGTAGCCAACCGTGCTATAATCGGAGGTGCGGGGGGAAGGACAACAAACTGAACACAAAAAGCGGTTCTCAAGAGATGAATTGAGAGACACTCGCCGCTATTCGGACATCTGGTGGCAGGCGGGGTGTTCCAAATTTTTGGGGCTGCCACTCGAAGGCTCGTATCCCCCCCAGCGTCGAGTGAAATATCTCATTCAGTAAACCCATAACACCTGAGTCCTGTCCCCATGACCTCCCATCAGCAACGACCTCGGTGCACCTCGCCTGGCACGAGCGCCGTTGTGACGTCATCACCACTTAGTGGTAAATGGCGGCTCTTTTTGTTTTTAGTGTGATTTTGAAAAAAAAAGTTGATTTGATGTAAATTTTTGTTCATTACCTTCATATTAATGCCCTTTTTAGGTTATTAGTTTTATTACCCAGAGCACTTGGCACATAGTCAAAAAGGCTGGAAGTTTCTGAATCCGGTTAGATGTAGACTCACCATCCTCTCATCCATCCAGGGACGATGAAATACTTACAACTTAGCAGAAATTCAACAGCGATTATCCCGTGGAGGAACCGGCCCCCTCCATGGTATTGTGGAATTTCTATCGTGGCCCTTCGGTGGGCTACAAACGGAGACGTATCTTTTGATCGTGCGAGCCTCTGCGACGCAGCGCTTTGACGTCCCCCCCTCCTCTTGCCTTGCACCTCCCGACCCAATCACAGCGGCGCAGAAAGTGTGCCACCTGCTGGGGGTGTCCGTGACGGAGTTCAGCCGCGCCATCCTCACCCCGCGGATCAAGGTCGGCCGCGACTACGTGCAGAAGGCGCAGACCAAGGAGCAGGTGAGTGGGGGGGGGGTTGTGTGGGCCAGGGGAGATGAAGAGAGAGTCGGCAGGGAGGAGTGGAGAAGGGAAGAGGTCGCGGTGAGCTGTAGCAGTGTTGCAGCAGATAAAACAAGAGCTGTTGAATAAAGCGTTGGCGGATGCGGGGAGCTGCGTCGGCATTGGTTCACACACTGCGCTGCAGTTCTCATGACCAAGGTTTGATTCCAGACCATGCGCACCAGCATAAAATGGTATCAAAGCCTGTCCTACACCTCCCCTAGAATGATGGTGGCCTTACGTGACCGCCCTGTATTGTGCGTGTAAACGTCAGCGCGCTGCTGGTCGCACCACTCCGTTTTGTGCCTTGCCTGCCTTAACAGGTGCTCACAAACAGCAGCTGCACCCATGCGGTGCTGTGATAAAGGCCGCGTGTGTGTGTAGCGCGCAACGGTTAACGCTCTGCGCTACGAACCCAGCGACCAGAGTTCGATTCCAGCTCACACCAGTGACGATTATATGAACAGGTCCTGGATCTCCCCTAGGTTGACTCAGCCTCAAATGAGTACCTGGTGCGGTGTTTAAACATCGCCACTGGGGAGACAAAGGCGGCCGGGCATGGTGCTGGCTACCTAGCCCCTCGTGTGCCGTGCTGCCGGCCTTCATAGGTGCTCGCTAACAAAACTTGCTGCAACAGTCTGTTAAGGCTCTACGGGGGATCTTTGTCTTTGTCCCGCGCACGCATGCGTAGGCTGACTTTGCGGTCGAAGCCCTGGCCAAGGCCACATACGAGCGTCTGTTCCGCTGGCTCGTGCTGCGCCTCAACAAGGCCCTGGACCGCACCAAGCGACAGGGCGCCTCCTTCATCGGCATCCTCGACATCGCCGGCTTCGAGATCTTCCAGGTGACCGCCCGCGGCCTCTCCAGCGCGGAGGTTTGATACGTTTGTCGCGATGAGCCCGAGACGAGATCGACCCGGCACGCGGCCGACCTCGCCACATCCCAGAAGCTCGACAGCGTTGGGCCAGGATCGTGCTTGGGATGAGCGATGGCCGTGCACTTTAAACAGGCGTTGCAGGCTGTTGTGATGCTAAGCGGTAGGCGCCAGACGGAAGTGTTGTACTGTACATCTGTGCTCTCACATCTATGGTCCTCGCCACCCTTACTTACCCATACTGACCACAGTGGGTGAAGGAACATCGAAGGGCTGCCACAGTAGCAAGATGTTGACTCCCTCGCCTGGTGTACAGGAGGTCGTGGGTTCAATGCTGACCCTGACGCCTGCTGTATATTTGGAGATTGCATGTTCTCCCTGTGGTCTTGTGGAATTTTTATCCAGGTCCTCACATTTAGAAACGTGCGTTAAGAGTATTTGTACACTATAAATTTGCACATAAGCCACTTCGTTGAGCTATCATTTGTGGGCAGGTCGCTTCTGAAAAATAGCTATATAGCTCAGTGTGCCTTACCTAATAAAATAAAAATAGTTGCATAACCCCCGCGACCTGCACGGCATGGGGAGGCCCTCATCCAGCAGTGGATTGACAAAGGGAAGGCTGCACATGCACATTATGGTTTTTTGGCCCACCCCTACTGGACATCTGTGAAAAAAAGCTCATCGGATTCCATCAGTATCAATAGAGATTCTGATTCTGATCGATGAATCGACGAAGCCGCTACACCCCGAGTATTTTATTCAGCGCGGCATTGTGGAGGATTCCCCACAATGCAGCGTGGCGAGCTTCAGCGTGGCGCTGACACTGATGAGCGCACGCCCGTTTCTCCTCCCTTCCTCTCTCTTGTCGCAGCTCAACTCCTTTGAGCAGCTGTGCATCAACTACACCAACGAGAAGCTGCAGCAGCTGTTCAACCACACGATGTTCGTGCTGGAGCAGGAGGAGTACCAGCGCGAGGGCATCGAGTGGAACTTCATCGACTTCGGGCTCGACCTGCAGCCGTGCATCGAGCTCATCGAGAAACCGGTGCACGCTCGCAGACATAGCGACACGACCATAGAAACCCTCATAGACTCCGCAGAGCCCATCGATACCCTGTTGCACTGTCACAGAGATAGCAACATGATCATAGGGACCCTTATAGACTCAGAGACACCATTGCACAGTCGTAGACATGGCGACAAGATCATAGAGACCGTTGGGGCAGTGCTGTTAGCGGGCACCTATGAAAGCCGGAATGGCACACGAGACGGGGTGGGTGGTGAGCACCACGCCCGACCGCCTTTGTCTCCCTCGTGCCAATATTTACACATCGCACCAGGTACTCCTTTAAGGCTTAGTTGACCTATCGGAGGCCTATGACCGGTTCAGATAATTGTCACTGGTGTGGGTCATGAGCGGGAAATGAATGCGGGTTTCCGGGTTCGTAGCGTAGCGTGCTAACCACTAGCCTACCCCGCACCCCACTCATGCGCACACCCAGGGGCACGCATCAGTACGCACACAGCTACACACGCGCCCCGAGCCGTAAGTGAACTGTATCTTGCGACGTCGTGCCGGACAGGCAAACCCGCCGGGCATCCTGGCACTGCTGGACGAGGAGTGCTGGTTCCCCAAGGCGACGGACAAGTCGTTCGTGGAAAAGCTGATCCAGGAGCAGGGCACCCACTCCAAGTTCATGAAGGCCAAGCAACTCAAGGACAAGGCGGACTTCTGCGTGATCCACTACGCCGGCAAGGTGGGCCCCTGAGCAGCTCCGCCGATGCGCGTTGTCTTGTGTAAAACAAGTCCTGGCCCTTATGTCGGTGGGCATCTGAAGGCCACAGTTGTCTTTGCGCCGATTTATGTTTAGTTTTTTCATTGCAGTTCGTTTTTGGCTTTGCTTTCAGCAATATCGTGACCCGGATCACTCTTGCAAATGAGACTTATCCTCTCTATGGGACCCTTCATAACTGCTGAACCCGAGCTGTCAATACGCTGATATTTGCAATGCTTTTGTGCTGCTGCTCGTCTTTTGGCGGTCTCTCGTCTAACACTTGTGCAGAGACAAGGTCATAAAAGAGGGCGTCTCTGGTGTAGGCCAAACAGTTTCAAGAACAGTGCTTACATTAAATTTCGATTTAAAGCTTTCGTGACTGCAGGGATTCATCTTTTTGGTTCTTTCGGTAAAGTCACGAAGAAGGGAGATAATAAACTTGTGAGAATTTTATTTGATTATGTTTTATTATTATTATTTTATTATTACTTTTCTACGTGACTTTACCGAAAGAACCAAGAAGATGAGTGCTTACATTGTCAACGCATTCTTCTTTGCATATTTTGCCACAAGCACGTGTGGTTATGCAGACTTGATGCCTTGTGGATAGGTGTCTCCTCACTGTTTGAACATCTTAACACCACCTGTTTTATTTCTGGAAAGGGTAACGCCTATTCTTTTTAGAGACTTAACATGGTCTCTTTCTGTTCCCAACTGGTCAAACCTCATCCACCTCCTCGACAATATCCATCATATTCTTCACCTGTCCGCACTTACAGTTAAACGAGGCGGTTTATAAATGAAGGAGAGATGTCTAATTTGTGTAGTTTCTCTGCTGTGCATGGCGTGGTATGTCTTACGTGTGACTGCTGGTGGTCTGTGCTCGCTGTGTGCGGTGATGTATGATGCGCGTGTATGCTGGTAATGCTGTGGTGGTTGGTGTGAGATTCTGATGTATGTGGTGGTTGGTTTGTAATGGTATGCTGTGGTTTGGTGTGTGATGGTTTGTTGCTATGTGGTCATGATGTGCAGTGGTTATTCCAATATACTGAATTCATCCGGGATAAATAAATATTCTGATTCTGGTTTGTGTACTGTGGTGGTGGGTGTAATGGTGATAGTATTTCCAGGGTGCTTCAAAAACTGTTAATACTTATATGGGACTATTGTTTTTAATGGAAAAAGAACAGAGAAAACACTGTAACATGATAACAAATGTTTGTTAATAGCTTCAAAGAGTCTCCACTTGTTCGCCATCATTGTCAACACACGCCTGGAATCTTCTCCAGGTGGTCTCCAGAGCCCGGAGGTACATTTCTGTATATGTTGAGACTAGGCCCTATATGGTGTAAGCAAATCTGTTTCAAAGACAATGCATATATTATCAGAGCATGTTTATTTACATGTTCACCACAAGTACATGTGGTTAATGCAGACTTGATTCCTTGCAAAAGGTTTCTATCTGCTGTTTGAACATCTTAACAGGGTAAAACCTATTATTTTTTCATATGTTGAACTTCTTTTGGATTGTACATATGCTAATCGGAGGTGCCGGGGGAAGGAAAATAAACTAAACACAAAAAGCAGTCTCAAATAAATTAGTTTTCAATCTAGATTATTTGAAAGTGCATCGCTCAAGTGGCTTTCTAATATCGGAAGGAAGGAGAGTGCCAGCCAGCAGCAGGAGCGCATCTGAAAGCCCGCGATGCAGTGACCGTCTTTAAGTCTGTGTCGGCTGGTGGCAATGATGGTGGTGTACGGTGGCAGGTGTTCGACGCTTGTGATGTGTATGCTGATGGCATGATGCCTGGCTTGCCGCATCCCCCTGCGTAGGTGGACTACAAGTCTGACGAGTGGCTGATGAAGAACATGGACCCTCTGAATGACAACGTGGCCACGCTGCTACACCAGTCCTCCGACAGATTTGTTGCCGAGCTCTGGAAGGACGGTGAGAGTGGCAAACGCGGGCGGCTGCGTCGCGAGCGCACCCAAACCTGGCGAGCGTTTTGTCAGCGCTGGCGCTGTGTGCATGGGGGCCTTTAGCTTTGACTAATCCGCATCAGCGTTGTTGCTCCTGTCGCTTGCAAGTCTCCCTCCTTAGTTTCGTCTATATGGGCTCGGAGCCCGCATTATTACCATCGAGGTTCGTACGTACGTGTGTTCATTGAACTTCTTTCGCGCACCGTACGTAGCCAACCGTGCTAATCGGAGGTGCGGGGGGAAGGACAAGAAACACAGCGTGGCCTGCAGTTCGTGTGACTTGACAAACGAAAAACCTCTCAAGACGCTGTACTAAGAGCAGATTTGGCAGAAAGTAATCCTAGTTTTACAACACTTAGCACATGAACATGTGCATATATAAACACTTGTTTACGCATACAGATACATACACGTAACAACAACAAAAAACGCATTGACTTCACCACGGCGCTTGTGCCATGCTTTGTGCACTTTGAGGCCACGTGAAGTGTCAAAGGCTCGCTGGCAGGAGGTCACGGGGCAGACCCAGGTGCCATGGGTTGACTGAGATGACACAGATAGAAGAACTATCGACCAGCCAAAGTGTGCCCCAATGTATTAATGGCTGTGGGGCTGTGCTCATCACCACTGGCAGCTCCCTCAGGCCTGGAGTGGAAGTTACACATGGCTGTGGAGGGGCCACCAGTCTGTCAAGAGGACAAGCACCGTTGATTTCTGAAAAAGCATACTAGTCACTAAAGTGGTAGGAATAATGGGCCGAATCAAGTGCGTTTCCCATAGCTCCACCTGGCCAGATAATAAACTAGCACTTGCTTTACAATGACTAAACTTTTGTGCACAAAAATAATGGTTTTGGTAGCGTGCACAGCGACCCGAGTGACGAAACAGCACACACTGAGAGTAGGGCACCATTCTACGATTTCGAATCTTTATGGGGACTCTCTTGCACGCCCTCGCTCGATTGTGAGCTTGGGTAATGGCCCGCGATTGTCCAGTGATCGTTTCAATATCCCTGATGTCGCTTTCCTTGTTTATCTGTGGTGGATTTTGTTGGACTTTCTCCCCCCCCCCCTCCTTTCCCGACCTGTTGTCGCTCACGCTTCTGTTGAATGTTGACGTGTGTGTTTGTGTTCATCGCTTCTCTCTTGGCGTGCGTGCGCGCACACGCGTGTGTGCGTTCTGCGAAGTGGGCCTTACAGAGCGCGTGTGCCTGTCTCCCTTGGCCCCCCCCGCTGGCATGTCTTGCAGAAATACAGGGCATTCAGAGAGCCTATTTCTATGACACTTTCCCAGTGCTTCACAATCAACCAGGTGACTGCTGTCAATGCAGTAAAACGGGCTTTGTCGGCGTCAGGGTCGGTATAAATTTGCGGAAGCACTAGCTTCTATTGCACAATAAAAAAACACGCGATTTAAAAATCGCACGTGCAGGGATTTTTTTCCGATTAAAACGTAACGTGTATAATTTTAATTGAGTGCAACGTGTAAAGACTTTGAATATTAAAACAACAACAAAAAATATCAATTTTACCCTCGCTATTCTAAACCGGACTGTGGTGCAGTAACGTGGAGTTGGTGCTACCGCAGGTTTTTTTTGTCTGCTGGCGCTAATCATCGCAGGGGGAGGTTGCGCTGGCCACCCTCCCGGAATGCTGGCTTGGTCCACGCTCTTCACCTAACCCGATTTTTAATCCATCTCTCCGTTGCTCATGCCATTGTAATGGATGCCGTGCGGCCAGCCTTCGTGGCAGGCGTGATATCTCAGTGCCAAAAAACCCGCTGCGCTTTCTCGCCCCCATGAGACGCTACTATGCATTCCTCTACTCGCCATGGCGGAAGCTGGTTGGGGGTGGGGAGGGCAGGCGGTGGGGAGGTTGGGGGGGGTTTGCAAACATATTCTGCCCAGTCTCTCCATCTCACAGCGAACATACGAGGCGCAAAATCGGCGCGAGTGCATTTACCAAAGAACGGAGCTGCGCACTCTGCATTTCCGGCGCTGGTAATAAATGCGCAACTCCGGAGTTCCCACCGCTGCATGAACGTTGCTTTGGTAAATCGTCTCCGGGTCACCACGAGTGTTGATTTATATGTATGCACGTTGAACTTCTTTCGCACCGTACGTAGCCAACCGTTGCTAATTGGAGGTTCTGGGGAAGGACAACAAACCGAGTTTGGGTTCGGTCCGAGTTGTGTTCTTCTTGCCACATTTCCCCCACAACGAGCGGTGGCCCCGGCACAGAACGGTCGTGCAGGGTCTGTCTGCAAAGCTGAGTCGAGTCGGTTGGCCACCTTTGTTTAACCAGGAGGTGAAAAGAAACCCCTTGACACGTGAAACAGCATTGCCTCTTTCACAGGGGGCAAACGCTGGGTTTCATCAAGTCATTTTAAGTACGGTGACTTTATAGCGGGCGCAACACGTGAGATCTTCCGGGGGCAGTACCCACAGAGCTGCGACTGGCTTGTGACACGGGAGCAGGGTATGTGGTGGACAGGGTGGTCAAGATGATGTCACGTGACCCCCATTTAATTCTCAAAAATATTAATATATTTTAAAAGTAAGGTTTATTTAAGCGCAGAAATAAATATGTAAAGAAGGGGGGGAAATGTTAGGAGTCAATTAATTGGGGGGGGGGGGGGGGGTCACAAGACATCGGGACCAGCCTGTACAGTAAGCTTTACTTACAGTATCTGGATAAACAATTTGGGGAAAACTTTACAGCTAATTTTTTGTTAGTTTTGAGGCTTAATATTTTCATGAATAATCTCGTATTTGACAATTTGCTGATTTTTGTATTATTTAAAATAGCTTAACGTTTTGAAAGTCAATACGGGGAAATATCCTGCTTAAATAATCCAATTATAGAGTGAAAGTTGCAATTTAATTCATACAATTAACGTCAGGGTCTTTTTTAAGCAGGCGAGACCCAGAATAATGACTGTATATCAATTCCCGAAGGGAGACCTGGGTGATCGCAATGATGATAGGATATTTAACAGTGGTTTGTGGTTCGAGCCCAGTGGCCACCCTGGTGAATGCTGTGGGTCTCGATAACAGTGAATAGGCACCATCGTCTGCTTCGTAGTGGACGTTAAATATTCTTGGATGTTGTTTGAACAAAAAAACAATGGGGGCCACGTGTGCCGGCGTCACGTTCCGCAACATTTTACGAGTTTGACATTTTTTTTTACTGGCAAATCTCCCGCTAACGCTCCCAATTGCGGGGTAATACTTTCGAAATACGGCCCCGTTCGCGATGGCCTTGCATGATAAGAACGGTGCAAACTACCAAATGTGCTCGTGTAGGTTTTCAAATGCGGTTTCATTCGCATTGCGACACGTCACATCGTGAACCCACTCTTGCAAGCGACATCGCGGGCCTTTAACGTGCATTGATAACGACAGACGGCACGCTCTATTGATAACGGCGCCCGCGAAACTGGCCACTGAACCATCCTACGAATAGCGCTCGCTGACAAAGGATTTGCGTTTATTTCATGCTTTTCTGCCATAATATATCAAGACTGGCTCATTGTGACGCATGCTCACCACCCGGCTACCCAGCCGCCTACGAATGAAATGAAACGTTTCCAGCACTTGACTCGACAATGCTGCGTAGCGAGAAAGGCTAAACGGGGCTCTACATTTACTATTGCTCTCGGTTAATGACTCCGAGTAATTAAAATTAACATTTGGGTTACGTAGCAAATTGTAGTCTGTGCTTGCCAGTGGCATAAATGGAGCACGCACGATGCGTACCTGTCCAGCAAAGGGAGAGCTGAAGCACCTGAGAGTGAAGGAACCTCCCGATTAACCCCTTGAGCCGCGATACCAAGTGGGAAGAGATGTAACTAACCACACGCGTTGAAGCCGACACAAAGGTCGGCTGGGGGGGTCAGAGATAAATGGGTGGGCGCCTGGGTGGGGGGGTGGGTGGTTGATGGTGTTGACAACACCGTAGACCACACCAGCAGCTCGCGGTGGCTGCATTTGGTGGGCGGGCGGGTAGCCCGTTTCAAGGCCGGTTGCGGTGGTAGTAGCCACGCTCACCCACGCCGTGTGGTGCCCCCCCACCCCCCCCCCCCTCACCAACCGGCAGTGGACCGCATTGTGGGGCTGGACCAGGTGTCGGGCATGGCGGAGACGGCGTTCGGCTCGACCTACAAGACACGCAAGGGCATGTTCCGCACAGTGGGACAGCTCTACAAGGAGCAGCTGTCCAAGCTCATGGCCACGCTGCGCAACACCAACCCCAACTTCGTGCGCTGCATCATCCCCAACCACGAGAAGAGGGTGCGTTTGTGCATGTGTGTGTGCGTGCGTGTGTGTACGTGCGTGCGGCGCCGAGATCTGCCCTGTCTTGTTGCCGTGGACGCGGGCCCCATGTGTCAGTTCAGAGCTGTATTGGCCGTGTACGTGCACGTGTGTCTGTGTGAGTCCGGCAAAAACAACCCCCTACCTCCTCGTGGTGCCAAACGGAAACGCTGTGGTGGGCAGTGCCGTGGGGAGAGGGCCAATTTAGATTGACCATTCCCCTCATGGCATTTGGAACCACCACAGTGGCTCTGGATTGGTGTGAGGGGCTGGTAACCCCTCCACCTTCAATTAATTACCACAAAACCACGTATAAAATATCGAATTAATAAGCTTGTGCCGGAGGCCCCGGGGGAACAGGCATCTATGATGTCTCCTGGCCAAACCCAATTTGGCGGAGCCAGGAGGTTGAATCTTTACCCTAGTGGCTCCTCCAGTAACAACAAAAAACCACTGAGGGTGGCCACGTGGAATGTTCGAACGCTCACTGCGGAGGAGAGACTGCCACTCCTCTGTTGAGAGCTGGACCGGTACTGCCTGGATTTCTGTGGTATTGAGGAGGTCCGGTGGACTGGCTCTGGCTCCTGCCAACATGAGGGGTGGACAGTCCTCTCCTCGGGGCAGGAGACAACAGGGAGTGACTCTTCATCTGAACAAAAGAATGAAGACTACTTTGGGCTCGTTTTCCCATCAACCGGAGGCAAAGAGTGGTGGTCGTGGTTACTTTTGCCCCACCGAAGACGAACATCCGTGGAGGGATGCAGGCAAAGCCAATGAGTCAGATGGCTTCAATGACCTCCTGTCACAGGTGCTAGCTAAAGTGGCCTCTCGGGATAGTCATCCTGTTGGGCGACTTCAATGCCCGAGTTGGTCATGATGCTGGAACCTGGTCTGAAGTGATTGGAAGGCATGAGCCAGATCAGCTCAATAACAATGGTAGGAGGCTGCTAGATTTTTGTGTAGCCCATGGGCTTGTAATTACCAACACGCTCTTCCGGCATCGGCGCATCCACACAACATCATGGATACATGCCGGGTCCAAGCAAGAACATCTGCTGGACTACATAGTGACGGACCAGCGGATGCGAGCCCATGTCCTTGACACCAGGACCTACCGTGGAGCTGATCTGCCCACTGACCATCGACTTGTCATCTGTAAGATGTGCCTGCCATTCTTCCACTTCGGTGGTGGGTGTAGACCCAGGACCCCATTCAAACCCAAGGTGGCCTTGTCTCAGCGAGCTGATGAAAGTTGCAAGTGAGAATTTAATCATCGCTTGCAGCTGGGGTTGGCATCGTCCCCTACTCCTCCAGATGTCGAGGAGAAATGGGCGAGGTTTAGGACTGTGGCTCATGCAGCTGCAATGGCTGCTTTGGGTACACGATCCAGACCTGCCCAGAGACCCTGGCTGACAGATGAGGTGTTCAGGCTGGCTGAGAAAAAGCGCCAGGCCCACTCTCATTGTCAACAGCATCCCACGTCAGAGAATGAGGAGGCTTAGCACAGCCTTTGCTCGGAGGTTCGGAGAGCCATGAGGCGCTGTATGGATGGATGGGTGGTGGTTGCGGGTTGCTGAGAAGATTAAGTCTGCCTCAATGGCCCGCGATCATAAATCACTATTTAACTCCATCAAAAAAGTAACCTGCAGCGCCCACACCTATTACCATCAGGGGAAAAAACGGTGATCCAATCTCCAACCCCCAGGAACAGGTTTGCAGATTTGCTGAGCATTTCTGTGAAGTCCTGGGGGAGGGGAAATCCCTCGGCATGGAAAACATCGTCGGACAAAGTGGGGATTACCCTGCTGAGGCTGCGGTGTCTCAAACATTGGAAGAAGAAGTTACCCCCTGTGAGTGGCTGGCTGAGGTGCCATCTGCTGAAGAAGTACTGAAGGCGATCCAGAGTCTGAGACCAGGAAAGGCACCGGGCAGAGATGATCTCCCAAGCGAAATGCTGAGGGAGGGTGGCGTTTGTGCACAGACTGCCCTACATGACATCATAACACCAGTCTGGACCACTGGACGGGTTCCGCAGGATTGGAAGGATGCCCTGGTGGTCCCCCTCTTTAAGGGCGACGGCACAGACTGTAACAACTGCAGGGGCATCTCACTCCTCAGTGTGCCGGGAAAGGTCCTGGCAAGGATTATTCAACATTACCTAGCCAGGCACGCTGAGGAGAGGCTTGTGGAGTCCCAATCCGGTTTCAGGAAAGGACGGTCCTGCACAGATACCATATTTTCTGTCCGCCTGCTACAGCAGAGGTGTAGGGAATTTCAACAAGACCTACATCTCTGTTTATTGACCTGGTCAAGGCCTATGATACCATCAGTCGGCCTGGGCTCTGGGTTATTTTTCTTGCTTTTGGAGTCCCTGACCCTCTGCTCACGATCATTAAGGACCTTCAAGATGGTGAGCGGGCCCGGGTAAAACTACGTGGCCGTGAGTCGGAGCCATTCTCTGTTCACCTTGGAGTGCGACAGGAATGTCCTCTGGCTACCACATTATTTAACATATTTTTCGACCACGTAGTTCGTGAAGCCTTCAATAGCTGTACCGGAGGAATTTCTATCTGGTACAGATATAATGGGAGGCTGATCGATGCCCGGGTGTGGTCAAGTGATGGCTCCCTATTGCTCAACCATGTTATGTATGCCGATGATCTGGTAATTGCTGCTCACTCAGAGGAGGAGTTGGAGCTTGCCACTAAGAGGGTGGGGCCTTACCATCAGCCCCACCAAAACTAAGCACCTGCCTGGGTATTTTGTACCATCGGACACTCCACCCCCACAACTCCCAATTGGTGATGGGGCAGTTTTTGGAGAGAGTGGAGAGTTTCCCATACCTGGGTAGTGTGCTCATGACAGCAGAGGTCTCACTCTGAATCAGTCGAGCGGCATTATCTTTTCATCGGTTGTGTAATGCTGTGTGGAAGCTACCTGGTTTGTCGCTCCGCATGAAGCTTCAGGTCTTCTTGGCCACGGTCATTCCCTCCCTTCTCTACGCTTGCGAAACGTCGGTTAGAAACGTTTAGGCTGGCCTGCCTACTATCCATCCTGGGTTAACCAGGCTGGATTGTGTGAGGAGCTCGCAGGTGGTGCATTAGCCAGTCATCTCGGTCATCTCAGTCAGTCGACCCCTGGCACCTGGGTCTGCCCAGTGACCTCCTGCCAGCGGGCGTTTGACACTTAATGTGGCCTCAACGTGCACATAGCCTGGTACAAGTGTCGTGGTGACGTCACCGCCACTTAGTGGCGAATGGCGGTTGTTTTGTGAGTCTTGTGGGGAGCGGTAGTGTAACGGTTAGCACACTAAGGTACGAACCTGGTGACGCAAGTTCGATTCCCGCTCGTGGCCAACATTGGTGACGAATATCTGAACCAGTCCTTGGCCTCCTCTCGGTCGACTCAGCCAGTTCGCTTCTGAAAAAGAGCTACGTATAGCTCAGTGGGCATTACCTAGTAAATAAAATAAAAAAGTTTAGTTTAAAAGTTTAAGTTTAGAGTGTGCTTGTGCTACTTGCGCTGCTTGTGCACGCGTCGCTGGATGCAGGCGGGCAAGCTGGAGCCCCACCTCGTGCTGGACCAGCTGCGCTGTAACGGAGTCCTCGAGGGCATCCGCATCTGCCGGCAGGGCTTCCCCAACCGCATCGTCTTCCAGGAGTTCCGCCAGCGGTTAGTCGACCCCCCGCATGACCCAATCAGCCTTCTCGTGCACCACTTATGTTCTCATGCCTGCACATGTTCAGTGTTCATGTCCTCCACCTGTCAATGTTCATGCCCTGCACCTGTTCACAGTTCGTGTCGTGCACCTGTCCAATGTTGTCATGTCCTGCACAGGTTCAGTGCGAGTCTCCTGCACTTGTTAACTTTTCCTGTCCTGCACCTGTTCAGTGTTCGTGTCCTGCACCTCTTCAGTGTTTAAGTTCTGCACATAGTCAATGTTCATGTACTGCACCTGTCAGTGTTCGTGCACTGCTCCTGTCTGGTGTATCAACACCCAAGCAGTGTGTGTGAGCCACTGCTATCCTCAACACACGTCTCTTGTCTGGATTCTCACTGCAGATATGAAATCTTGACTCCAAATGCCATTCCCAAGGGTTTCATGGACGGAAAGCAAGCCTGCGAACTCATGGTAGGCACACACTGCCTGATGGTTTTTATGCTGCTGCTGTAATGCATCATCGTCATCATGATCCGCTCAAGTTGTTCTATGAAAGCTGACCTCTGACCTCGCTCACGGTAGATCCGGGCACTGGAGCTGGATCCCAACCTCTTCCGGATCGGACAGAGCAAGATCTTCTTCCGCGCGGGCGTGCTCGCCCACCTGGAGGAGGAGCGCGACATGAAGATCACTGACATCGTCATCCTTTTCCAGGCCTCGTGCCGCGGATACCTCGCCAGGAAGTAGGTGGCTCCCAGGCGCCTCTGGAAACTGACGCGGCCGCAGTCACTCCCGCTGACCCCCCCCCCCCCCGCTGCCCCGGTTCAGTGGTTCAGTCGTCGCGCGGCTAAAAAATTCAATGCGTTAGTGGATAAAAAATCATCGCGCACAATCTCCCCTCTTTCTCTTCCTCATCGCTGATGTTACCACGCTTCTATGTAGTCGATCTCCCCTCCTCCACTTCGATCTGGAGGAAGTCTCGCCACCACCCTTGTCGTCACCGCAGTCACGCTCCCCCTGTGCGTTATCCTTTCGCCTCACCTTCGCTCTTCCTGTAATCTCCGTGTGCTAAACTCTGTGCATGTTGTTTCTCATCCTGACCGCAAGGGCTCCGTTTTGCTTCCCTCTTTTAGTCGTCGATGCTCCGCATTGCCTACAGTAGTGTCAGCGGGGAGCCGGGGAGGGGGGGGGGTGTTATTTGCTACGCTGTTCTACCCAATTAATATACCCGTAAATTACGTGATGTCTTTAAACATCCAATTTATCTTGATTTGAAGCTTCCAATTGATGAAACATCCAATTGATGTTTAAGGGGTGCCACGGTGATGAGATGTTAACTACCTCGCCTGATACACAGGAGGTCGTGGGTTCGATCCCAACCCTGACGACCGTTGCATATTTGGAGTTGGCGTGTTCTCTCTTCCTGTGGTCACGTGGGTTTTTCTCTGTGGCCTCCGGTTTTTCCCGCCGCATTTAGAAACATGCGTTTAGAGTATTTGGCTGTTCGAAAATTCCACGTGGTGATAAGCCACTTCGTTGAGCTATCATTTGTGGCCAGGTCGCTTCTGAAAAAAGAGCTGTCTTTAGCTCGGTGGACCTTATCTGGTAAAATACAATTTTTTTTTTAACAGTTTACTATTGTACTGGACGACAGTGCAACGACGCGTCCGAGCACGTTACTCAAGCTTCGTGCCAAGAGCCGTGCCGTGCATTTACCGAGGAGGGGAGGGGGGGGGGCTTCCCCGGTGAGCACCACCCACGCCAGCTCAACCGCGCGTGCGCCGTTTTGTCGTGGTGACGCGCAGGGCGTTTGGGCGCCGGCAGCAGCAGATGAGCGCCCTCAAGGTGATCCAGAGGAACTGCGCCGCCTACCTCAAGCTCCGCAACTGGCAGTGGTGGCGTATGTTCACCAAGGTGAGGCGGACGTGAAGGAACTTCCCTTCCTTGGCCACTTTGCACGAAGGACGGGGGGGGGGGGCGGAGGCTGGGTTGGCACCGTGGCCAGGGCGCTTCAGAATCTGAATGTTTATTTATTATAGGCCTCACTCACGGAAGGCTGCCCCAGAAACTCGGATCTCGGCTGGTGATCGGCTCAGCCCAACATCTCTCCAGCGTAGATCGATTGAGCACCACGCTACATGTATATGTGTGTATGATGAACTTCTTTAGCACCGTACGTATCCTAACCGTGCTGATCGGCCAATTAACTGTGGCTGTGTGGAGAGACACGTTGAAAACGGAGGAATGTGGAATTTTCACCACCGACTTAAGCTCGCTACTGGAGACAAGTGCCGATGCCAATGTCCATTGAGTAGCGTGAAGGCACCAGCTTTTAACTCTGTTCTTGTGTGTGCGTACCTTGTGTGTGTGCACGTGTGTGTGTACGTGTGCCACGTGTGTACCATGTGTGTGTGTGTGCCGTGCGCGTGTATGTTTGTGTGTGCCGCGTTTGTACCATCTGTGCGCCACGCGTGCCGTCCTCCTGCTCCTTGCGTGCAGGTGAAGCCGCTGCTGCAGGTGACGCGGCAGGAGGAGGAGCTGCAGGCGAAGGAGGAGGAGCTGCAGAAGGTGAAGGAGAAACAGAGCAAGGCCGAGTGCGACCTCGTCGATTTGGAGCGCAAGCACGCGCAGGTGAGCAGGTTGCACGGGTGAGCGGTGTGCAAGGGTTAGATGGGTGAGCGGGTGCAAGGGTGAGCGTTGTGAGCGGGGTGCAAAAGTGAGATGGGTGAGCGGGGTGCAAGGGTGAACAGGATTCAAAGGTGAAAAGGGTGCAAGGGTGGTGAGCGGGTGCAAGGGTGAGCGTTGTGAGCGGGGTGCACGGGTGAGCGGGGTGCACGGGTGACCGGTACGGGCGACCGGGGCAGCACAGGTGACAACTGTGACTCTCGTTGACACTGTAGCTCGTGGAGGAGAAGCAGATCCTGGCGGAGCAGCTGCAGGCGGAGACGGAGCTGTGCGCCGAGGCGGAGGAGATGCGCTCGCGTCTCGCCGCCAAGAAGCAGGAGCTGGAGGACATCCTGCACGACCTGGAGGCGCGTGTCGAGGAGGAAGAGGAGCGCGTGCAGTCGCTCACACAGGACAAGAAGAAGATGCAGCAGCACGTGCAGGTGCAATATGATTGGCAGATGCGCGGACCGGATGATCTTGTGTGTGTGTGTGTGTAGCGGTTAGTGCCCCGCGCTACGAACTCGGCGACCCGAGTTTGATTTCTGCTCATGGCCAACACCGGTGACGATTATCTGAACTGGTCCTCCTCCCCTAGGTCGACTCGTCCTCAAATGAGTACCTGGTGCGGTGTGTATAAACATCGGTACTGCGTAGACAAAGGCGGACGGGCGCGGAAATGGCCACCCACCCCCCTCATGTGCCGTACCAACCTTCATGGGTGCTTGTTAACAGCACTTGCCCTAACAGACTGTTAAAGCTATATGGGGGATCTTTCTCTTTGTCTATTCCACATGATTTGGCGAGTGGTGAGCACAGTGGTTATTGCACTCCGCTGCGATTGTGGACATACGTGTGATTGATTCTTTATCCACGGCCTCCCGTTGCTGCTCACTAACAGAAATCACCCCATACTAGGTCAAATATAGCTTTTTATTCTCGTGTTTGAGTGTACGTCGTCACTTTGTTGTGCTTGAATGCCATTTGGACACTCAAAACACCCGGGTTGGTCGTGTCCACACTCTGCTTGACACGCGGCCTTCGTGTTATCGGCGAATTATGTTCGAGTTCTGTTCTCTGCCGCCCCGCTCGCGTGACATATATGTATGTATGTTGAACTTCCTTCACACCGCAGGTAGCCAACGGCGCTAATCAGCGGTGCGGCGAAGGACAACAACCTAAAACGCAAAAAGCAGTTGGAATTAAATTAGTTTTCAATCTGGATGATTGAAAAGTGCACAACTGTCTTCCTAACATCGGAAGGAAAGGGCGTTGCCGACGGCCACGGAAGCGTGCGTGGAAGCGCGCGATGCGGGCAACCGCCTTGACGCGCCCGTTGCAACTGTTTCGCCCAGGATCTAGGGGAACAGCTGGAGGAGGAGGAGGCGGCTCGGCAGAAGCTGCAGCTGGAGAAGGTGACGACGGAGGCGAAGGTGAAGAAGATGGAGGAGGACATCATCCTCCTGGAAGACCACAGCTCCAAGATCACAAAGGTGTTTGGCACGTTTCTCGCTCCGCTCACAGTCGCTCTTGGCGGTTGAGCAATCACGATCGTAATGATAACGATTTGCTTTTGACGCCGCGTCTTCCGCACGACGTCAGCGGCTTGACGACATCGCATCTCAACATTTCAAAGGGCTCCCCCAGTGGCAGCTGGGGGTGCCCTTTGAAGGTGACCTAGCACCTCGCCTGCAATTGGGCGTTAGCTTCCTCTTATAGAATTACATCATGGGGTTATTTATTAATGCTGACACGTAGCTTAGAGTGGGGGCGGGGCGGGGGAGTCCCTGTCCCTGGGCCGTTGACGCTAACGCGTCTCCCGCGGGCGCACGCGTGCCGTGTCCCTCTCTACGCTCCGCACGCGTGCAGGAGAAGAAGCTGCTGGAGGAGCGCGTGGCCGAGGTTGGGACGCATCTCACAGAGGAGGAGGAGAAAGCGAAGAACCTGCTCAAAGTGAAGCACAAGCACGAAGCCATGATCGCCGACCTCGAGGGTGAACCCTTGCACACACACGCACACACACGCACACACACGCACACGCATGCACAGGCGCACGCAGGCACACACGCAGGCTCGTGCAAGGACGCACACCCAGGCGCACGCACGTAGGCGCACACACGCAGATACAGACACGCAGGCACACACGCAGGCACGCAAACATGCAGGCACACACGCAAACACACGTATACATTCAGGCGCAAAGACAAAGATCCCCTGTAAAGCCTGAACAGATTGTTGGGGCAAGTGCTGTTAGTTAGCGAGCATCTATTAAGACCGACACAGAACATGAAGGGCTGGGTGGCCAGCACCACGCCTGACTGCCTTTGTCTCCCCAGTGGCCACGTTTACACACACCGCACTCGGGTACTCACTTGAGGCTGAGTCAACCTAGGGGAACACCAGGTCCAGCTCAGATATGCGTCATTGACGTTGGCCGTGAGTGGGAAACAAATTTGGTCGGCAGGTTCATAGCGCAGATTGCTAACTACGCGCCACTGCTCTCCCCAGCCACGCACAGGTATGTATGCATGTATGTTGAACTTCTTTCGCACCATACGTAGCCCGCCATGCCAATGGGAGGTGCGAGAGAAGGACAACAAACTAAAAAGCAGTTCTACAGAAATTAGTTTTCAACCTAGATGATTTAAAAAGTGCATAGCTCCAGTGGCTTCCTAATATTGGAAGGAAGAGTGTTCCAGACGGCCGCAGAAGCGCATCTCGTTTGCCAAAAGCCGCTGCGAGGATGACCCGAGTTCACGAGCTGGTTTATGCTCCTTAACGAGATCATCGAGGTATTGTGCTTCATTTGTGTGCAATGAGTCCGACCTTATGAAGTGCTAATTCGGCAACCGGAAGCCAATGCAGCTCGGCTCGTGTCGGACGGACACGAGTGGTCGGCACCGAGCACAGTGCAGGCAGCGCGTCCACTAGCCACAGTAACTCCCTGCCGCGCCCCCCGCGTGACCCCTCGCGTTCGCGCAGAGCGCCTCAAGAAGGAGGAGAAGACGCGGCAGGAGCTGGAGAAGGCGAAGCGCAAGCTGGACGGGGAGAGCACCGACCTGCAGGACCAGATCGCCGAGCTGCAGCAGCAGATCATCGAGCTCAAGATGCTGCTCGCCAAGAAGGAGGAGGAGCTGCAGGCCGCCCTCGCCAGGTCGGTCGATCGCGAGCGGGGTGGTCGCATGCGGGGTGGTCGCGTGCGGGGTGGTCGCGTACATCGTCGCGCGTGCTCGTTGTGCCGCTCGCGCGCGCCGCTTACGCGCGCCGCGTGCACGTTGCGGGCGCAGGGGCGACGAGGAGACGCTGCAGAAGAACAACGTCCTCAAGCAGTTGCGCGAGCTGCAGTCGCAGATGGGCGAGTTGGCCGAGGACTTGGAGTCGGAGAAGACGTCGCGGAACAAGGCCGAGAAGCAGAAGCGAGACCTCAGCGAGGAGCTCGAGGCCCTCAAGACGGAGCTTGAGGACACCCTCGACACCACCGCCGCCCAGCAGGAGCTCCGGTGCGTGCGCGTGTGTGTGCATGCGCGTGTGTGCGTGTGTGTGCATGCGCGCGCGTGTGTGTGCGTATGCGTGTGTGTGTGCGTGCGTGTGCTCGTGGGTAGTGAGAAAATTGCGAGGGAATGGAAATGGCGATGAATTTGCTGTGGCTTGGTGTTTGTGGCTCGGTCTATGTTGCACTTCGGAGCCCAATATTTGCGTTGAGAGAAAGGAAGTTTTTGAGATCAAAAATTACAAACTTTGCGTGAAATAGTCGCGTCGTTAACGTCTTCATTTTTAAATATCAGCACAGAGCGTTTTCATTCGGCATGTAAGTCACTCCTCGTTGTTCGCAGGAACACGGAATGGCAGCAGAGTTCTAGATGGAGGTTCAGATCGGTGTGTGCACGTCCCCAATTCAGCAGGCCCGCCCAAAGTCGCGTGTTTCCACGAGTCTTTGTATTCACCTTCCTCTCCGTCCACCCCCGGTTGCGCTCATCCCGCTCTTCTCTCGTGGCTGCCCGCCCACACACCCACACAAAGACAAAGATCCCCCGTATAGCCTTAAATAGACTGTTGGAGCAAGCGCTGTTAGCGAGCAACTATGAAGGCCGAAACTGCACACAAGGGAGTGGGTGGCCAGCACCACGCCTGGCTGCCTTCGTCTCCCTAGTGGTGATGTATATACACCGCACCAGGTAGTCATTTGAGGCTGAGTCGACCCAGGGGAGTCCCAGGTCCGGTTCAGATAATCGTCACTGGTGTTGGACGTGAGCGGGAATTTAATTCAGGTCACTACACTATCGGCCGCCCACACACCCACACACCCGTCCGTCGATCCCTGCAGCACAAAGCGAGAGCAAGAGGTGGCGGAACTGAAAAAGGCAATCGAGGAGGAGACGAAATCCCACGAGGCGGCCATCGTGGATATGCGGCACCGCCACGGCCAGACGCTGGAGGAGCTCTCGGAGCAGCTGGAGCAGGCGAAGAGGGTAAGCTCCACCGCGCTCCTCTCTATCTCTTTATCGCAATCGGCAAACGATTCCAGTGTGGGGGAGACATTCCAATTAGACTACGGGAGTGGGTAACCTTTTCCTTGCCTAGAGACTTTCAAATACCTCCGGCGGGAACGTTGGAGCTACGGCAAAAGGCCCTTGCGGTGACAAACGTGAGTGAGTGCACTGTGCTACCAGCGTGAAAATATTGACTTCCTAGGAACCGATTTAGCGTGGCTAAGATGCTTGCAGTGACCGGTATATATTGTTCCTGGACCTCATGGGGGCATGGGTCATATGAAATAAAGTTGTGGGCCGTATCTGTTCCGCATGTGGCGGCGATAGGTTCCCTATCCCTGACTTGGACCCTGTTAGAGTCGGGGCAGGTTACCCAGACAGGCGTTGAGGCGGGCACCCAGAGGGCAGAAACCAAGAGGAAAGACCTGATGAGGTGCAGGTTGGTCAACCCTTGCTGCGAGCCCACTGAGCTATATCGCTCTCTTTCAGAGGTGACCTGGCCACAAATGTTAGCTCAATGAAGTGGCTTATCACGTGGAAATTTACAGTAGGCAATATTCTAAATGCACGTTTCTAAATGTGGAGGGAAAAAACTGGAAGACCTGGAGAAAAATACACACGACCATGGAGAGAACATATCGATATTGAACCAGGCGAGGTAGTTATCTCGCCACCGTGGTCTCCCTCAGTAGGTGCTCACTAACAGCACCTGTCCTGTGGTCTGTCGGTCTAAACTTATAATGGTTCAGGTATGGTTTTTATCCCGGCTGGGTCGCGTGTTGGAGGAGCGTATTGAGATGGTGCGTTTTGGTGACCGCCATGGCGTCTGTGTCCCACGGCGTTGCTACTGCAGTTCAAGGGCAACCTGGAGAAGTCGAAGCAGTCGCTGGAGGCCGAGCGCCAGGAGCTGCTGTCCGAGGTGCGCGCACTGGCGCAGTCGCGCTCCGAGTCGGAGCAGAAGCGCAAGAAGACGGACGGGCTGCTGCAGGAGCTGCAGGTCAAGGCGGCGGAGAGCGAGAGGTCGCGCGCCGAGCTCGGCGATCGCGCCTCCAAGCTGCAGGTGCGCTTCGAACCATCGTCGTCGATGTCGTTACGAGCGTGCATTTTACCCTCTCTCTGTCGCCGGTCGCCTCGCGGTGTTGGCCCCCTTGGAGCCTTTTGCGCCACGTCTCCATTGATAAGAAAGATGTCGTCACGATCGCCGTCACCGCCAATCATTGTATTCACCGTCACATTTCACCATATCTTTGTCGTCCCCATTGTTTTACCTTGATTTATAGATGTCATTGTTTCCTTTGGCGATAGGTGTCATTGTATTCGGCATGACCGTTATTATTGTCATTATCATCATCGTCATCCTTTGTTTTCTTCATCGCCATGATAATTATCTTCACCATCATTGTTACTATCCTAGTTATCGTTGCTGTGATCATGACCATCATCGTTTTGATCGTCATCAAAATAACAGAGCGAGGTTGGTGCGAGGTGCCTGATCAAGACAACAGAAAGGGAGCCACTATCTTGGACCCCTCTAATCTAAGATGTTTCTTGTTCATGTTTTTGTTTGTTGCGGTTGCACCCAATTCAAGAGCTGCATGGCTCTCAGGGCTATACCAAATATAAATGAAACTGAAACTGAAAACTGTATTCTACGGAGTCGCTTTCGAAGCACGTCGATCGCCCTGGTTTGCTGCATACGTCGATTCGACTGAACCCTCGTGTGCTGCACCCCTCTCCTCCCCGGTGCAGAACGAGCTGGAGAACGTGTCCACGTTGCTGTCGGAGACCGAGGGCAAGGCCCACAAGCTGGCCAAGGAGGTGTCGAGCCTGGAGTCGCAGCTGCAAGAAACGCAGGTGCCGACCTCCGGGCCTGCATGCTCGTTCGCACGCGCAAATTACCACTCGTCCAGAATTTAAGAGTTTTTAAAAATGAATGTAGTTTTTATTTTATGACCGTCGACAATTGTTAACCGCGAGTTGTCAACGGCGTACGTTTGGTAATGGAGAGGGTTTTAGGTTGCCTCTGTGTTCTGTTTTTGTTTTCGTGAGCTGCTTTTGTCAACCATGTGAGACAGGCGTGCGCTCAGCTGAAAATTAAGAAACCGAACACATCGATTCACGCCAGTGGGCGTGCAAAATCCCTTCCACAGGGGAATACAGACAGATATAATTCTGCTTTGCCCGCTGGGATGCTAGAGTGTACATTGGTTGCCTTTCATCTTCGCAGCCTCGGGAACAGTGGGCTGCAAACGTGGTCTGAAACGTGTTCGCCTGTTGCAGCTTTTCAGTCAAGGAAACATTTTGTGTAACATTGAGGTTCCCACTTAATAACGCAAGTGAGACTATACATTCGCAATTATCGCACCCCACCCTCCCCCCCGCTCCTATGCGCAAACTCGGCAGGACTCTCCTGCAAACGAGTCACGGGACTCGGTGAGGCTTCCATGGGTAAAGGAGCTTGATGATAAAAATCTGTTCTTCAAGTTTGGCACTTGGAGTGGCAGATTTGTGTGCCAGATAGCCGCCACGTGTTTAAGACAAATGTCGTTTACTTGACTTGGTCTCATCAAGCCTCGTGGCTTTCATCTGCGTCACTCGTCAGGGAAACTGTCTCCTGGCTGCAGACGCGTGACAATAGCTCTGGGGCCTTGACGCTCGCGCGTGGATCGTGCGAACCTTGGCGCGCGTGGATCGTGCGAACCTTGGCGCGCGTGGATCGTGCGCGAGCCGTACCTGACGCGCGCGCTCTGCCTCCTCAGGAGCAGCTGCAGGAGGAGACGCGGCAAAAGTTGAATGCCAGCACGAAGGTCCGCCAGCTGGAGGATGAGAAGAACGGGCTCCAGGAGCAGTTGGAGGAGGAAGAGGAGGCGAAGAAGAACCTGGAGAAGCAGATGACCTCCCTACACGCTCAGGTGATCACTGGCACACGTAGGAGATCACTGGCACACACAGGTGCACACTGGCATACACAGAGCATTGGCACACACAAATACACACTGGCATATGCAGGTACACACTGACACACCCGGGTATACAGTGGTACACACAAATATACACTTCCATCGACAAAGATCCCTGTATAGCTTATAACACACTGTTGGGGCAAGTGCTATTATCGAGCACCTATGAAGGCCAGCACAGCACACGAGAGGGTAGGTAGCCGGCACCATGCCCGACCACCTTCGTCTCCCTTGTGTACCCACTGCCATACACAGGTGCGGACTGGCACAGAGGTGATCACTGGCACGCACAGGCACACACAATCGTACGCAACGTCAGTTGCAAGGTCTTTGGGGAGAGGAGATGACTGGGACGTGCCCTTGTGCTTTTCCCCCCCGCTCAGCTGGCCGAGGCGCGCAAGAAGGTGGAGGAGGACGTGGGGTCCCTGGAGGGTCTGGAGGAGGGCAAGAAGAAGATGCTGAAGGACATGGAGGCGCTGACCCAGCGGCTGGAGGAGAAGAGCGCCGCGTGCGACAAGGTGGAGAAGACCAAGAACCGTCTGCAGCAGGAGCTCGATGACCTCACCGTGGACCTGGACCAGCAGCGGCAGACCGTGTCCAACCTCGAGAAGAAGCAGAAGAAGTTTGACCAGGTGCGCGGTGACCGTCGCCAGTTGGTCCTCCACACGATGGCGATGGGGAGAGAAGGGGGGGGCGGAACCGGCGGTGTCCATGTGGCCTTGTTCATAAACATGCTGTGTGTGTGTGCGTGTGAGAGGAGCAGTGGCGAAGTATGGATGTATGGGTGCCACGATGGCGAGATGTTAAATATCTTGCCTGTTATACAGGAGGTCGTGGGTTTGATCCTGACCTTGACGCCTGTATATTTGAAGTTTGCATGTCTCCTTCCCCGTGGTCGCGTTTAGAGCATTTGGCTGCTGTAAATTGAGCTATCATTTGTGGCCAGGTCGCTTCTGAAAAAGAGCTATATTTCTCATTGGGCCTTACCTGATAAGATAAAAATGGTTTAGTTTAGTATGTATGTTGAACTTCTTTCACACTGTACATAGCCAACTGTACTAATCTGAGGTGTGGGGGATGGACAACAAACTACAAACAAAAAGCAGTTGTAAAGAATTTAGTTTTCAAACTCGATTTAAAACTGCATAGCTCCAGTGGCATCCTAATATCAGAAGGAAGAGCATTCCAGGAGGCCGCAGAATGGCATCTGAAAGCGCACGATGCAGTGACCGTTTTTGTAGCTTGCACGTGTGCTATGATACCAGTGGCCTGGGTTTCATTTCCAGCCATGGACAGCAGTATCCGTGGCCGGTGATATCTTGAACTGTCCTGTGCTCTCCTTAGTTAGACTCAGCCTTAAATTGAGTACTTGGTGGGATGTGCGAATATCAGCACTGGGGGGGAGATGGATGTGGTGCTGACCACCCTGCCCATTCATATTCTTGCTCGGTGCTCACTTACAGCACTTCTCCTGTGGTCTGTCGGGCTTTACCTGTAATGGTTCAAGTGTGGTTTTTTTATCCGGTTTGGGCCACGTCTTGAGCGTTTCTCCTCTCACCAATGCGAGGCTTTTTTGCCCACACTTCAACCCCTCAAGGTTCCCCACAGCAGTGCGTGGCGAAAGCTCGGAAAAGAAATGCTCAACACGCAGCCCGACCCAGTAAAAAAAAAAAAATGCCTCGCGAAAACCTTCGGCACGTGAAAGCGCAAAGCAGGTGCCGTTATAGATTCTGAACTGTGTGCTAGTTTGCCCCGACGGCCACCCACACTGACGGCGCTGGCCCCGCCGCACCCCACCACAGATGCTGGCGGAGGAGAAGAGCGTGTCGGCGCGCTACGCGGAGGAGCGCGACCGCGCCGAGGCGGAGGCCCGTGAGAAGGAGACCAAGGCGCTGTCGCTGGCGCGGGCACTGGAGGAGACGGTGGAGGCCAAGGAGGAGCTGGAGAGGAGCAACAAGCAGCTGCGTGCCGAGATGGAGGACCTCGTGAGCTCCAAGGACGACGTCGGCAAAAGCGTAAGGCTCGCCGGGAGAGAAATCGCATTGCAAACATCCCACCGTACGAAACTCAAGTGACGTGTCGCAGCGCAAATCAAGTCGTTGGTACATTTGGTATTCGTGCTGTTCTCACAGCGCCAGGCTGTGACAGATGATCGTCGCCTGCAGTCAAATGCCAGATGTTGTTATGTGTGTGGTTTTACCCATTAGGTATTTTGTTGTTCTTGCCTTCCCTTGTATCCGGCCTAGTGGCTCAGAATTGGACGGTTGCGAGTTCAAATCCTGGTCGGGGGTTGACTGATTCCCATAATTCCTCTGGGCTCGATGAAATTAGTGCCACTGTGGGAAGCCAGCAGAGGATTGTCCTTTGGCTTGATTTACCCCTGCCATAGGAATGTGGAGCTTCCGGCACTGGAGCTGTGCACTGCCTCCACGCGCCTCTGAGCAGGAATTCACTTGGACTTTCCACTGTGTATCTGTGCGTTCCAGGCCCTTTCATCATCTTTGCTGAGACGCACGTGCATCCACATGCACACGCGCGCACACCCGCCCCAAATAAATCCCCTCGTCCGCCGCGCGCGGCCCCGCGCCTGAGCATGCGTGCGTGCTTTCTATGTATGTTGAACTTCTTTCGCACCGCGTGTGTGTGTGCGTACCGTGTGTGCTGTGCGTGTTGTTCCTCAGGTCCACGAGCTGGAGAAGTCGAAGCGGGCTCTGGACCAGCAGGTGGCAGAGATGCGCACGCAGCTGGAGGAGCTGGAAGACGAGCTGCAGGCCACCGAGGACGCCAAGCTGCGCCTGGAGGTCAACATGCAGGCGCTGAAGGCGCAGTATGACCGCGAGCTGCAGGGCAAGGACGAGCAGGGCGAGGAAAAGCGACGCTCGCTCGTCAAGCAGGTGGGCGACGAGGCCGCGCGGAAGTTATCGGAGCAGGTTCCTCCTGTGCCCGACTCCGCCGCTCGCTCTGCTGTCTCGCTGCCGCGCTGCGGTCGAGCGTCGTGCACACGGTGCCATGCACGTGGTGCTGTGGATAATAAGCGCGGCGCGGCACTGCTTGCTGTAGTGCAGCGGGGGCAGGGACGAGCGTATGCGGTTGTGTTCGGGTGTGCTCTGTGCTTTTCGCTGTGCTGTGTGTTGTGTTTATCATGCATGTGTAGTGTCGTGCGTCTCTTCTTCCTTCTCGCTCGAGGCTTGTGTGTGCATGCAGGTGGCGTGCGTCGCACACATTCAGTCTGAGACGAGGTAGTCGCAGGAGGCACCGTCCACCCCTTTTATTGTCGTTGAGTTCACGCCATCACTCAGGCCCCCTCTCACGACCACGCTGCTGTCCGTACGACCCGTCCCAGACACGACCCTGTCCGCGTTGCACCGATGGCGTCGACCGGGACAGCCAACTCCTGTCCGGCCGCACAATGATCAGGCGAAGGCGGCAGTGACGAGGGCGGCGATGACGACAGCAACGAGGAGACGAGTCCAATCCCAGAACCGGCAGCCCGGAGCTCTCGCGCTCCGCTGCTTTTATTCCCCTCGGCTCTGCTTGGCTCCGCCCTAGCCGCGCCTCCCTTCTCGAACCCACCAGAGGGTTCCAGGGGCTTCCCCATGAGGTCTACCGTGACCCTTGCCCCAGTTCCTCCACCCTGCCGGCACACACACACTGTGTACATGGTCAACGGCGTGTGTGCCAATTGCCCAACTGCAGTTGCAGCTGCTGTACGACAGTGAGCGCTATGTCACTACACATGTATTGTACGTGCATGTTATGTCTATATTGCGCGTGTTATGCTAATTATTTGTGTGTAATGTGCGTACTGTTCATGCACAGGGTGCACCATGTGGATTGCACGTGTACTTTGTGTATGTGTGTGTGCACAATGCGTGTGCAACGTAAGTGCTGCACGGGCTGCTGTGTGTGTTGTGCGCGGGCTGTGCTCTACACCGCATGCTTCGTGTGCCGTACGCGGCACGCTCGTAGCTCATCGCTAATCGTGCATCGCACTCGCTTGTTCGCTCCACGCAGGTGCGCGAGATGGAGTCCGAGCTGGAGGATGAGCGCAAGCAGCGTGCCCTGGCTGTCGCCGCCAAGAAGAAGCTGGAGGCGGACTACAAGGAGCTGGAGTCGCAGAACGAGGGCGCCAACAAGGGCCGCGAGGACGCCGTCAAGCAGCTGCGCAAGCTGCAGGTCGGTGACACCTGCCGCCGTGGGCAGCCGGGCACGATCGCCGCTCCGCCGGATCCGGGGGCGATGTTGCCCGCAGTGGCAGCAGCAGCAGCAGGAGGAGGAGGGGGAGAGGAATGCCCAGCGCGGCCACCCACGTGTCGTTGGTTCGCTGGCGTCGTGGCACCGACACCGCTAGCCGCGCTCCGAGTAGACACCGTGACCAGAGAGCGACGGTGCAGTCCACGGACGCACCGACACGGCTGCCCCCATACAGCACCGTGACAACACAGTTGAGCGTAGATGTGTAACACGTGTTAATGTGATGGTGCGTTACGAACGAGGGCGATGTGAGATTTTGACGATAGTCGTGGCGGAGATTTATTTTTTTCGGTTTAACGTGGAAAAGAGGGAAAATGTTATTCACATTGTTAGGCAGCGAGACGCAAAATGGCTGTGCGTCCATCATCAGTAACCGTGCACTTTAAGCCAGCCGCGAGTCCTTTGACGTAAAAGTCCCTTTTGCAATGAGACCGCTATGTAAGATATATATATATATATAGAGAGAAATGAGAAGGTAGGACCTATGTATGCATGTATGTTGAACTTATTTCTCACCGTACGTACCCAACCATGCTAATCGGAGGTGTGGGAAATGGGATGGGATTGGACTAAGCTCTCTGCTGGGTCAAACTCCACACGTTATTCAGGTTCTATCGCTGGGTTTGTGGCTTGGCGACCTTCTCACCCGTTGTCTTTGTCGTTGCGGCCGTGGCGCAGGCCCAGTTCAAGGACTTCCAGAGGGAGCTGGACGAGGCCCGGGCGGCGCGCGAGGAGGCCTTCAGCGCTGGCAAGGAGAACGAGAAGAAGGTGAAGAACCTGGAGGCGGAGGTCATCACGATGCAAGAGGTGAGGGCGCAAGGACCGTTATCACCTCGGCGATCCCTCGGATGCGAGCGCCACGGTCGCCCCGGCGCAGTGTAGAGTTTCCAAGACTGGCGATGGATGGCTCACTAGCCTGAACCTTGCCTGTCGGACGCAGCGTGCTCAGCCATCCCTCCCCGTGCCGTGTGCGGTGCAGGAGCTGTCGGGAGCGGAGCGAGCGCGGCGCCACGTGGAGCAGGAGCGCGACGAGCTGGCGGAGGAGCTGGCCAACAACTCCACCGGGAAGTGAGTGGCCATTCTCGTGGTTACAATACAGCAGTGAGCCCGCCGCCGCTGTGTAGGGCACGGTGTGCGTGCTGCGCGACCGACTCGGAGAGGTCCCCTGCGGCCACCCCAACCCCTGGGTGCAGGCAGTTCCATAGCATTGAGTTTAGTCGGCAACTAGGAAGTGGGTGGACGTTCAAGTTTATTGCGAGCAGTTGTGCAGTCCGGGCACTTTCTTGCAGTGCAGACTCCTGCTTGCCATCAAGCGATCTGCTCGGCGATTTACGGGATTGATTGTATCTAGATTGATTTGCTCTTACAATCCTGAATAAGCTCGTTTTAATTTCCTTGTTGTGCAACTGCTCACTAAGATACGGACAAAGCAGTAGCAGGCGATTACGTTGCGCTATTCCGAGAGCAATTTGGGTTGCACAACCGATGGCTCGGGTGTGGATGCAGATTTAGAGTAATAACGGTGACGTTTCCTTACCCAGCAAAGTGTCGGCCAAATCGGAGGACTCGTGAGCAGCGGAGGGATTTGACCGTCGGGACGTTCGGCCAATTTTGGTTGCGTGTGTCCCTCCCTCCGCAGGTCCGGTCTCCTGGACGACAAGCGGCGGCTGGAGGCCCGGATCTCGCAGCTCGAGGAGGAGCTGGAGGAAGAACAGGGCAGCGTGGAGCTGCTCAACGACCGCTTCCGCAAGGCCAGCCTGCAGGTCAGTCGGCCTGGGCCTCGCAACGCAGCCGCAGTGAAATGAAACGGCCATGGGGAAGGGTGGCACTCGTGGGGGTGGAGAGAGAGAGAAGAGAAGCGTCTTTGTCCAAACGGCACATGGGAGCGCCTGAGCATCCTGCCTGCAGCTTCGCGTTGTCAGATGACTGGAGGATGTGACGAGTCACTTGATACTTGTGATTCGGAGCAGGTGGCCATCAAAACTTATGAAATGGTACATTCGGGGCACTTGTGCAGCCAGCTAAGGACCCCAGAAAAGACTTCACGGGCCATGTGAACCGCAGCCCGGCAGGTGAAATACGTTTAGAAAAAGCTGAAAGTCTGTGACGCGAGTAGTTTGTTCCTGTACTCAGCAAAATAAGTAAACAAATATAACCTGATGGTAGAACAGTGGCTAACGCATGGAACTATGATCCCCCCCCACCAACCGCTTCACTAATTAACTTTGACTATACTTCACCACGCTGATCAAACAACTCCCACCGGCACTATGGCGTGGGGCAGTCCTTTATCCATCGGTGAATTAACGAAGGGCAGTAAGAGTACTAGAATTGTTATAGCGAGTGTGCGTGTGTGCATGCGTGCGCGAGCAGGCGGAGCAGCTGACGGCAGAGGTGACGGCGGAGCGCAGCAACGCGCAGAAGAACGACAATGCGCGCCAGCAGCTGGAGCGGCAGAACAAGGAGCTGCGGGCGAAGCTGGCAGAGCTGGAGACGTCCGTCAAGGCCAAATACAAGAGCGCCGTTACGGCGCTGGAGGCCAAGGTGGCCACCATGGAGGAGCAGCTGGAGCACGAGGCTCGGTACGTGCCTGCACCCACTGCCGAAGCTTCACATTTTCGCCGCGCCTCGGGGTAAGACGCTGCCCTTGCCCCCAATGGACCGATGGACCGGTCGTTCCTGTGTGTCCATACATGTGTTCGTGAATGTATCTGTGTACGACACATTTCACATGCGTGTGTGTGCGTGTCCATGTGTTTAGTTTATTACATTGTTGAACCAGCTGGCTCAACAACTTGGGCAAAACTTAGCCCACTTTTCGTCCAGGAAACTGGAGAGCATGAAGTGTTACTCGCCTAACATTGACACTAACAATTACAGATTCAAGAAACAGCGTTAAGAGACAAACAACACATACACTATAAAAAAAATTTGCAGTTTTTTTTACTTTAAATCTCATCAATGGTCCACTAACTATCCTGGACACTGCTGTCCCAGTGCCCGACAAAGGCTGCTATTGTCATTTAATTTAAAACACCACAAGCACCAACTAAATGCCGCGAGAGAAATGTTTGCAATTCAAAAGCGGTCGCTTGAACGCCGTCGCAGGGAGCGAACAGGAGCCAACAAACTGGTGCGGCGCTCGGAGAAGCGGCTGAAGGAGGTTATGCTACAAGTGGAGGATGAGCGTCGCCACGGAGACACCTACAAGGAGCAGGTACATTCGGCACGACTGGTGGGCCCGCCAGGGCTCCCAAGTAGGATGCGATGGCCGCGTTGGGGGGTGAGGGTGGTGGCCGACGGGGGATTACGGTGGCCACTTGGGTCGCCGACATGGCAACGTGGGACTGCAGTGGCCACTGCGCACCGCGGAGGAGAGAAATCAGGCAGGAAGTGCAGTGCGTGCTGCAGACGCTGCAGCAGCGTTCGTTTTCGTGACGTCAGCGTCCTCTTCAATTAATCAGGTTGGGAACTTGAAATTTCCTCAAGCCGTCGGGAATACAACGGACACCGCTATCCTTCCATGGACACCCACACGTTTTATCGGAGCTTTCACACCCAGCACTCACTTCCTCTGCAGAGGAACGCTTTCCAGCTGCGTTCTGGGGAATTCACCGTCATTCACTGCATGTGTTGCGTACATTGATTCCATTCAAACCTAAGTCTTATTTAATCGGACGGAATCCAGATGCTTTCAGAGCACCTCCTTCCCTCCTCTCCGTGTGGTGAATCCACAGTGGCGAGATGTTTACTACCTCGCCTGGTATACATGACGTCGTGGGTTCGTTCCCAACCCTGACACCTCTTATATATTTGCATGTTCTCCCCGTGGTCGTATGGATTTTTCTCCAGGTAGTCCTGTTTTTCCCTCCACATTTAGAACCAACTTGCGTTTAGAGGATTTGGCTGCTATAAATGTCCACGCAATGATAATCCACTTCTGTTAAGAGCTATCATTTGTGGCCAGGTCGCTTCTGACAAAGAGCTACATCGCTCGGCGAGCCCTTACCTGGTAAAATAAACGATAGCTTATCTTAATAGTGCCCTTCAACCTCGTAACCCCCCCCCCCCCCCCACTGCTTCATCCCCCACCGGCAGGTGGAGAAGGCGATGTCCCGCGTGAAGGCGCTCAAGCGGCAGCTCGAGGAGGCGGAGGAGGAGGCAACGCGCGCCAATGCGGCGCGGCGCAAGCTGCAGCGCGAGCTGGACGATGCCATGGAGCACTCGGAGGCCATGAACCGTGAGGTGAACACCCTCAAGAGCAAGCTCAGGTGAGGCACGCGGCGGCAGCAGCAGCAGCGCCCGGTACATGGCGTTGCAACAACGCAGCCGGTGACGCCGCGACACGGTGACGCGGTGACGCGTCCACACAGCGGCTTGGCGACACCAAGGCACGTCGGCACAATGGCAAAACCGACACCACAACGATGTGACACAGCAATGCAGCGGCGTGGTGCCATGTCGCCTCGGCCCAAACAGAAAAACCTCACGAGCTTTGCGTTGTGGTCACGACATTTTTTTGTAACGATATTTGTTTGAACGATGAGTGTACACGGCACGGCGGTGGTCGTGATGTTGTTGTTTGTTGATGGACTGACTCGTGTTTTTTTTTCTCATCCGGAAACAGCACCCGATTTAACAAACCTGACAAGTAAGGCTCCGGTCTGAGTTCCCTGCTTCCTGTCGTCTGCACCTTCGTTGACCATTTCCTCCGTCAGATATCCGTCGTCGGTCAAATTCGCAGCCGCTGCTGCTCAATACGCGACCGTTGGCAAGTTAACTAAACTCAATAAGTGCAATTGGCAGCGAGCACTGGATTGGCCTGATGTGGAGGAAATGACAAAGCGTTGCCGACGACTTGAGTGGCGCTCCCCCCACACCCCCCCCCCCACCGTGTGCAGCAGTGCAGTGTCACGCAGGGCCGCCTGTGCCACGTCTGTCGCTATTGCTAGCTCTTGCGTCACCCTCTGCACGCACAACAACGCTCTTCACGGGTGATCTATCCTGCGCATGTCGATGATTCTCGCTGGGGCAGGTGCCTGGTCCACGCGATGCTTTGGAGTTCAGAATCTTTTTTTATATATATACTGGAAGAATCCGATGAGCTATAAAGCTCTTTTGCCACAGATGTCCAGTAAGGGTGGGTCAGAAAGTCAAACAATCCAAAAACACGATAGGAGTGCACAGTATAGGAAAGTGAAGCAAATAACTAAAAAAGTTCAAGTGAAAAATTTATATTTTACCGGGTATAGCCACTTAGCTATTTGCTTCTATTTCAGAAGCGACCTGTCCACATATGATAGCTAAATAGCTTATGATGTGGAAATGTATAGCAGCCAAATAATCTCAACACATGTTTCTAAATGTGGAAGGAAAACCCAGAGGACCCGGAGGAAAAAATACACACGACCACGGGGAGAACATGCAAACTCTAAATATACAGGGGTTGGGATCGAACCCACAACCTCCTGCATACCACGCGAGGTAGCGTGGAAGTGAATGTGCTCGGCACCATGGCTGCTTTTCACCGAGGTGACTGCTTATTCCTGGCAGCTGCCTGGTGAATTATGCAAAATATTGCCGAATGTGCTGCCAACTTCGAAATGGAATTGTTAATAGCCCTGTGCTATCACTCGTGGAGCTATCCATGCAGACAGTCGAGTATAACCCCCCCCCCCACCACACCCCCTCGTATGCGTGGCGGGTATCGTGTGGTCATGCCAGTTTTTCCCCCATGAGAAAGATACGACTTGAAAAGGAATTGGCCAAATATTGCAACGCAAGATTCTCTTGAAAAAGTCTTGAGAGTCTGCGAGGCTTTCCAAAACAAAGGACGTGATTATTAAAAGCGTAGACCAATGCGAGCAAGTGTTGCAGCCCAAATCCCAACTTGTATAAAATTACCTGCAACCTATTTTATATAATCTCGAAAACAACTTCTTCTGCCGAACTACGGCTACCCATACAAAAAAAATCCACAACCCCAATAGGGTCTCCTGGTTTAATTGAGGATGCTGAACTCACCGCTGCTGCCCTCTAGGGGCCTAGGGCTTTGCTTGTATCTCTTTGCGTCCCACATTCATGGTGGTGGTGGTAGTGGTGCTAACGAATATCATGTTCTGCTAATGAGAATAGATCAGCTCTCCTGTAACTTCACCCTTACCCCTCCCCTGACCGTGATTTTCACACCCCGTCGCCCACCCACCCCAGGCGAGGCGGCGCTTTCTCATTCAGCAGCGGCGGCGGCGCCGCCAGCACTAGCGGCAGTAGCCGAACCGGACGCCGCACTGTGCAGCACTCCTCCTTCGAAGGCGACCTGTCGGACGACGACTCGGTGAGCAGCAAGGAAAAGGATTCTCTAAACGACACGCAGCCCAGCCCGAGCGAGTAGCCTGCGTAGGCGGCCTCCACCACCGCGCTGGTCCCCAGGGGACCTCGGCCTTAGGGCCTGGACTGCGGCACAAGGAGGAGCCGGCGGCGGCGGGGGGAGGGGGGCCGTGGGTGGCGCTGGTCTCTGTATCACCTGGACTATAGGACTAGACCTGAAACAAACAGAACTACAGGCAACCACTGAGCAGCAGCAGCAACGCACGCTGCGCCGATGATGCTACGATCCCGGTCGGCGGGCGTGCCGACCGCACTTTTCATTGTAACGGAAATTCCAACAGTATTTCAAGTTCGCCGCAGTATGTTTAGAACTTTAGATATAATGCCTGTTACAGCTTGTTATACTTCTTGTAATCGTAACCATACGCCTGACATTTTGGTCTAGCTGACGTTTTCGTTGATGTTATATTCTTTTTGTAATCTCGAAGCCTTGCTGGCAAGCCAACTGTGAAAAAAGCGAGCTCAAGGCTTCTTTGTATCTGATCCGAGTCCACGCATTCATACACAAAACGGTATTTGTCCTTTAGGAGGCCAAAATTTCCAAAAGTTAATGGTCTCACTCAGGCCGTACAAACTAAGGCAGAAAAGTGAGGCGAGCAGAGCGTGCAATGCCCGCCCACCCTGCCCCCTGCAAATCGGTCTGTAAACACCCAAGCTAAATTATTTTTATTTTACCAGGTAAGACCCACTGAGCTATGTGGCTCTTTTCAGAAGCGATCTGGCCACAAATAATACCTCAACGAAAGTGGCTATTCATGTGGAAATTTATAGCAGCCAAATACTCTTAAACGCATGTTTCTATACAGACGTGAGGGTCTGGATCGAACCCACAATCTGTATACCAGACGAGGGAGCTAACATCTCGACACAGAGGCAAACCATTTGTAATTTGCAAGTCCTACAAACTATTTGTGGGAGGTCTGACCCAGATAGTGTTTGTTTTTGGTGTGACTCCTATGTCTCATACCTGATGGAGGTGTTTGCGGAGGTGGGCGTAGAGGGGCGAGGGAGAAAATGATGCATGCCTGTCTTAGCCCCACATTGGAAACGCGTGCAATGCACGTGCAGCAAAGGAAATGATTAAGGTGTTCGCTTGATTATTGGTGATGGTGGGCAGGTGACATTTTTCAAACTCGGGCCCTGTGTGGACATATCGATGACCTGTTTTGGATGTGCTTTGTGTTAAGAGAGAGACGATGATTTACTACGCACCTGATTCTCGTGCTGATGCGGACGAGGAGCGTTGGATTGGAGACATTTCCTCCGTTGTTGAATCCTGGACCCCCCACCGCGTACGTCCCTGGAAAGTTATTGCGCCTGTGCTTTTCCGGAGTCGGAGGCAGTGAAAGACCTAAGCCAGCCACGGAGCCTTTCCCAGTGTGGCTTTCGCTTTTCGTCGATCCTGCTGCAAATGTACTCGTACATTTTCTTTTTCTTTCCTGAGAGAAAACTGTGATGCCTAATGTACTCCCGTGTCCACGTATTTGATGCAACTGCAGAGATCGCAAACTTGCACAGCGTAGGGGAAATATGACTACAGTGCTCTACCACTGTCATCTGTGTAATCGTGTTCAACTCCACGTCTTTTGCTTATGGTTATTAATTTAGGTGCGTCAGCTGTGTTTACACTAGGGAATTTAGTCTGTACCAGTGGTCACTTGTTGAGAACACGACGGGAATGGGGGTTCCTATTAGGACGCTACATTCTCAGACCTGCGGCTCCGAGCAAATGGAGAGGAACACAAGGGACATTTAAGAGGGCTTCAACCAATGGGATTGTGACCGCTTGTCAGCCAATCCGTGGATGGGGGGGGGGGGGCTACTTCTGTCTCTATTTTTGAGCCATATTTTCCTTTTGAAGTGGCATAAACGAGTTCCAGTTCTGAGTGGGAGAGTTCGGTTCTCAGTGTGCTCCTGTTGTGAATCCGTGGCCCTGGTGTGAACACAGCTATAGCAGCTGAACTTCATCCGGAGACTCGGTGATCTGAGGTGTGCGGCACAGCGCGCATGGGAGCTCGACCCCACGAGCTGTTCTGTGGGATCAGATTGAGGCGTATACCCAGTACGCATGCAAACATTGGTTGATGTTGGGCCAAGGTTTGCATGTTCACTGGGCAACAGTGAAGATGTATCCATTCATCTGTTAAAATCAATTATTCTGCTCGGAATACACGTGTGTGTGTGTGTGAGAATCAATTATTTACAAGTTATGCAAAGTACATGTTAGAAATTGAGATGAACGGAGACAACAAACGTATTTTAAAAAACTGAACAATAAACTGTACAAGCGGGTCGGTATAAATTACACAATTTGATTACTGTGTTTTTTTACCACGTTTCATGGACACAGTGGGCAGGCGAATCGTTACATGCTTTGTTAGTAAGTCTGGCCTCTGCCCTGACCATGAACGTTATCATTGGGCTTACGGACAAGCAACATTGCTCCAAGGGCCCCACTAATAACCGTGCAACGTTTGGCAGAACGGGGTCTCTCGCCGCCACCTGGCAAACATGTGTTACTGCAGAGGCCGCACAGCGATTTGGAATCTTGAGGTTCAGGTTAGGGGAGGGGGGCATTTGCTGTCATGTGAAAGACTGTTGTTGTGAAAAATAGTCAGTAAAAGTAGCCCAAAGCCTGCCCCTCACCCCATCCCCAACCCTGGCCCATGCCCCTTTCACCCAATCATGGTTTTAGAGTACCCATCCACATGCACATTGCCGGGCCCCAAAAGCTATCGTGGGTGGCCGCAGCAGTCTTTTTCACACATTGCCTCATGAACCCCGAAACGTCTGTCGGCTGATGCCGACGCCAGGTCTTAAATTACGGTGGCTTCAGAGCAGGAATGGGGAACCTGCGATTCGCGGGCCGTGTCTGGCCCACGACCTCATTGCGTACGGACTGCGGCCACATGAGGCCTACCTCTTCGTTATGGCTCTCAAACGATATTTATCCATCACTACAAGCGTATTATTCACACGCCAACTTTGAAACTGCGACCCGGCATCAATGCGTTGCAGTGAAAGTAAAGCGGTAAAAGGTCAGCCCGAGTTATTTTCACAATCTTTTTATTATGATTAGATAACACCAGCCGTGTGTTCGGTGCAGTCCGATAAAGTTATTTTAAAATCCTATTTGGCCCTCGGTGAGAAAAAAGGTGTCCCACCCCAGCTTTAGGTGCTGGACTCAAGTCGCGTTCAAGCGTTGCGGCTCCCCACTCCCCGTGCTGCCCACAAGTGAGCCAGAACTGAGCCAGCACGGTTCATTACGACTGTAGAATCAAGGCACCGATCTCTGTCTATGGGCCCTCCCTACATGGAAGGCATTAGACAAGGTGGGGGGGGGATGTGGATTTTGGGAACGTGTGACGCAGTCGACTTTATTAATGGTATGGTCGTATGTCATGCGTCATGACTCTGGTTGCAGCCTCCTTTTGGGTTTATTTTGATTGTGATCGGATGACAAATGATTAACGTGTTTCATTTTTGGGTCGGTTTCGTCGCTCCGCTCCTCGAATTGGGAATCCGACGCTTACCCGTTTGTCCATGAGGTGGAGAACTTAACTTGGTGGCAAAACACGAATCGTAACGATTTCTTTACATGATCAATAAAGGTGAATTAACGTGATAACTTTTTTCATATGAGTTGCTTATGCGAGTGGTGTTTATAAATTGAATCTTTTTAGGTTGTTAATAACGATTAAGTTTTGCCATCACGGGTGGTAGCGAAGGGTGAAATAGTATGTGGGAATGTAACAATGCATCAATTTATCAATTAAAATTCTACTCTTTACACTCACGCTTCATGCATCAAATCATATACGTGTATGATAATGTCATTTAAAATCTCAAATTATATGATTGTTACATTCTTGAGTAAAATCGCTGCCCAAAATTCATGACAAATGATCGACTTCGCTGGGGAGGGGGAGGAGGGATGAATTGTTACACGACTTCTTGTCTGGTCCCATGGACTCTTCTGTTGCGTGATGAATTGTGATTGGTCAGCCCTAGACAACCTGGCCACATGCTAGGCGAGGTGATTCGACTGCTTTGAGCAGTGAGGGAGCAGCCTCTCTGGGAAGCCACTCTCACCTGGTCCAGTAGAGCCATTGCCCGCTCTATATTTGTGTCCAGGTGAAAGCCCATTGAGACGAAAAGTATATTTCAAGGGAGACATGGATCAAAGTATATCTAGTAATGACGATTATACGTTACAGCAGTGTTCATTCACAGCAAAAGGCCCCGGGGGGAGCGGTGAAAGCGTCTCATTAAATACAAAACGATGTGGCATCTGCTCGAGTTATGGCATAACATTTTTTTAAAATAAAAGTTATACTTGCTGTACCCTAAAACACGTGTTTTTTTGTCTTCATCGGTGTCGGTTCCTGCTTAAGTGTAGGGGATCCAAACAGATATCGTGCACCCTTAGAGGTGGCCAGTTCGGAATTGGGATCTGGATTACAATTCTGCTGACAAGTTCCACTCGGCCTAATTTTGAAGCGATGTGCCCACACCCCTGACCTCCAACACCGACTTCGCGGTTAAGTCGTGGGTTTATTTGGTTCGTAAACGTGTCTTTGGTTCATACATGGTCACAGCCAAGGTAGGTTAGGTTTAAGCCTCAGGGGTGAGCTGTTCAGGTTATAGGGGATGGGCGAGCAGTGTCGTGAGGAGATCAAGTTTGCTGGATTTGATTTAACTTTGGCACGTTCTATCGGACACAGCAGAATTTAAATGCTTACGTTTATTCATGAACAATATCGCTATTTCTCGGACGGGTGAGGTGACTGCGGACAAGCAGACTTTAACAAGACAAGCGGTGTGGGAGAAACTGCAGATTTATGTACTTCGGTCATGGGCTTGGTTCACATTGATTAAAACCGAACCGTAGAAAATGTCAGCTCCCAGTAAACATGCAACGTTCGGCCAACGTTAGCCATCGCCAATATGCCAAGTAGGCCTCGGCAAGGTAAGGTAATTTACCCTTCTTACCAGGTAAAAGGGTAAAGGTGTCGACATGCCAAGGGGTAAGGTAAAGGGTAGGGTAAAGGTAGCTCGGAAGAATTACCCGGTAGTGTAAAGGTAGTGAGAAGTATTACCCGGTAAATACGGTACCTTGTTTACCGCTAAAAGCTCCGTGGCGCAATCCGTGGCTTCCATTTAATAAGTAATATTTTAAAAACCTTTTTTTTAAACATGCTTTTATGAAATGTACTAGTAATGGCAGAACTCCACGACTCCAGAAAGTGGCCCCGAAGCTTGCCATAACGTAAGGAACCGTGGTCAATTACAGCCAACGTCAGTTGAGCGTGGGCAACTCGACCTCAGCCGGAACATAACGTATAAAAATGTTTTGAAATATATATTTTTATGACAGAATATAGTCTTGTCATCAGTATGACATAAGTATACCAAGTTTGCAGTCGATACCACATTGGGAAGTGGATTAAAACTGAGTTACAAGATTTGAGGATACAACGACAACAACAAGCGTGTAAAATTGGAATCATCGAGAGTAATCTATGTGAATGAAGCGTTCTACCTAGCATTTACCGTTATAAACCTTTTTCATGTGTAGTACCCCAGTAATTACCCTGTAATCGGGTAATTTGTATGGGGTAAGGGTAAAAGGTAGGGTAAAGGTAGGCTCGTTGCTTTTTACCTCTTACCTGCTAATGGGTAAAAGGTAGAGTAGAGTGATTGTATTGTGGTAAGGTAAAAAGGTAGGGTAAAGGTAGGCTCGTTTTTACCTTACCGAGGCCTAATGCCAAGTATGGAATTTTAGTTTTCTGTTCCCTACCCCAGTCTGTGCGCAGAGCCTCCACTCGCTACTTCTTGCATCGTCGCGATAATTATAGCCGCTGTGGGCAGGACCGGATTATCCTAGTAGCAAAAGTAGCTACACATGTAGCTACAGGCCCCGCACTTTCAAGGGCCCCGCGCTAAATGCTTTGAAGCTATCAATTCCGGTTCAGTGATTCAGCACTCGCTCTATTACTATAGTACTATACCGCCTTCAACTTTTACGAACGACCAGGTATTTAAGGTTAGCGATTTGTCGTATTATCTGGCTGGAAAACAAATTAAAAATTAACTGGTAAAAACAAGGTTTTCACTATAAATCCTTTATATGCGTGGCGGCTAGAGTCCTCTGGCTTGAGATGGCTGCCACCTATGGGTCAGATGATTGCCTGCCACCATTAAGCAATTGGTAATTAAATATAATTTATTTTTTTCCTAAAAAGTGGAACATTTTGGAAAAAAATTTTAACGGAATAAATTGTGACACACAACGAGTCTGTGTGCAAAATGTCAGCTCGATTGGATCACGGGAAGTGTGTTAAAAAACGAACGAAAGATTTGCACGGTCCTAAGCAAGCAAGCAAGTGAACTTAATATAAAGGATGTAACAAGTAAACCCGTAAAAACAAAGTTTTTCACTATAAATCCTTAATATGCGTGGCGGCTAGAGTCCTCTCGTCCTCTGGCTTGAGATGGCTGCCACCTATGGGTCAGATGATTGCTTGCCACCATTAAGCAATTGGTAATTAAATATAATTTATTTTTTTCCTAAAAAGTGGAACATTTTGGAAAAAAATTTTCACGGAATAAATTGTGACGCACAACGAGTCTGTGTGCAAAATGTCAGCTCGATTGGATCACGGGAAGTGGGTTAAAAAACGACCGAAAGATTTGCACGGTCGTAAGCGCGCAAGCAAGCAAGTGAACTTAATATAAAGGATTTAAAAATAAATTACTTTACTATGCAAGTAAAAAATTTGCGTAGTGGGGTCCTCCGTCCTCTTCGAGTGAACGTGTCTCTACAATAAAGAAACCGTCTTAAGACAACTATGTCAAGTCGTTACAATAATGATAATATAATGAGACCAATCGCACGCACTTTTGTTTGTGGGCACATACGTGGCTCTGCGGATGAAACTCATTGTAATCATTAACGGCGACGCAGAGCGGGAAAGAAAATGTTTCCAAGGGCTTCAAGGTCACAGCGTTACGCGGCTTCCAACCGCCAATACGTGCAAGAGGATTGCACGGAGAATTGAAGCGAAATGGGCCACGCAACGTCATTTTAAGTGAACGCGAGCGGCTATCGCTTCGATATAGTGGAACTGGCAGTGGACGGCAATAAGGGTGGAAATATAATTGTTAAACACACTAACTCTCCCTTTTATAAATACGGGTGTCAAACCCCCTCCCCCACTCTCCCTGTATACACCCGAGTGTTAAAAACCTGTGTCGTGTACTAATTCACAGACACGAGAAGGAGGTACTCTCTTTTATGCCGGCCTTCACAGCCTTAGGGGATAACTATATCCCAGATCGGGACAGCCAACATGCTGCCAAACCCACAACTTGAAGAGGGCGAAGATCACGACGATGACCGCACGACGAGTTACACTCCAGATCGCAGCAGCCCCGACTGTGATTCGGAGCTCGCCTTTTATCCTCGCCCGCGTGGCCAGGCTCCGCCCTCAGCTCCTCACCTCCTCTGGATCCCCCAGAGGGCTCCGTGCCTTGCCCACAGGTCCAACTGGTAGAACGGGCTGCTGCCCCTAATTCCATTGTCTACCAATCTCCCAGCGGCACGCACTCCAGTGACTTATTCAATATCACGACACCTTATAAACCCCACTCTCACTGTATAAACCCCACTCTCACTGTATAAACTCACTCTTTCTGTATAAACCCCACTCTCACTGTATAAACCCCACTCTCACTGTATAAACCCCACTCTCACCGTATAAACCCCACTCTCACCGTATAAACCCCACTCTCACTGTATAAACCCCACTCTCACTGTATAAACCCCACACTCACTATATAAACCCCACTCTCACTGTATAAACCCCACTCACTGTATAAACCCCACACTCACTATATAAACCCCACTCTCTCTGTATAAACCCCACTCTCACTGTATAAACTCCACTCTCACTGTATAAACCCCACTCTCACTGTATAAACCCCACACTCACTATATAAACCCCACTCTCTCTGTATAAACCCCACTCTCACTGTATAAACCCCACTCTCACTGTATAAACCCCACTCTCACTGTATAAACCCCACTCTCACTGTATAAACCCCACTCTCACTGTATAAACCCCACTCTCACTGTATAAACCCCACTCTCACCGTATAAACCCCACTCTCATTGTATAAACCCCACTCTCTCTGTATAAACCCCACTCTCTCTGTATAAACCCCACTCTCACCGTATAAACCCCACTCTCACCGTATAAACCCCACTCTCTCTGTATAAACCCCACTCTCACTGTATAAACCCCACTCTCACTGTATAAACCCCACTCTCACTATATAAACCCCACTCTCACCGTATAAACCCCACTCTCACTGTATAAACCCCACTCTCACTGTATAAACCCCACTCTCACTGTATAAACCCCACTCTCACTGTATAAACCCCACTCTCACTGTATAAACTCCACTCTCACTGTATAAACCCCACTCTCACCGTATAAACCCCACTCTCACTGTATACACCCCACTGTATAAACCCCACTCTCACTGTATAAACCCCACTCTCACTGTATAAACCCCACTCTCACTGTATAAACTCCCCACTCTCACTGTATAAACCCCACTCTCACTGTATAAACCCCACTCTCTCTGTATAAACCCCACTCTCTCTGTATAAACCCCACTCTCACTGTATAAACCCCACTCTCTCTATATAAACCCCACTATATAAACCCCACTCTCACTGTATAAATCCCACTGTATAAGCCCCACTGTATAAACCCCACTCTCACTGTATAAACCCCACTCTCACTGTATAAACCCCACTCTCACTGTATAAACCCCACTCGCACTGTATAAACCCCACTCTCACTGTATAAACCCCACTCTCTCTGTATAAACCCCACTCTCACTGTATAAACCCCACTCTCTGTATAAACCCCACTCTCACTGTATAAACCCCACTCTCACTGTATAAACCCCACTCTCACTGTATAAACCCCACTCTCACTGTATAAACCCCACTCTCACTGTATAAACCCCACTCTCACTGTATAAACCCCACTCTCACTGTATAAACCCCACTCTCACTGTATAAACCCCACTCTCACTGTATAAACCCCACTCTATATAAACCCCACTCTCACTGTATAAATCCCACTGTATAAGCCCCACTGTATAAACCCCACTCTCACTATATAAACCCCACTCGCTCTATATAAACCCCACTCGATCTATATAAACCCCACTATATAAACCCCACTGTATAACCCCCACTGTATCGACCCTACTATATAAACCCCACTATATAAACCCCACTGTATAAACCCCACTGTATAAACCCCACTGTATAAACCCCACTCTCCCCGTGTAAACCCCACTATATAAACCCCACTGTATAAACCCCACTGTATAGCCCCCACTCTCCCCGTGTAAACCCCACTCTCCCTATATAAACCCCACTGTATAAACACCACTGTATAGACCCACTGTATAAACCCCACTATATAAACCCCACTGTATAAACCCCACTATATAAACCCCACTGTATAAACCCCACTGTATAGACCCACTATATAAACCCCACTATATAAACCCCACTATATAAACCCCACTGTATAAACCCCACTGTATAAACCCCACTGTATAAACCCCACTGTATAAACCCCACTGTATAAACGCTGTCGCCAGCTGCAGGGGAGGACGGGGTCGGTTGGCCTTTTAAAATTTAAAAGTCACGTGCGGAGGCGGCGACGAGCTCAAGTCTCGCGAGAAGTGGTCGCGTTTTGCGGCGCGAGACCAGACCACCCCCTCGGCGGAGCGGTTTTTTTTTAAATCCACCAATCGGTGAGCGCGCCGTGTCCTCGCAGCCAATGGGCACGCGCCTCGCCGGCCCTATATAAAGAGGCTGGCGACCATACTTGACGCATTCTCCGCAGAGAGTTGAGGTGAGTGGTCGATGTGGCGGTTCGCGTTGCCGTGGCGCAGGGGTTTCGAAGGGGTTTCGAAGGGGTTCCCGTCTACTGAAATCGTTGGCGGGGGAGGGAGGGGGTTAAAAGGATCTATGAACCGGTGATTCTACGATGAGCTGAGCCCAGTCCGGGAAGCGATCGGCTCGGCTCGGCTAAACCCGTGGCGCCCTCTGCTGTGCTCTATCGCCCACCGAGCCCGCGTGGCTCGCACCGGGCCCCGCCGCTCGCGTCTCTGCGCGGCGTGTTATAGAGGCGGATTTTAAAGGGCGAGTCGGAGGATACAATCGCGTTGTTTCAGGCTTGAGGCGGGAGAACGCGGGCAATCGTGCGGCTCGGGACAAGTTCTTCGTCTCGAGCGAACTAACCCAAGCGCGGCTCCCGTCCGTTTGCAGTGTCCGCTTCCCGCTAACGCCGCCATCTCCGTCGACCGCCACCGCCACCATGGCTTCCAGCAACGAGAACTCGTCCCAGCGCATCGGGCAGTTCAAGAACAAAGGACGCGACGCCGCGGTGAGTGAGGCGTGGGTGGTGGATGCCGTGCCCAGCGAGCCGAGTGCCGGGGGGCTGCGAACGAGGGGGCAGGACGGCAACCCCGGCGAGATGCCGCCCCCCGGGGTATCGCGCACTCGGCACGGAGAGAACGAGAGAGACGCTTTGGTCGTAGGGGAGTGACCTTAGCGCGGCATTGTCTCGTGTCCCATCAATTCGCACGTGTTGGAGAGGTCGGCCACAGTCGCACGAAGTGAACACTGTCGCAGTGAGCGCGGCCAGACCACCCAGACCCACCCCCACATGCACATGTCTTGTTGGTCTTGTTGGCCTGGTTATACAACCGGCTTGGGCACGGAATACTGACGAGACGGTATAGGGGGAGGGGGGGTGAATTCGACCTCGCGAAAAGTGTTGGAATCAACAAATGCACACGTGTCCTTTTGCGGGTGGGATTTCGATTTAATCGCGATGTTATTTGCGTGATTTTTCTTTGGTGATGAGAAGCGGTTACGTCATCAGGGCGGCTTAAAATGCCGGTTTGGGATGTTAAAGCCACCACCCGCGATGACATCGACGCCATCGCATCCTCGTCGCGATCTCTCCATCTCGCATCCCCCACGTGTCCATTACACGCCCTCACCACCTCCCATGTCTCCCATCGCATGTTTGGCCGCGTACGGTGCAAAATAATTCAACGTACGTGCAACGTCTCGGTGTCGCATCTCGTCATCACAAATTCTCATCCCCCAGTCGTTTTTCCTCCGTCAATTACTAGTTCCTTGAACGTCGGTCATGATCAATGGAAGCGTGACCCATCGTGTGTGGTCCCCGCAATAGAACGGGTCCCATCCCTCCATCTCGCACGATCACGATGGCACACCGTCGCTACCGTGCACACCGCAATTTCCAAGCGGCAAAACGCCACCTCGGCCTATGGGCCCCCCTCAGAGCCTTATCCAATAGCCAACTCTTAACTAATGCTGCATTTCCCGGTACATAGTAGGTATTTTCCTTGCTGGTTATCTTGTTTTTAGTAATCCAGATCTTTGTGTGTTCCGAAACTTTATTTTTGGGTTCCGTTGATGAATATCAAGGGATACAGTTTTTCTTTCCGTGTAGGGTTTATTAGTTAATATTGGAGTTCGTACGTACTACTAATTTATCGGCACGAATTTGTGGGGGAAGCAATCTCAACGTCTTGCCCTGCCGGTAAATACCGTGTGCTCTTCGTGCGTCACACGTAGGTTTCTGTGCGTTGTGGGCAGCTGCTGGCGTCTCGCTGCTACCCCCTGTGGTTTTTTCCCTCCCCACACTTAACCTTGGCGTGCTTTTCGTTTTGTGGGGCGGCGAGCAGGCTCTGCGGCAGCATCGCAAGGACCTGTGCCTGGAGCTGCGCAAGGCACGCAAGGACGACCAGATCCTGAAGCGGCGCAATGTGGCCGCGATGGATGACGAACCGACGTCTCCACTGCAGGAGAAGCAGCAGAACGGACAGGTGGGGGGCAACATTCCTGCATCGCCGCCTCCGACGTTTTGACCCTGGATGAGAGTCGTAGCGGGGGGGGGGCACAGAAATTATTGGTCATCCCCACCCACGCCCCCCCCCAATGAGTCTGGATTGTCACGATTCGAGATTGCAATTCAAAGGAAATTGTATCGTTTCTCGTTTTGCCTCATTGTAGGCTCGTTTGTGTGATTAGCCCTAATACAACAGCATATTTTATCTACAAGTGATCGATTCGCATGCACAATTTTAATCCACGTGTCTGGAGTGTATATTGATCGATGCATTCCGTGATTATTGTCCAATGTAGCTGCCAACAAGTTTCAAAGAATGCTTTATTAAACGGTGAACTTCTTTCGCAGCATATGTAGCCAGCTGCTAATCGGAGGGGTGCTTTCTTGTTGGTGTGTGCTGTGGCATTTGTCGACAGAAGGTGCAACAGATGTCCCTGGAAGAGATTGTCCGTGGCGTGAGCAGCAATGAGAGTGATGTGCAGTTGCAGTCGACGCAGGGAGCACGGTGAGGCCCTGCTTGTATTTTCTTAAATGGCCTAGAGCTGGGTCATTGAGACTCCAGTTCTCATTCAGGTGCAATTCATCATATCGCACTGCGCATGTCCTCTCGGTTACTTGTGCAGCCCGTCGACACACACCCACTCCCCCGACTGAGCCACGTGCGCGCATGTGCTCTCCACAGGAAACTGCTCTCTCGCGAGCGGCACCCACCACTGAACGAGATAATCAGCGCCGGGCTGATCCCACGGTTCGTGCAGTTCCTGGGGCACGAGGACTGCAGCCAGATCCAGTTTGAGGCGGCATGGGCGCTGACGAACATTGCGTCGGGCACAAGCGAGCAGACCAAGGCCGTGGTGGACGGCGGTGCCGTGCCTGCTTTCGTGGCGCTGCTGTCGTCGCCGCACGCGCACATCAGCGAGCAGGCTGTGTGGGCGCTGGGAAACATTGCCGGTACGTGTGTGTGTGTACGCGCATACAAGCTGTGCGAGTGCCATTACTATCGGCATCAGCAAGGGTTAGTGGTGATGGGTATGGGGTTGTGGCTGCAGGAGACGGGAGCGGTGATTGGCTGTTGTGCTGTCCCCCAGCTGTTGGAAGTCGAGTGGCCAGGCTCGCCTGTACGCATGCGTTGGTTGTGTCCTTTGTGTTTGTGCTGGCGGTATTGAGATTTGGCCTCTCGAACATTAAATTAACTTTTTCTCTTTTCGGTGTCAACCTGCAGGTGATGGACCTGTCTTGCGTGACCTTGTTATCAAGTATGGAGCTGTAGAGCCCCTGTTGGCCCTCATGGCCATGCCAGACCTGTCCATGCTGTCCGTGAGTTTCACTTCCCCAACGCTTTCCCGACACTGCACACATCTTGGGCTTCTGATTGTCATGAGCTCTCTCACACTATAATTGATAGTCAACTTGTGTTAATTGTTAAAGTGGATGAAACCAGTTACTGATGTATATGCTTTCGCGATAAATATTATGAAGTTGTAATGAATGTGCAGCTATTGGGCTTAACTTTGTCATTCGGTTTCCCCGTGCACAGGTGAGCTACCTGCGCAACCTGACGTGGACGATCTCGAACCTGTGCCGCAACAAGAAGCCCCCTCCCCCTGAGGAGGCTGTGCTGATGCTGCTGCCGGCGCTGGTGCGGCTGCTGCACCACGAGGATAGGGAGGTGCAGACGGATGCCACGTGGGCGCTCTCCTACCTGAGCGATGGCCCCAACGATCGCATCGAAATGGTGGTGGCGGCCGGTGTGGTGCCGCGCCTTGCACAGCTGCTCGCCTCGCCAGAGCTCACCGTGCTGGTGGGTGATCATAACCGCATGCACCGCGTCACCACGTCACTTGCAACACTCGTGGACACTCCCGTTACTCGCTGCTTGCAATGAATACAATAATTGCTCGTACAACCAGTCGACACTTATCATTAACACTGCCGTTGATCTGAATAGACAAATAGATTCATAGTTGATTATATTTTTTATATATCAGGACACAATCCCTTAAGTTTTATTTTAATAAAAGTGGAGTGATTTTCAAGTTGGAGAACAAAGATGTCTGCTTGGTAGCTTCTGCTCGGTATCATGTTTTTTTTCCTTTTTAGGAGCAACGTCACCACTCATGTGTTTGTACTTTCTCCTCAGACTCCAGCGCTCCGAACAGTGGGGAACATCGTGACAGGGCACAGACCAGCAGACGCAGGCGGTGATCAACACCGGTGTTCTTCCAGTGTTCCAGAATCTGCTGCGTCATCAGCGCAGTAATGTGCAGAAGGAGGCTGCTTGGGCACTGTCGAACATCACGGCTGGGCACGCCGATCAGATCAACGCAGTCATCACTGCTGGCCTCATCCCCCCACTGGTCGAAGTCCTGCACAAGGTGGGGGGGATACGTGCGTGGGGAGGGTCCAATTCCCACTTGAGCGTCGTCTGTTTGGAGGCCATTTCAGTTTTAGGGTTCACCTAATGGTTTGACTTGTACTGAGCTCTGTGTCATCCAGATTGTAGATTTAAATTTGACTTTTTTTAGTATATGTGCACTCATTTTCAGGATCGGCTTAAAGTCCTTTTTACCATAATGGTGATTTGTATGTTTTCTGTCAAAATACTATAACTTGAAGTCGCCAAAACACAAGTGACTTGTATATATACTAACAAAAAGTTATTCAATGACATTTGCATCTGATTATAGCCATTGAGAAATTGTATAATGACCACGCATCCACACGTACGACTGCCGTGTAACGAACGTGACATTCTAGGATTTTACCCAGAAGATTGACTGTCGATACGGTTTAAGCCGCAGTGCTAGAGTGGAGGCTAACCAATGTCTTCTTATTCCTCTCGTACCCAGGGAGAATTCAAAGCCCAGCGCGAAGCGGTATGGGCGGTGACGAACCTGACGTCGGGCGGCACTGTGGACCATATCGTGTACGTGGTCCAAGTGGGGGCCATGGAGCCCTTGCTGTCTCTGCTTGAAGTCAAGGACAGCAGCACGGTGCTCATCATCCTGGACGCCATCACCAACATCTTCCAGGTTTGACTTTTCTTCCTCAAAACTGTTATCTGGCTTGGTTTGTAAGACCATGAAATGGTGAATTTTTACCGGTGTTGCAAAAAGTTTTTTATAATTTAGTAGGGACCCCTAATTTGTCAGTCCCAATTAAAAAGTACCTGCAGGGGTGCATAGAATGGTATATAGGATAAACCTGCAGCACTTTGCAAGCACACTTGATTGCGTCATGTATTATAAAGCTTAACGTGTGGCTGTTTCCAATATGCATTCTGAATGATTGCTTGCTGTCGGCTGGCATATTTTGGATTGCCTTGCAAAGTGATGTCCCGGTGTACGTGGTGCGGTTTGTGCACAGGCTGGTGACAAGGTTGGCCAGACGGACAAGCTGTGCATGATGGTGGAGGAGCTTGGGGGACTGGATAAGATTGAGCACCTTCAGTCGCACGAGAACGAGGCGGTGTACAAGGCTGCCCTGAACATCATCGACAAGTACTTTTCTGAGGTGCGTCCTGGCAAAGCGCTGCTGCTGGCCGCATTTGCGCTGTATTGAAGTTCATCTTCTTGGTTCTTTCGGTAAAGTCTTTACCGAAAGAACCAAGAAGATGAATCCCTGCCGTCACGAAAGCTTTAAATCGACATGAATTGAAGTTGTGGCTGATTTTTGGAAGATTACGAGATGGTTTTGGCCCATAATTTTTTTCATTTTCACATCAATTTGTAAGACCGTGTCGATGTTTTACTACTAAAAAAGCAAATTACAAGTGAAGTTCTCGCTTAACGTTTTAGTGCTGTGTTTTGGGTGCTTTTTGTTGGCAGGAAGACAGCGAGGCGGAGAACTTGGTGCCCGAGGCTGGGGAGCAGGGGTACAACTTCCAGGTGGCAGACGAGCAGCACGGCAACTTTGCCTTCTGAGCCGCCCTCCCTCCCAGTGCACCTCCACCCACCATTCCTCACGCTCCCCCCCCCCCCCCCCCCCCAAATTGGGAGTGGGGCGAGAGATTCCGCGCTTCGGGCATAATGAACTGCCGCAGCGAATTTTAAAACAAGATGCTGGAAATTAACGACTGCTGTGTCATTTCACCCTCGTCTCTGTGTTTTTTATGTGTTTCTTCTTTCAACTCTCTGGGCCTCCTTGGGCGATCCAGTGTAATACTAGACCGCTTGGGCACACGCACACTAGGCTCCTGAGGTTGCTGCTGTGTCATTGTGTTGGCTGTGCTCGTTTTGACTACCACTGCCGTTGTAGCAGCTCTCACATCCACTTTTAATGTGAATATGTACTGCAGTCTACTTGAATTTGGCTTAAAACTTTCTTTTGTACACAGTATTTCTTTAAATAAAAATGTGTGAATATGCAAGTGTGAAATATTTTATCTGTATGGTGAGGTGCATAGACTGTTTAATTTTCTGTTGGTGAAAGGTAATTCATGAACACATCAATTGATTTTGACAACGTTGAAGTGCTGTGTGAAACTAGTTACTACTGGCAAAGACTAATTAGAGAATCGATTGAAATTGAGAGAAACAGAAATAACTTTAATCGCTCAGACAGCTACAGGCTTAGTGCGGCCTGGAAGCGTATTATTAAATAAGATACATTACAATTCCTTAAGGGAAACAAACACTAGCTGATTACTAATGTAGCATAATCACAATAAAACACATTCCAAATGATTACTAATCTACAACTCACATCGTAACAATAGCCTGATTACTAATCTAGTATATAATTACAATAACTCCCCCCTCAAATCTATGCACCTGATGAGTTAATGACGTCACCCTGCTGCTGCTCTATATAAGAACGGGAGACACAGCAGAGCCTCACCATTCTGGTGAATTGCCCGATGATGCTGGATGCAATTACCAGCGAAACGTCGTACTCAAATTGTAAATGTTGTGGTTTCGCGCTTCAACACACCTGGTGGGCTAAAGCAGTGAAACTAATTTGTCTTTTTGTCAACGTGACACTTTTTTACTGATTGGCTGTGTTGGGTGGTGGAGGGTTACGACACATTTATAAATAACGCGATCTAAACCCAAAAACGTTGATTATGAACACACCTATGTTGGAGAAGGCTTAACACGTATGTTTTTGCAACCAATATTCATCAAGGTTTTTGGGTTGGAATACGTAAATGTGTTAAACCCACCACCACCTGAAAGGATTTGCTTTCCAACACACCGGTGTTGGAAAGCCAATCCACAACATTTGCAATCTTGCGTACGACTGTTTTACCAGTAATTACAACTACCGTCATCAGGCGGCAGCCATATTTGTGGTGAAATCCTGTTTCATTCTTTGGAGGGATAATTGTTGCCCTGAGCCATTTGGGTGGGAAGGCCAGAGGATTTGGGGGGGGGGGGGGTAATGTATACATCTAAAGTACGATGGGTTGTAGGGAGATGTTGCTTGAACATACAATTTTTTGGGTGCACGAAAATTGCAGTACCTGTTACTGTCTGCTCTCCCAACACATCGGTGTGTTGTATCAGGAACGAATTTGTTTTACGTGACAAGCCTTACGAATTGGCTGTCGTGACGCGTTTAACAAAAAACAAGTGTATTGTAACTACATGGTAATTTGTGGCTATCTTTCAGGCTGTAGATACTCTAAATCACCTGAGTTTGTCTTAATGTGGCAAAAGTAGAAACCATTATCTCGGTTCACATTCCACTGGTATCCGTACAATGGTCTCTTGATGCAGCGTATCACCTAAGTTTGTGGGAGCTTAACCATTGTCAGCCTTGATCTACTGGCAACCCGAATGTTTTGACCATCTGGGTGACAGGAATTCATTAGTACCGAGATCTGATGGCATTATAGACCTATACAGTATGCGGTACTGCTCAGTCTTAATAGACTGGGGCTGGAGGAGCCAATATTCTCCTGATTTGGTTGTGGGAAAACGTGCCAAGGATGGGAGGTATTCATTCAGCAGTGGATTGATCATGGATGGTAAATGGGGAGATGGTCGTGGATGGTGGCGTGGCGGGGATTTGCATTGCTTCAATTACACTTCCTATACACAATCGTCAACAGCATTGATAGCATGATAGGACATGTAATAGATTATTTGGGAAAAATTGCCCTTTACAAGGACGGCCACGTTGAAAAGCACTCTCCGCGCTCGTCATGTTCTCGAAACAACGTCACGTGACACCCCCCCGCCTCCCCCCGATTTACACTGGCGCCGTCGGTGACGTCATCCACGCGCGATGACGTCATGTCACCTCATTTTTTTATGTCGACGCCACCGGACTCCATTTTAAGAAGGTCGGTGACGTCAGAGCGAAGGCAGGCGCCATTTTGAAGCTTGCGAGTGGCGTCGTCTCTTCTTCCTCCTCCAGCGCGACGACTTCTTCGCCTCCTTCCACCTCGTCTACCGTCGTTTTCTACCACGTCGTTGTCGCCAACGTCTCTTCGACATGCCGGGGTACAGCGATAGGGATCGCGGCGATAGAGATCGCGGCCGCGACAGGTTCGTTAGAGAACAACAACGCGAGGGGGGGGGTTGGGGACGCGGGAGATAAAACAACAACATCGATACTAATAACAACACACAGAAGTGGTTATGATACGTAATAAAGCTACGCAAAATAACGGGTTATTTGTTTAAAAAAAGTAACGTCTTAATTGCGTGAGGACATCGCACAAGGGGGGGGGGGATGTAACGGGTGAAGGTGCTGACATTAATCGTTAAATACGTGACGAGGGCAGTGATAATACACAGACACATTGCAACAATACTAACGTCTGTTATACACCAAACATGCTAACAGTTGTAATAACTATAATATGGGGTTAGCGTTACGAGAGAGCAATTATAAAAGTAAACATTTGGCGACGCTGCGTGGTCAATAACGCCGCGGGCCTACCAATGATAACTTGTGCTACGTTAAGGCCCAAATGGCACGTGTTGTTACTAATACAGCTTATTGATCGGTACGCGGCGAGGGAGTTAAGTGGTTGGAGAATTAAAGAACCTCGGCGATAATGTAAAAGTTTCACGGCGAAACAAAAGTAACTTGTTACAGTATGGACGTGACGCATCTTCAACAAACTTAAAATATAACTCGTGACTACGACAAGACGTTAAAATGTATAAATATATAAACGGACATGACGATACAACATTCACAAATTGCTATTAACTTCAAAAGAGATACTATATAAAAAATAGTATTGTACATTTCGTGACGCAGCGCCAATAATGACCACAATAACAAATGTTGCAATCCACGACGCAGTGACGCATTGAGCAATCGAGTGAAATGTTGCATTTAAAACTAAACTAATTTGGTGTCTCGATGTAGGATCCTCAAGCAAGTTTATTATTTGATAATAGGTTTTCCCCCTGTTTCTGGCAACAAAACAGCTGTGTTAAGACGTTAAAACACCGAACTGAAACCTTTTACAATGATTATAGATGTGAAGCTTTCGTGACTGCAAGGATTCATAATTTTTTCGGTAAAGTCATAAATAAATAAAAATAATATAAATAATAGTAATAATAATAAAATTTACTTTTACAAGGAATCATGTCTGCATTAACCACAATACTTGTGGTCAGAATGCAAACAAAAAACATACTCTGATAATATATTGTCTTTGAAACCGATTGGTCCACACCAGACAGCTTTCTTTTGAGCCTCGTCTCAAACGGTGTTATATTCGCCATGGCTGGGTGGATACATTAATAATTTGCGTATAATTAAAAACTACGAAATGAAGTAAACTTCTGTAACAAGCAGAACCACGCCAAAATATTTGCAATTGAACCGAAAACCATAAAAAGCAATAATTCTCATTGCTTTTATACAAATAAACACACTGCCGACATTCTTGGTGTTTAGCCGAGAATCACCTCCGCGACATTTCTCTTGGACAACAACGGCGATCAGAATACAACCACTGTCATCGATCTCGTAACCACACCGTAACGATCATTATCGACGAAATCCACCACCGTAAGTCACCACTGGGGGGACAATTCACGTAATGCGAGGTTGGGGAACACTGGCACTTTGCTTTAACCGTTGATGTTTTTACTTTATGTCATTGTCTATTCCAGTTATTGCCGTATTCTCCGGATTTTAGAGACGTTCTGGAAAGTAACTGCGCAACGTAAACTCGTGCCTTAAAATAAACCCAAAAGAAATCGAGAGGCTCGTCAGCAACACTTGCATTAAAAAACATCGGCAAGGGGGGGTTGGTGGGTGCGTTTTGAAATCCTGAGAATACGGTGATATAGCAACTGAAATATGCGGATTGATTATGCCTCAGCTGTAGATGTTTATGGGCAGTCAGATGCTGTATTCTGTTGGCTACTATACACGGCTTACGTGTTCTGTAGGTATACTAATGAGGCTAGCCCCGTGTGTTTTTACGTTGTCCAAACCCCCCTCAACAAGTCGCTGGCAGGGGGGGTGGGGTGAAGGTCACCACGGGGTGCGGCCCGCTCAGCCGTAGCCCAGGCCACGTGACCTCCCATACATGGAGCTGTCGGTCCTCGGCTCTTTCAAGGCTGGTCCTGCCCTGCCTTGGTCCGGCAACGTTATTTAGACGTGAAAACGTAGAAGCACATTGATACCCCAGGGTACCGCCATAAGGTTCAATAGTTCCCCGGCTCTCGCGTAATGTCCGTGATGCAGTAATTTTTAGTCTCTTGATGGCCGGCGATGCGCCAATCAACTCATCTCGACGAGCTGTACACGATGCACTATTCAAAGTTGAATTTTTTAACAACGGATTTTTTATGCTGCTTGGCGTTTCGACATGGCTGAGTAACACTGATTTTGGATTGATTGGTACCCCAGTTGTGGAGCTAAATACACCCCTGGAAAAAATAGTGTCCCAGAAATTAAATATTTAATTGCCTCGGGCATTTTGTGTTATTTGGTACCCCGGGGCACGCCATGAGGATCATTTGGTCATGAATCCTGGCAGGGAGCCAGGCGCACTTGGGTGTGGGATGCACTCATCCTGGTTCACGTGAGCAAAGGCATGAACCAATGTCCCAAATGAGTGTCGAGTTATACAGATGGTTTAACTGTGTAAATTGTGTAAATGTTATTTATTAGTGAATGATGTATGGCACTAGGCGCACTGTGTTGCTTAAACTGACATTTAAAAGAAGCAAAACCATTGATATTTGTTAACTGTTAGTCTGTATTTCAGATTGAAGTTAGTGTCGCTGTCGTAAAACTATAAATGAGGTGAAATATCGTGGCAATTTCATATTCTTTTGGCAGGGGCCAGCATTTAATTGCCACAAAAAGATCAAACCAGCTGAGCAAACCCGTACTGAAATTTGAATTGTAATCCACAAATTATAAGTGAAGCGATTTA